AGAAAATGTTTGTACAACCAAGAGATTTAAAATAATGCTTACATTAAAATAACATATGTTTGTATTTTAAAATTATGATATTTGAACTAGCACCTCTGGTTTTGCTACACTCAGTATTAAAAAATTTTCAAAATATTTTAAAGTTATTCCTTGAGGTTGGTTTAGTTGGAAAATGTTTTTTTCCTCACTGTAGGACCAACGGTTTCTCTGGAATCGATAGTGGACACCTTAAGAGATTCACCCTGTGTATATATACAGGGATACAGGGTGTCCGGTCATAAGTGTTAAATAAAATTATTTTGCAAACTACATGATAAACTGTAATAGGATAAAAGATAAATTAAGATACAAAAAAATTATAGTAGTTGTTATGAAAAATTTATAACTATGTAAAAGTTACATTTATTGTTCAAATAAAGGTTGTTTTTTAAATCCAAACAAAATTTACAATAGTAATACCACATTGGACCATATTGGACTGTTGAATGTGATACTACTTAAGTTTTGTCGTAAAAGTTTAAATTTTTAACGAAGAAAAGAATTTAATAAATATTAAGAGTGGTATTTCTGGGTTGCAGAGTTCTGCTGAAGGTATAAAATATTATCAAAAACTTTCTCATCAAATGAGCTTTAAGATGATGTATCTTTTATTACTGTCACATTATTAAATTCATGCATCATTGTAAAAAAAAACATGGTCAAGCTAACAGATAATTTGATGAACAAGGGATATTTGGACCTGTTGTTGTTGTCAAACAAGCACACAGCAATGCAGATTTTGGCCTGTCAAGTGCAACAGGCAATCAAAATATATTTGACTACATCACTCTTATGAAACAAAGCTATTGAGTTATACCTGTGTGACAAAAGTTAATTATTTTCCAGAAAACATAATTTGTTGTTGCGTAGCAGAAATGAAGGGAAGAACACAAGTACCAGAACATTTACAAAAAGAATACTATATTTAATACAGGAAAATATACATTTTTATTGTGTCATGAACGGTTGAAACACTCTACACATCTTTTGTATTAGGAAGGCAAACTCGGTATTCATAACATTTGTTTGTTCGAGGTTTTATGTAAGTTAAGTTAGAAAAATGTACAGCTGTCTAAGACTAAAGCTGATTCTTTTGTCCAAGGGGTAGAAAGTACCAATTTAAAACAATGATGCAAGTGTTGAAATAAGGCCTTTTTTTGCACCAATATAGCAAAAAATTATATTTGTAATAAAAATTGTTTGAGAACTGAAATATTTTGCATTATTCATAAAAAGTAAAAAAAAAAAACTAAAACAGAACAGCACTGTACTGTAGACAGTATGTTATTATGTGATCAGATTATCAAAACTCACAAACAAGGGCATTCCCCTGACAAAATTTCAAAAGCAAAACTTCAAACAAATTAATACATGATTGGTGGACTCAAACAAAGAGGTATTTTGTTGACTTAGGTGAGTTAGCAAAACATCAATTCCTCAACATTTACTTTGGCCACTACTTTGTTGCCTCATAAGTTCTTGACTGTAGGGTAAGACCTATGTGCATCACACTGCTTTGATGAGGCATCTCTAGGGTTATTTGGACCCTAAATCAATTACTGAATGAATATACAGGGTGTTTATAAAAGAATGCCGGGATTTGCAACGGTCGTTGCTCGGGGACCATTCAAGATAATTAAATGACATAAACGTCAAATTGAAGAGAAAAGAACAAAGTTTTTCTCATACTTTAATACAATTTGGAATAATTTAATATAATTCAGATTTTTATCAATCTTATATGAACGTAAACTGGCTAATTAGGGCGATCTGATGTCTCAACTGAATCTCTTTAGGCACAGAGACTCTATCCTTTACAGATAACATCATAAAGGGTTGATTTAGGTAAGTTAAACCAAAGTCTTCGTTGGGCAATCGATTTTTCGGGGCTTCTGATGCAGAATTGTCGGATTTCTTCCAGCCAGGTGAATGTCTTATCAAAACACTGGGGTGCAACAAAACTCATTGAAACAGCGTCAAATATCTTTATAACCAAGAAGATTTAAATTTAGTTAGATTTAGCAATCGATATAAACTCTGTGAACCACAGATTACACTCTGTGCCTTCCGTTGCGCCGTAAACATTGCACTGGCGACTGGCATCAGGCGCTTGAATCACAATAGCGGCCTACCACCCCGCAACCTGTTTTGCGCATGCCAAGGTCAAAGTTTCCTCTCTTGCTACAAGGGAAACAAAACTTAATTATTTTAGCTTCAATTTGATGTATAAAACGTTTAGTTACCTCAAATAGTATCCAAGCAATTACCTTTTTAAATCCTGGCATTCTTTTATAAACACAAACACTCTGTATATATCAGAATACGCTCATTGATTGTTCTTTGTTGTTATTTGACTGTTCACTTTTTGTGTATGTCACATGTTGGCAAATCGAGATTCTCATGGATTCGGAGGGCGTGCCGCAATGCTTTCAGAAAGGTGTGTGCACAATAAAGCCGCCGCCAGAATACCTACTCATAACTGCAACCGTCGTACACTCTCCAAATCTGCAAAACGCGAAATCCGATAAAGATTACGCAGACGCCAACATGTCAACTACAAAAAAAGTGAACGATAAGTGTGCCTGTTGCGTAAATAGACAAATCGGTATAGTATGTGAATATTTGTATATAATATAAAATAAATATATGTGTATTAAGGGTTATTTGGCCACTATACTAATTAAATACACCCATTAAATAAGATATACCTTAAAAAAGGGTACCCAGTTCTTTAATATATATATATATATATATATATATGAAAATCAGAGTAATAGGGCTACTATGTATAAAGTAAGACTGATCATCAATAAATTGAGCCCTACCCTTTTAAGCATACAATAATTTATTACGAGTAATGTCCAGTGGTCGAAGCTCGACCAAAAATATGTAATGTACTCACTTATGTTAATGTTTCACCCCGCACTGTAAATAAAACATGTGATTGGAGTTTCTTCCATTTGTTTTGATTTTCTGTTTATATTTCGTTGTTATTTCGTCACCAGCATGGCAACGCATAAGATCCATGTAAATTTTTTCAAATTTTTAAACTCATTTTTTGCGCTTATCTTGAGCCTATTTAAATTTATAAAGGGATTCTGCACACCTACAGGAAAATAGCTTTCTAACGGTATGCGTAGATTTTCCCTACGATGCACACGAGCTGAGAAAAAAGGTTTTAAAGAAACGTGCTTGCCTATTAATATATAGATAGATAACATTAGTTTAGCGTCCAAATAACCCCCAAGTCTATAGAACACAAAGACCTTGTAGATCAGCAAAACAATATGCTTAGGTGTTGACCTACAATCAAGAATAGAGGTAATTGTCAAGGTAAAATATTGCTTAGAAATTACTGACAATAAATAGGTACAGTTGTGTTTATAATGAAACTGATATATTTTATTCATTTTTTTTTAAACAAAATTATAAACTTTAGATTAAACTATAACAAAACTGTTGAAAGTATAAAATAATACAAATACAGATTATAATACAACAAATACAGTACAATACAACTATTTATTTTAGGGAGAAAGTTCTAATAACGATGAGAAAACAAATTAATACTTTTCAGTTTGATCATTTTAACACCTTGTTTATTTGTACTAGTTAAAACTCATTATAATACTAATTACAGTAAAACTCCGACTAACCAAAATAAAGCGGGCAAGGCCTTTCCAGGTCACCTATTTTTTTTTATATATAATGGTTATGTTTTAAAGGCTACTAAGAGATCTACAACAGTTGTGTTTTAGGATTTTTTAATTAGGCCCTACTGTTATCTTAAATTCTACATTTGTTCCATCCACTAGTTTTTTGTATAATCCACAATTAATTGTTTTCTTAATTTTATCTTCACCATGTTATGAGATCTGTGTCGTCGTCTGCTCTATTAAATTCCATTGACCAAGTCGGGCCAATTGCCAGGGCAGACAATTCCCATTCCTTAAAAATATTTTTATTTGATTATAATTTGTTGTCAAGGCTAACCGGAGTTTTGATTTAAAAAGGTTTAACACTTGTTTGGGTAGCCAAATGGTTATAGCGATCGACTTTAAATCTTACGGTTGCTGGTTTGATTCCAAGCAAAATTTTTACTGGACTCGGATGTCATTTGTATTACTGCTATCTAACAATGAGGTAAATGTTAGGCCAGGGACACACGAGCCGGTGGGATCGCCGGCCGGTTTTGTCGCCGGCTCCAGGCGAAGTAGAAATAACAGGAAGGCAACGGGAAGTACACACTGCGGCCGGCCCCACCGCATATTCTCTACTTCAGGTAACAGGGCATTGTACAAATTGAGATGAACACACGTCCCAGCAAACAAATTGAGATGAACACACGTCCCAGCAAACAACGGGACCTGCTCCTGCCACTCTACGGTAAACTCATTATATTATAAAGTTTTGCAATTTACTTGAATACAGTTTTGCAGTCAATTATGCATAGCCTACTTTACAATTGGAATTAAAAATATCTCACAGTTTGATAAAAATGCAGCAATGTGTTGTTTAATTTATGATTTTTATTAAGGTTACAATTTTGTATATATGTAAACTAAATTTTTTGTTAGATTGGTATAGAAACTATATATTTTTTTTTTATTTGCCAGCCGGCATATACTGTTTTGGGATGAACCCAAATACTCCGGTGGTGTTTCCTCTTTCTCCTGCGGTGGAGCAAACATAGAACGGCCAATTTCTTTGGTGTTGACAGTACTATTTCAAAAACACAACTGATCCTTCAAGTTCATTGCACCTTTTGTCAAGCACTTTTCATTTTCAATCCAATTTACTGTCTTTGTCTCCCGCAGAACTACCGGCCGGCGGTTCCGGCAGAATGATTGTTCCTGGCCAAAGGTACCTTAGATGATTGTTAACAACACAAGTGTGTGAACCGGTCCTTAAAAACCGTAAAAAATGCTAAATTGGCATAGATACACAACTAAAAACAAAGGTGCAGTTAGAAGGAGTTTATTTTATTGGTTTAAAATCTACAAGTAAATAAATATTCTTAAAACTCACACATTAAAAAACAGAAACTTGCTTATGAGATATTTAAAACATAATCTTCTTAACTTCATAACTTTAACTTAAGGCGTATCTTAGTTAACAAATTGTAACACATATCACCCACAAAACAATTAAATAACAATAAGAACACAAATTGTACACTCTGCTGGGTGATGGACAACAAATTTTTGACCAAACAAATTAAATAATGAAATAAAACTAAGTTACTAAGAATAATCCATAAACAAATTTGATCATTGTTTTCAACGTAACACGAGCACTAGATCTTTTAAAACAGAAAATAACTAAAATAATAATTCTTCTCAAATGAATCATTTTGACAAAGCCAGGACTGGTTTATCTAAAACTTAACATCCTGTGTATTTTGCAAGACATTCATTTTAATGTTTTATGATAATGCAAATAAATTAAACTGCAACATATTTCGATTGCCAATATCTGTAAGTATGTTATAATACAAATGTCATTTCTGTTGTACAACCAGTTTCAAAGAGATCTGGTAATTGGTAATTAGTCCTCTTATGCTTTCCAAGTTATATTTGCTAAGCTCTCTGCCCTACTCTCATACACCCACTTACTGCTGGGGTATGATGTAATATCAATCATACTATAACAGACGGGTTTGTTATAGTATGATTGGTATTATCCTCCCTGGTCAACTGGTATTGATCTGTAGGTTTTCTACAAACAAAAAATACACTACGGTACTCGTACTGAAGCATGGAATGAGGGTTTTGCCCGTACTTCGTTTTCAATCCAACTTCTTCTTTCTGAAAAAAATCATTTTACAAATAAAAACTGTGGCAAGACTTTTCTACAAATACAAACAATCTACACCTAGTAATGAAGCGGACCACAAGCGTCTTTATTATTAGTGCAGTAAAAATAAGCGAATAATTCCATAAACCCAAAAAAAATTAACACAGGCGGGGAATTTGGTACAGATGTTGGGTGTACCTTCCTTTTGAACATACAAAAAGTCCCCTAAAATTGATGCTGTGCTACGGCTGCCATATTGGAAAATGGCGGCATATTTCTGTATTTTTTCCTATACTGTAGTGACTTTATAATTAGAGATACAGGAAAAAGTTAAATATACAAAATGTAGTCCATCTAAAAATACACATTTTTTGTATTTACCATTTTCCTCTAAACCCAACGGTTTTTGAGTTATTTGTGATTAAGTATATTTAGTTTTTTCTATTTATCAAAAATAGGCGAAACCCATGGAAATCGACGGTTACTTTCAAGGTTTACGATCATTCTTCCCATTTAGTTAAATAGTGTAATACTATAAAATCTTAAAATGTAACTTTATTTTATGAGTAAAACAACTCCACCACAGCTAACCTGCAAACTCAGCAAGTTTTCATTTGATTGGATGTTTAATTAAATGTATATAAATAAAATTAGGTTTAACAGGTATCTAGGTTTGCTGCTACAGGGAGGATAGTATAGTGCATATTTTTAGTAAAATATCAATAACTTAGTATAAAATAAACTAATTTTTCAAGTTTGATTACAATAAATCCATAAACAAGCAAACTACAACAGTTAACTTATTCACAAGAATAGCATGGGAGTTTTAAATTTACAATTTACAAATTTAAATATACAAATTTTGGTTGTGTTTACTAAAAAAGATGGCGATTATTTGTCACGATTCAAATATTAACCGAAGGGGTTTTCATAAGGAGATGGAGCAAATTATTTAAGTAATATTAATTCGTACCAAGTACCGGAAATATTTATGCAGTATGGTAATCAACCATATTTTGTAAAGTACGCAATAGTCATATTAATATTTTATCCCCTTTTTTCCATTTAATAATTAATACATCTACTTTTGAAAACCCCTTCGGTTAATATTTGAATCGTGACAAATGATCGCCATCTTTTTTAGTAAACACAAACAAAATTTGTATATTAAAATTTGTAAATTGTAAATTTAAAACTCCCATGCTATTCTTGTGAATAAGTTAACTGTTGTAGTTTGCTTGTTTATGGATTTATTGTGATCAAACTTGAAAAATTAGTTTATTTTATACTAAGTTATTGATATTTTACTAAAAATATGCACTATACTACCCTCCCTGTAGCAGCAAACCTAGATACCTGTTAAACCTAATTTTATTTATATACATTTAATTAAACATCCAATCAAATGAAAACTTGCTGAGTTTGCAGGTTAGCTGTGGTGGAGTTCTTTTACTCATAAAATAAAGTTACATTTTAAGATTTTATAGATTACACTATTTAACTAAATGGGAAGAATTATCGTAACCCTTGAAAGTAACCGTCGATTTCCATGGATTTCGCCTATTGTTGATGTAAATATACTTAATCACAAATAACTCAAAAACCGTTGGGTTTAAAGGAAAATGGTAAATACAAAAAAATGTGTATTTTTAGATGGACTACATTTTGTATATATAAATTTTTCCTGTATCTCTAATAATAAAGTCACTATAGCCAAAAATACAGAAATATAGCGGCCGTAGCACAGCTTCAATTTTAGGGGACTTTTAGTATGTTCAAAAGGAAGGTACACCCAACATCTGTACCAAATTCCCCGCCTGTGCAAATTTTTTTGGGTGAAAACATATTTTTATTGTACTATATGCTATAGGTCAAGATTAATACATTTTAAAATTATTTTGTAAATTTGTAATTATTGTTGTACCTTTTAGCGAATTTCCCATATAGGGAATAAGCTATTACCGTAGTACTCATGGTAAGACCTGGACGCGGGACCGATTTTTTGTTGTTTTGAGGTCCCTAGAGGCCAAAAACACCATCCGTTCAAATTCATATATATATATATATATTTATATATTTATATATATATATATATATATATATATGTGTCCGTTAGCACGATAACTCGAGCAAAAATTATTCGACTTTGATGAAATTTGGTACAAACGTGTAAACCTACATTTATTCAAACGAGTTCGCGATCCAGCATGATCGGACTATGGGAACGGGGGTTTACGGGCGGTTTTATGGGGTAAAAATAGGTTTTTCCCATTTTTGACCCAAAAAACATCAAATTTAGCAATTTCTTTCCAAACCATTTTGTAGAGCTTAAAACAACAAATAATTTAGTATATTGAAGCGTTATAATGCGCCTAATGGTTACGGAGAAAATTCCAAAAAATTGTAAATTTAAAATTCCCATGTTATTTTTATGGAGAATAAGTAAACTGTTGTAGTTTGCTTGTTTATGAACATATTTTGATCAAATTTGGAAAATGTTTTTATTTCTTACTAACTATTAACATTTTACAAAAAAAAAAAAAAAAAAACAGTTTTTTTTTTTTTAAGTAGGTACTTGTTAAACTAATTCTATTTAAATCGGGAATAAATGTTATATTTTTTTTCAGTATAAATCCAATCAGTCAAATGGAAATTCGCTTAGTCTGCAGGTTTGCTGCGGCGGGGGTATTTAATTGATATTACAATTTAAATATTGATGTTACGTGAAAATTTGTTAGTTATAATTGGTTTTTGAATAGTTTATTTTTCACTCTGTTTAAAGTGTATCCTAGTTTTTGTACAATGTTTAAATATAGTATTTAGAGTAATTTTTTGAATGAATGAATAAATATTAATTTTCCTTTTTATTCTTCGAACTAGAATAATTTTGCACTCTGTCCCTCATAATATTAGTTTTATATAAAGATTTATTTTTAGTTTTAATATGTGACAATCTCAAATTCATCATTGAACGAGGCATGTTTTTTAAGTAAGTACAGTTTTTAAATTTCTCCATTCCAGCGCTGTGATTGGCATATTGGGCATTTGCACTGTGTATGTGCATCTATTGGCAAGCCTGCACCAGAAATTCGGCAACAATCAGCCGTGTTTTTCATCCGGTTTTGAGCATTCAAAATGGTACCGCCAATTGAGACTGCCGCCGACTGTGAAGTACACGCTGTAATTAGGTTTTTAAGTACTTAAGGTGTGAATGCCATTGAAATTCATTGAAAGTTTAGTGAAGTGTATGGTGAGAACATTATGAGTGACGGAATGGTACACAAGTGGGTAAGGGCATTTAAAGACGGCCGCACCAACGTTCATGATGAGCAACGCACTGGGAGGCGTCATTACTGTACCCAGTACCAAAGTGCGTAATAAATAAAAATCTTGAATTTTGAATCTTGATTAGTCATTTACAAAAGAGATTTGAAAATTAACAATTTCAATGTATAATATGTAAAAAATGTATACTTTTTCTAAAAGTATACTTGATTTACCACAGTTGCCAATCAAATTGGTATTTTGCTAGCCTGACCAGTTTGCAAAACAGCTGATTTCTCTACATTTTACTTTGACTACTATTAAATTAATGCTTTGATTTAGGAAATTAAAATTTAGCTTTGACTGAAATTTTATTTTAATCTGCAGGAAATGGTTTCTATGTATATTATATTAATTCTTACAAGTTAAATTTTACAAATACACAACAAAATTGTGTTTCATAAAATCGAGGTAATAATTTATATTTATGATGATAATCAACGATATGTAAACTGAGACTATTTTATGTTCGCCGAGTCTTGAAATTTGCAATGACGTTCATCACGTTGCCTCAACAAAATAGATCAGTTATAAACCATATTCGAAGTTGGGTTGTCCGAAGTTGTTTTAAGCCTAAGTATTGAAACACAATAATTACTTCATTAATCATGTTTCTGTTAAAAGCACAGTAAAAATATAAATTTATTTGTAGTGATTTATTAAAATTATAGCTCAAATAATAAAGTATAATTTTAACGTACCAATGACCCATAATAACCTAGAAAATGAAAATCAGACAGTAGCCTACTAAATTGGCCTACAACCATTGGCAAGCTGTACCACAGAACTTAAAAGATAACAGTGTCATTACCAGCTTGCATTGCTTTTTATCAGTCATTGCCGTTACGATGTTTTGATGTTGACATGATTGTGTCAAGTATAGCTCAGATCAGGCTCAAACAAAAAGTAACTTATTTTTTCATACTTTTTAACTAGAAAGATCCACCTTATTTTATATTTTATATTATGGTGCCTTGGTTTAGCATAATTTTAATAGGGATGGACGGGTCCCGAAATTTCGGGAATTTTTCGGGAAAAAAATATTCCCGATTATCGGGACGGGATTACATTTGATTCGGGAATTTTTCGGGACGGGATTTGGTCCGATCGCTGAAGATTTTGCCGCTTCGCGAGTGCCGATGACGCCGCTATTGCGAGCGATAGGTCAGCGAACGCAGGAGACGAAGTCGTTTCGACGATTGCGCCGTGACCGCGGAGTCATACCGACGATCGCGACGTGACCGCGAGTCATACCGACGATCATGCCGTTACCGCGAGTCATACCGACAATCACGCTGTGACCGCGGAGTAGGGATGGACGAGATTGGATTTTAGTTCGAGACGAGACGAGACGAGATTTTTTATTTCTCATAAACTTTCGAGACGAGATCGAGACGGGATTTCCCTTCTCATACACAACGGGAAATGCACGTTCAAAATTTTTACCTGATTTTGTAACATTGTTAGATGACTGTTTAAATACAAAAATAATGATAATAGGCAAGAATATTTACAATCTTTTATTAAAAAACATCAGCATAACATTTTTTTATTAATCACGCCTAACTTATTAAAAATGCCTACGATTAGGAAACATAGTGATATCAGTTAGGATAGAGTTCAACTTATCCTAAAATAAAATAAATCATAAAATAAAAGCAATATTAATTTTTATAAAATAGTTAGGTACTTGTTTTGACTTTTTATAGTAATAAACATTCCTCACACTGCTTACATTTAACAAAACTTCTCAAATGTTATTAAAGTAATATTATTAAGATAATTAAAGTAATATTTACATTTAAAGAATTAATTAAATAAGAACGCCTTCGCAAAGGAAACGCAACTACAACACGCTCCTGTATTGCGGGTATTGCATTGTCTTTCTGCAGGCGTTTTAATTTTTTTTTTTTATTCTCGTCTCGATAAAAATCTCGGCCTAAAAGAAATCTCGTCTCGTGTAACGAGATTTAAAATTTCCCGAAATTTCGAGACTTGACCATCCCTACCGCGGAGTCATACCGACGATCGCGCCGTGACCGCGAGTCATACCGATGATCACCCCGTGACCGCGGAGTCATACCGACGATCACCCCGTGACCGTGGAGTCATACCGACGATCACCCCGTGACCGCGGAGTCATACCGACGATCACGCCGTGACCGCGGTGTCATACCGACGATCGCGCCATGACCGCGAGTCATACCGACGATCATGCCGTGACCGCGAGTCATACCGACAATCACGCTGTGACCGCGGAGTCATACCGACGATCGCGCCGTGACCGCGGAGTCATACCGACGATCGCGCCGTGACCGCGAGTCATACCGACGATCACGCCGTAACCGCGGAGTCATACCGACAATCACGCCGTGACCGCGGAGTCATACCGACGATCGTGCCGTGACCGCAGAGTCATACCAACGACGATCATGCCGTGACCGCGAGTCATACAGACAATCACCCTGTTACCGCCGTCATTTTGACGATCGCATCGTGACCGCGAGTCCTTTCGACCGTGAGTCACAAGTTTCTATAGGTACCTGAAAAATTGTTACCCATCTTTTGGTTTTTATAGGTCAGTGCCACAAACGGTAAAGATTGATTTCGTATGCCTTTTTTGGTAACTGCAATACTCAAGACATTCTTTTTATGCACAGAAAAAAATCGGGAAGGAAATAAAAATCCCGTCCCGTCCCGTCCCGAACTAAAAATTCAATCCCGTCCATCCCTAAATTTTAATAATGATGTATCCAAAGTTTTTCAAGACAATTCAAGAAATGTTGACAATGTTTGTGTCATTGTTTTCTTTAATAACACTACCTTTTAAAAAATTGTTTGCATAAAAACTCCAGTTGATCATTGCCTTCCTAATGTGATATTGTAACCAATGACCTCAAATGTAAGCGACCTCCATGTTAGCTAAGATTCTTGGTAAACGGGGTAGTATTTATATTATATTTTAAAGTACAGGTTAAGTGTAAGAAAGGGCCATGTGACCCTAACTTTGCCTGTGTAAATAAATGATTTTTCATTTCATTTCATTTAGTCTCTGTCCCAACAACCTAGATTAATTGGGAATGTATTGTACTAACCTCAACGTTGTAATAACGTTGGTTGAGCACATAATAATTCATATCTTGTGATTGTTACTTATATTCAGAGGAAATCAACAGTTCAGAAAATAATAGCGATTCAAATACTCTACCGAAAACAGCAGAAAAAGTTATACACCACAGTGTTTAGAAGTGTTGTGAAAAGAAAAACATTTTTTGGCAAAATTTTGCTAAAAAATGTTACGGTAAAAAAATTTTTATACCTCAATAACGAATCCTACTTCAGTAATGACCTCTTTGACAACACTGTAAGGTGGCTCAATAGAGAACTCTCCGGTCATGTTGCTATAATGGTACAAAAGAGGACCCAAATTGATCCAAACTCCTCCTACAACAAAAAATAACAAGCGTTTTACAGTCAACAATAATTTTGTATTCTTGTTTAAGTGTAATAACACAAGAAAAACACTAAAGACTGGTTTAGGAAATGACCAGGGATAAGCATGTTTAAACATTTTTTTAAAAGGCCATAGAATATGCAACTCCGAAATGTTATATCATCCACTATCTCGGTTACGTTGTTGAACGGATTGATGAAACCAACTGGTTATTATTTATTACACAAATAATAATAAAGCAAGCGTAGTGAGATCTTAAATAATTCTAGTAGATTGGAGGTGAAGTGACATGCCAACTTTGTACAATCAACCTGTTCCCAATTGAGGTCCTGCCACTGGCTATAGATAAAGTGGTCACCCCACAGATATTAAAAGTATTGATACAAATTTCAATAATTATTTTGTGAATAAGTTTGGCTATTAACATTGACAGACCATCAGACGTGGAAGACTTCCACCATGCCGAGGAATCTATTCTGACATGACTCCCAACCACAATTTATAAATATAATTAGTCGTTTATCTCCTAGGTAGGACAAAATTCCATCAAAATTAATAAATTAATCAAAGTTTATGTTGCACACTTGTTCCAGTCTCTTCATCATATTAACTAATCTCATACTGACGTGTGAATTTCCAAACGCTTAGTAAATTTTAGTTAAGGTTTTGCTCTTTATTATTCCTACTGCCATTAGCATCCAAACGTTGCCCATTCATGGACGAATATTTCTATTTACTCATGATGTAGCTCTGGTGTAATTTGCAAGGATCTGGAACAAAGTCATCAACCCCTAAACTGGTTAAGATCATCAATCTCTTGAGTAATGAAAAACTGGTTGACGAGTGTGGTTGTTCCTGAACTGCCTCTATGATTTTGGCGTAAGTAAGTATAGACATTCTGGGATTTTTAGGTCAAGGTGTTTCAGGTGCTTCCCTAATGTCTTGATGCGGGATTGAACTCAGGTCTGAGGTTTGATTGACAAGCCAATATGGGCAGAGGCACCTACCATTGACATGTTTCTTGCCTAGGAACAGATGTTCTATGCTCCTTGCTTAATCTCACTCCTGCCGAAAGTCTCTGAGCACAAAAACTTTGCATGAAAACTATTGATCTAGTCAGTATGAGTTGGGGTGTATTAGCGTACACAGGGTTTTTGGAGCCTAAATAAATACGCTTGATAGAAGTGGCGATATAAGGGATTGCTTCAGTGAAGGTGGTTGGTGGTGAATGGAGGATGGGACGATACATTTTTCGGCAGCTCTTCAAGTGCTAAAGACACTGGTAATGGGGAAGGTGTTGAGACAAAATATTATTTTATAAAACCTTTTCTCTAGTGTAGTTAAACACAATATATGGTTTACTGGCATAGGGAGGTGCCTCAGTGCTGTGACTCTTGGAAGTAAAAAAAAAATGTAAGATACTCTTCGGACTCACTGTGTAATCATTTTTTTGTCAATTCACTTCACAATTGTATTTAAAGGTGTATTGGTTCAGATACAAAAAAATTGAATTTTTACATTACAACTCACCAGTACTTAATTATAATTATAATGAATATTAGGTTATTTCCAAACTAAAATTTCAGGAAAGATCTGCATAAGTTACTAAATGCATTATCTCTATAAAAATCTTCTAATGTACATGAGTGCAGGGATTGGCAGCATGGCTGTCTATAGGTAAAGTTGATGAGTTTACCTGCTGCTCAGCATAGGCCCACAGGATACATTATTTTTAATGGTATCATTAGTATAAGCAAACTATATTCTAATTCTCAAGTCCTAGCCCTAATTAAATTTAAATGGTATGTCTGTTTTGTAATGTTTGTAGGTATTTCTATGAGTATTCTGTTTATAATCTTGGCAGTGACGAAGTCTGCTCCTATATTGGAAGTGGACTGTTTTGGTCAGCCAAGCCAACACGACCAGAACAGACCCAGCTCCTACACTATAGATATAGTCTCCATTTCAGGATTCAGTATAGTGTCAGCTCTCGACAAGGAAAGTTGCTTATAAAACTGAAATTTTCAATTTGCAACTGGGACTGACTGGGAGAAGAAAAACAAACTAGTTTGGTTCTTGTCAGACCAGTTCAGACCCGTCCCTCCTTTCCAGCACTACAACTGGCTTCAGTGTAGGAGGGGAGAAGGTGGTGTTTTTCATCATACTCGCTCAGACCGTCAAGTTTGAAGGAATTCCCTTTCCATAATAGGATAGGCGACGCCTAAGGACAAAATGAGACCCTTATACACATTGCTGAAACAGCTCCAGTTTCAAGTAAGGTACAGTAAATTACCTGGCTTAAGAATGTCATAAATCTTTTCAATGAAGTCCACAACATTGTTGGCACAGTCAATGAAAAAGCAAGTGGCAACACAGTCCCAGTCCTCGGGATTTTGATAAATCTGTAAAGAAATGATTCCATCAGATTTAAATTGCACACTCTTAACTAATCATTTATAATAATGACAACTTCAAATACCGGGTGTACACAAAAGAAGTAAACAACTTTGTTTAAAAATTACTGTGAAGTTTTATTTACTTATAAAGAGAATGAAACTGGGACCGATTAAATATTTTACTGGCGGTGCTTCAAAATTGCGGGGCATACCATAGTGACCTGTGCATTAATTAACGCCCGACACTGCCTAGTCGGTCCTACAGGTACCTGGTCGAGAGGTGTTTACTGTTTACTTAAAAAAATAGTAGAAGTCTGCTTAATGCTGTAATTAATTTATGTGCTTTATAATTCTTTAAATTATTGATATTTTTGTTAAGGAGAAAATGATAATTTCACAAGTTTTAAAGCCCGCATGAAAGAAAGAATTAGGGTGAGGGCAAAAGATAGGATTTGGGAGAGGGAGAGTGCAGCCCCCTCTCTCACGGAACAAGAGAGATGTCCGCGGAACAAAAGCGATGTTTCGGCTGGCCCCGAAATCTACCTGCTGACCCCTGGAACAAAAGTAATGTGAAGAAATTAGCCTTCAACCGTGGAACAAAAGCAATACACGCGTATTAAAATTTAAAAATTACTTTTTTGATTCCCCCCTTTATTAATAAGTAAACGAAAAGTTTCTGATGGAATATTTAAATTCTTTCGATAAATTTTTTGTAATATTATACACATTATTATTCTGTGGCAGATTTTAAAACGAATTAATTCTGTAGATGGGTAGTTGTAAGTGGTTTGGTATTTTTTTATAGTTATGGTAAAATGTACATTGATTGCTACAAGGTTGTCTAGAGCAAAAAATGGAATTTGTAATACTTTTTTGATTATGAAATCAACTAGCCAGGATTTCCAAGATTCTCTCATTCTAACATACAAACTTAAGAATGAAATAATCTGATATTTTGTTGTAATTCGCTGATAATTATTACAAATTTTATGAGTTACTTATTTATCTTGTACTGGATTGTTCACTTAAACAAAATAACGTCTGACAGATAGGAATTGTGTCTTAAACTGCCAGTCATTTAAAAAAATAAAACTTCCCAGGTTGAGTTACCTCCAGGAAGTCTCCTGCGGCCATTGTAAACTGCGAGGCTCCATTTTTGAGAAGGGAGTTTGGATTGATATCAGGAAAATAAACTTGTTGCATCTGGTGATCAGCTGTCATGTTATTTTCCACTTGATGTATCCATGGATACACACTGTACAGGTTCACTCCATTGCACCTTCCGGAGAAAACAACATTTTTAAAGCAATAAATAAAGGTGATGGCAGCTATCTTACCTTATAAAAAGTACAGGTAGGACAAAGAACACATAAAAGACACATAAAATATGCAATATAAGTGTAAAGACCTAATTGTACATACCAATCAAGTCAAAAACTTTCAGTAGGCCTAATGTGTTTTTAACTCTGTCTTGGTTCCATCAGAGTGACTGAAAACGGCGTAAAGCAAAAACTCCAAAATCTTGATGTTAACAAAGGAGCTGGACTTGATAACATCCCTCCATCTGTCCTCCATCACTGTTCTGACTTACTTCACAGACCTCTTCAGATGCTCTTTAATGAATCCCTTGCAAAAGGAGTTTTTCCATATGCCCTAAAGAGTGGTTATATTATACCAATCCCCAAAAAAGGAGACCCAAGTGATGTAAAAAATTACCGCCCGATTACTATCCTGTCCGCTGTTGGAAAAATATTTGAAAGCATTGTGGCTGATAGACTCAAATACCATTTTTCAAGAATTATTCACCCTGCTCAGCATGGCTTCGTACCTGGGAAATCAACAGTATCCAATTTGCTACTGTTTCAAGAATCTGTACTCTCTGCCTTCCGCAACAACAACCAGGTTGATACGATCTACATAGACATGGCCAAAGCATTTGACAAAGTTGATCATAACATCTTGGTGTCCAAATTAAGAGGGCATGGAGTTACGGATCCCCTGCTTTCCTGGATTACTGACTACTTGTCCAATCGCTCTCTGGTTGTCAAAATTGGGTCTGTGAAATCTGGAGAGTTTACTCAATCTTCTGGCGTCCCTCAGGGCTCCATATTAGGCCCATGGCTATTTAACATTTTCATCAATGATCTGGTAGACGCTGTGGAAACAAATGCTCTATTGTTTGCCGACGATCTTAAAGTATTCGCCGAGATTTCCTCAGTAGAAGACTGCCGCATGATGCAAAAAAGCCTGGACGGAATCAGTCGATGGTGCATCAGTAACAACATGCAGATTAACCCTGAAAAGTGTTCAAGTATGTCCTTTCATCGCAGCAAGAACCCCCTCTTGACATCTTACTCAATCTCAGATGTTGATATCCATAGAGTTACCGTTATAAAGGATCTGGGTGTTTTCTTCCGTCACGACATGGGCTTCTCAGACCACGTTGATGGGATTTGTAAACAGGGCAACAAAATGTTGGGCTTCATCTCAAGATCTACCCGTGGGATTAACAACCCTGATGCTCTAAGAACGCTGTACTGCGCTATGGTGAGACAGATTGTGGAGTACGCCAGCCCCGTGTGGTCACCCTATGCTATTGGTGAAAAAGACAGGCTGGAAGCATTGCAGAGACGTTTCATCCGCTTAGTGGGAGTTCGCAATGGCTTTAACTACGCGGACGTCCCTGTCGTTTCTCTCTCTTCTGAACTGCAGCTTGTATCTCTTGCGGTGCGCCAAAACTTGGCCGACTTCATGCTCCTACTGAAAATAATCAGAGGTCTTCTATTTTGTCCGTATCTCCTGTCAAAAATTGACTTCAAAGTACCGTCTGGCACTAGGACTAGGGAACTCTTCGTCCGAAGACACAACAACACGTCTTTCGACTTCCACAGCCCACTAGCTCGTCTTGCCAGGCTTGGAAACCGTGTTGCTCCGGACTGTGACCTGTTCTGTGACACAATTTCTCATCTCAGAAGATGTGCTACGGAAATCTTCACTCCTTGAACCTGTACGAGCGTAAACTAGGCCTACTTCCAGACACAGATTTTCACCAGCATTTGTTCATCTTGTGATGTAGGCCCCATGTAAAATTTGTAAAACTGATTATTATGTTTGTTCCTGCATTTTTGTCAATGTAAAATTATTTATTGTAAAACAATTATTGTAACGAATTTGTCAATTTGTATGTATTGTAAAATAACTTAAACTCTTCTTGATCTCACTCATGCACTACTTGTTGCCATCCAACTCTCTATTTAAAAATTGTAAATATTTGTATTGTTAATATTTTTGTTACTATTGATATTGTTACCACTATTGTTATTGTTCACTATTTGTTCACTATTTTGTTGTGAGTTGTTATGTTGTTAATGTTTTTCATTGTAAAGTGGCTATGCCGTTGGGAAATAAAATAAATAAATAAATAAAACCAGAATAGTTTAGCCGTAATCCGCCATTTTGTAGATCTCTTGCATTTCATACACGTTAAAAGATTTAATATTACAAACATTGAAATAATAAGCATTCTTGATAGAATCCTTCCTTAGTAAGGATAGTTTCATAAATTTAATAAAATGGTGAATCAACATAAAAATCTAAAAGTAAATAAACTACCAAAGGTTTTAAACTGGTAATTGCTGTTTATAAAAATAAACATAATTCTTACCCATCAGGAAATTTCAAACCAAACATAGCAACAGCATTAATTTAAGTATGGTTCAACATATCTCGAAACCTTGTGTCCGTGCATGTAGTGCATGACAGAAATTTGAGTTAACATTAATTAACTCATAAGTTAATAACATAACATAAGTTAATCTATAAAAGGTTTAACGTAAAACGTTTTAAAATATAGATTATAGTGTTTTGTGATTTGTTATTAATTGCATGTTGTATCATGACTTGACTGCTATACAGTACATATTTTTTGACTACTACCCTCTGTACTGTATTCCAACTTAGGTTGGGCGTTTGTGTATTGTTAGTTGTAATGTGTTAGTTAAGTTTTTTTTCACCTGAAGACGGGATCAGATTCCAGATCCCGAAACGTTGTGTAGTTTTTTACTTTCGTGATGGAAAATGTCCGCAATAAACCTTTGAACAACATTAACTCACCATCACCAACAATGAACTTCAAACAAAGAATTGTCTTCCAATTTATTTGGGGTTTTGTTGAGTGTCACAAAGTATTGAGTACATCGATTGCGACATCACGTTCGGTTGTTTGGATCGTGGTATGGAATGCATGGCCTGATTGTTTTGCTAACATGAGGTGTCATCATTCTGTGTGACGTGTAGGACCGCCGAACCTGGGGTAGTCAATCAGAGTCGAGCTCAAGGTGTCAGTGAGTCGCGGTTATGCGCTACCTTTCCCTTCCCCGTGGGTGGGCATGTCCGTTTACTTTAATATTTTGATACTTTAAGTTCCCCAAACATGTTCAATTTTAAATAGTTTAATCTAAATTGTCTGTATTTCCAATTGTCAGTAACTTATTAAGAAAGTCTTTTTGTTCATTTAACACTCCGTAATAAATTAAGTATTGAATTTCCTACTAGCCGCATTCGCTTATTGAGTTTCTACCCTTCCCGTGCGTGGTTGTTACATGTGAAATCCTCTAGGAGTCAACCAATGACTGACGGAGATGCAATGTTCGACTAGACAAAATGGAGCTGTGGGGCGTGAAACCAGAACGATCGATTTAGAAGAGATCTTGATTAGCCTATGTTCTGAAAAACATTGTATTTACAAAGATTGACGATATATGCTTGTTAACATCCAGTGAACTTAATAATCCTGAAACCGTTAAAAAAGTTATGGTCGGCGCTAATAAAATTTATAAACCTACGTCTAACTATCAGCAACACAGTGAAACCAGTATAGCTAACATTCATAACCGACAGTGGACAGAAGCAAAAGCTAACAAATCTCGAGGCTTATTGACTAACAGACCTCAACAGTTTGGACACACAACCATATATTTAAACCATGTTCAAAGTAATCTTTAGGAAATGACTCTAATGGCCTAAACTCACTCAGAAAGGAAAAAGGGTGGTGCATTCTGATCTGTTGTTATGCTTCAACTTAAGTAGAGGAACTCTTAGATTTCTAGTAAGTTCAATATATTAAATAAACCAGTTGAACACATTGTTTTACACCCAGCTGATATAATCTTTCAGTCAAAAGACCATACCATGGCCAACACAGTAAAAAATGCCTTTGATAGTATATCATATTTTATTTAATAGTACAATAATATATTACGTTACTAGCCCGGTAAGTGGTGTTTTACTGACGCCTCGCGCGGGATTTTCGTGCGAGTACGTTAAAGCTTACCGGGCAAGTAACGTATGATACTTTACATCATAATACACGGAATAATAAGTAAATTTTAAACGCATAACACAATTTATTAAGACATAACATAAATAATAATATTTTTATATTACAGAAAATAAAATTGGCCATTAGAGTTAGCGGTTTATTTCATCAGCTAAGTGCAGGGTAAAAAAATTTTACTGTGCACTGCATGGTAAAAGTACATAACGTTACTTTTCCGTATTTAGGCATGGTAAAGGGCAACTGATGTAAACTATTAAACACTAGGATTGAAATCTATGGCACATTTGGGTTTTGTTAAGTAAATTGAAGTTCTTTTTATAAAATGCAAACTAAATACATTTTGATTTAATTGCTTTTAATTTTTGACAGATTAAATTTAAATCTGTTTGAACCTTTTCTGTTATTTCACTATCACTACTTGTTTTCATTTGTGTTAATTCACTACCGCTTCAAATATATGAAGCGAAATGTTCTATTGCTCTAAAACTGCACTTCAATCATTTTTATGTCAGCTGAGGTATTCCTTCTCCACTAGGAATTTGTTATTGCTGACCTTGTCTCATCGTTGTTTAGAAACGTATGGACGGAGAGCTCATGTGGGCTACAGTCCTGAAAACGTATTTGAAACAGTGCTACAGCACATAGCGCAGTTCACGTTCCCAAAATATTAACTAAATTTGTGTGTGTGTTATTTTGCTAACAATGTTTTAATCTAGCTTAATTTTTTTTAATATTTGTTTACATTTTAAAATGTGTTAAACGTGCACTATGTTTTTATTTTACCCTTATACAAAATATTTTCCACTTACTTTATGGTTCTGGCTATGTATTCTGATCCAACCCTTTACAAATAAACTTAAACAGGAAATCAAGTTATGGTAGTGACTAAAGAAAATGGCAGTAAAAATGTAGCAGTAATGAATTTAAAAATCTGCCCATGAGTTTTATTTAACAAACAAAAGTTCAAGTAGTACACTTTGATGATATATATGAGAATTATATGCTGTAATAAAGTCATCACAGAAAGTACAGTACATTTTAATATAATTATCATAGAAATATTGCTAACAACTTATCTTTTACCTGTTCAAGACAAAATTTGATGCAAAAAGCATAAAAAGCGAAAACTCATTCCCCTGGCATGTGTAGCCTCGATGTGCTATTTCAAAAGCCAACCTTCCAAGACCAGAACCTGGGACCAACACTTTGATTGATTGGGTATTGCTGAAACAAAAAATTCAAGTTTATTTAAACATAACTAGGCAAGGTCTAAGTACCTATTTAAAAACATTAAGGAAGAAGGATGGGACACAACCAACTTACCCAATAAAAAGAGTTCCATGCAGTCTACAGCACAATTGAATTTGATATTCTATCCCTACAAGGGGACTTCTTCAAAAGGTAGAAGCTTGTACTAAGGAACCTTAAAAATTTTGATTCTCTCACTAATCCGGCTACAACTAAGTAGTGCCACAGTTGTGGGAGGGAAATGGGGAAAGACGTTAAAATTGAGTATATAGCAATCAAGGCCGTAGCCAGGGGGGGGGGGTTAGGGGGTCAAACCCCCCCCCCCCCCCCGAAATACCGAAATTTAGTAGTAAACATTAATACTGGGTTTTAAATTAAATTATAAAATTTAAATCATAACAGAGGATCCAACAACATAACAACATTGTGCATTGCATGCATACTAATATTTTAGATTTTTTTTATTAAAATACAAGATACAAAAATGCACAAGTATAAATATCACATGGATGCAGTAGGTTACAGCCTTACTCCCTAGTCTTTGCTGTGCGCTGCGTGACTGTAGTGTGCGCGTGCGGTGCGATCCAGAATATAGCATATTAACTCATAGACTATCCGCTAGGGGGCACTACGTACAGGGTGCAGGCGGCAAGACACCAACCAACACGTGCTGGCGCCGCCGTCTAGGTTAAGGTCGCACGGACGCACGGTGACAACACCAAATGTGAAGCGAATGTGTAGTGTAGTGTGTATCAACTGAGTGATTTAGTATTGCATTGTGGAAAGAAAGGTATGTTTTTTGTTTTCTTAATAAATATCTTTAACAATTTATAGTACAGTAAACCGTAAACCAACAATCTGTAGGCCTACTTTTGCATAGCATTTGGACCAAAGACAAATAATTGTATTTTGTATTAGCAAAATATTATTTCGTACAAAAGTTAGTTAAGTTACTTACCGTTTTGTTAAACTCGCAAAATAATTAATACTTTTTGATGAAATGGCGACCATAACAAATTGGTATAATTACAATACTATTTTACTTTCTTTTTCCCAATAGTTACAGACTATAAGAAGTGTTAATTTGTCGACTATAGATAGGCCTATAGGCCTACAAAGATATTCATTTTTTTTTTTAATATTAACATGAGGCAAATGCATAATACTGTAATATTTAACGATCCTAAATTCTTTATACCCCCGCCGCAGCAAACCTGCAGACTAAGTGAATTTCCATTTGCCTGATTGGATTTACACTCAAATGTCTCCTTAAAAATATCACATTTATTCCCTATTTAAATAACATTAGTTTAATAAGTACTTAGGTTTGCTGCAACAGGGAGGGTAAAAAGGGGTGTTTTTTTTTTGTAAAATGTTAATGGTTTACATTTTTGGTGCATTTTCCAAATTTGATCAAAATATGTTTATAAACAAGCAAAATACAACAGTTTGCTAGTTTACTTCATCTCCATAAGACTAACATGGGAATTTTAAATTTACAGTTTTTTGGAATTTTCTCTGCAACTTTTAGGCGCATAACCACACTTCAACATACCAAATTATTTGCTTTTTTAAGCTCTACAAAATAGTTTGGAAAGAAGATGCTAAATTTTAAGTTTTTAGGGTCAAAAATCGGAAAAACAAATTTTTACCCCATAAAACCCTGTTCCCATAGTCCGATAATACTGGTTCGCGAACTCGTTCGAATAAACGTAGGTTTCTTTGTTTGAAGTTCATTGTTGGTGATGGTGAGTTAATGTTGTTCAAAGGTTTATTGCGGACATTTTCCATCACGAATGTAAAAAACAATACACAACGTTTCGGGATCTGGAATCTGATCCCGTCTTCAGGTGAAAAAACTTAACTAACACATTACAACTAACAATACACAAACGCCCAACCTAAGTTGGAATACACTACCGAGGGTAGTAGTCAAAAAATATGCACTGTATAGCAGTCAAGTCATGATACAACATGCAATTAATAACAAATCACAAAAACACTATAATCTATAAAAGGTTTACGTACAAAAAACTCACACAATGGAACACTAACAACACCGTACGCTATGACTCCACCAATGAGACTGAACCAACATGGCTGACCAATCGGAAACACGGAGACAACAGAAATGGCTTCCGGTCCCTGGAAAAGTAAAACCAACAAAATGGCGGAGCGATGTACGATGCCGCAAGATGGGTGTTAATTATGTTTATTCCTACCACGAGTTTTACTACGAGTTAACATAACGTGCGAATTTTGAGGAGAACTCGTTATTTCCCTATTTATTGAACAATTAAGTTCCCTATCCTTTAGTTCCTTGTTCAAAATGGGTAGCCAAAGTGGCCTTATTTCAACCGATGACTGACTGATTGGTTGGTCTGCTAATTTAATGTATGAGGCTTCAATGAGTTTACGTTTGAAAAAATGAGGTTCCTTATGGACAATTTTTGCCTCTTCAAAATTCATACGATGATTTTCGGACCAGCAATGATGAGCGATCTTAGATTTTTCCACTAAACCTTTTTTGGTGTTTTCTCTGTGTTCTTTGATTCTAATGTTCAACGGTCTTTTTGTCTCGCCATAGTAAGGCCTGGAACAATCATTGCAATTTATTCTGTAAACACAGTTTTTAGTATCCTGAGTGTCATTTTTGGGTTTTGTTTTGACGAGACTCTGCCTAAGTGTGTTTTGTGTCCTAAATGCTGTTTGCACATTAAATTTCCTAGCAACCCTTCTGATTTTTTCCGACAGTCCTGACACATACGGGATTGACATGTGGACGAGTTTTTCCTTGCGATTTTGTAAAGGTTCACGCGTAGCCCTATCTTTCTTGCATTTGTTTATAATGGATCGAGGGTATCCGTTACTAGCCAAATCCTGTTCTACTTTCTTAATTTCATCCTTTAACTCATCCTGATTGGAGCAAATGCTCTTAGCCCTGTCAAACAGAGAGTAAGCAACCCCCTCCTTGACAGAAATTTGGTGGTTTGATTGGAAGTTTAGATACTGCCCTGTGTGTGTCTTTTTTCTATAAACAGATGTTCTAAGACTGTTCAAATGCTTTTCTACGCACACGTCCAAAAAGGGGAGTTTGTTTTGTGATTCCACCTCCATGGTTAGTTTTATGGAGGATGAAACGCTATTAAGATGCTCTAAAAACTCATTCAATTTATCATCTCCATGAGGGAAAACCACGAAAGTGTCATCGACATATCTCCACCATATCCTTGGTTTGAGCCGAGCTGAAGCCAAAGCTTTTTGCTCAAACTCCTCCATAAAGATGTTGGCAAAGATAGGTGACAATGGTGACCCCATGGCCATACCCTCATCTTGACGGTATAATTTACCCTCTAATTGGAAATAGTTACATTGAGTACACAACTCCAAAAGTTCCATTATGACGTTAACAGGGAGTTTAGTTCTGTTTGCTAAAGTATCGTCGTTTGTGAGACGAGTCTCAATTATTACTTACTCCACAATTGTTCAATTGTGTTCAATGTTGTTGTTGTTGTGTTCAATTGTTACTTTTTCCAGGGACCGGAAGCCATTTCTATTGTCTCCGTGTTTCCGATTGGTCAGCCATGTTGGTTCAGTCTCATTGGTGGAGTCATAGCGTACGGTGTTGTTAGTGTTCCATTGTGTGAGTTTTTTGTACGTAAACCTTTTATAGATTATAGTGTTTTTGTGATTTGTTATTAATTGCATGTTGTATCATGACTTGACTGCTATACAGTGCATATTTTTTGACTACTACCCTCGGTAGTGTATTCCAACTTAGGTTGGGCGTTTGTGTATTGTTAGTTGTAATGTGTTAGTTAAGTTTTTTCACCTGAAGACGGGATCAGATTCCAGATCCCGAAACGTTGTGTATTGTTTTTTACATTCGTGATGGAAAATGTCCGCAATAAACCTTTGAACAACGTAGGTTTGATAAGAAAGCAGTATCCAGAAGCACTTTATGTCCATTGTTGCTCTCACTCGTTAAACCTTGCTCTTTGTCACTCTTGCAATTTACAGAGTGTGAGAAATTGTGTTGGCACAGTCAAATCTGTGATAAGTTTTTTCAAAATCTCTCCAAAAAGAATGAATTTGCTGAAAGAAAAAATTAAAACAGAGAACCCGGACTCACAATGGAAAACTCTAACATCGATGTGTGAAACCAGGTGGGTTGAGAACCACAACAGCCTACTTAAGTTTCGGGAACTTTTCAAAACTATCACAGCCACCTAGCGACACAGACATGGATACATCTTCCAAGGCATCATCATTTGTGAGGGCATTGATTTGTGGGGAGTTCGTTATTAGCCTATGCTTCTTAGCTAAAGTGTTTTCACATACTGTGACTCTTTGTAAAGTGTTACAATCCCCCCTGTGTGATTTGAAATCTGCAACAGATCATGTTGGAAACATTGTAGACCTCTTTCAGAATATGCGAAAGAACATTGAGGTGGAGTTTTCTTGTATCTACAAGACAGCTAAATCGTTGCTTGCTGATGTTTGTGGAGAAGTCAAGCTCCCTCGTATCGCTGCATCACAACGCAACCGATGTAACATAACATACAAACTTCAGATCCAGAAGAATATTTTCGCATTGCGATGGCAATTCCACTGCTTGAAGATTTTACAAATCAGCTGCAAGGAAGATTCATGGATCATCAAGGAGTTTTCCAGAATTTGAACGCTCTGTTACCGTCTCTATGTTGCAATGAATCTACTGTTTTAGATATGGAATATTTAAAAGTTTACAAAAATAAAGTGGACTTAGACTTATTGGAATCCGAGTTTGATTTGTGCAAGATAAATTGGAAAAAACAGGCACAGTGTGATCGTCCATCAAATGCGATTGAAGCCCTTTCAGAATGCAATAAGAATTTTACCCCATCATTTTCAAACTTTTACAAATATTTTCCACTCTTCCAGTTACCACCTGTACGCCAGAACGTACGTTTTCAACACTCGACTTATCTCAGGAACCCTTGTGGTCAAGACCGGCTTTGTGGCCTAGCTTTGATGTCAGTTCATAGGAGTATATCAATTTCGACAGACGAGGTTGTAAACATTTTTGCGTCAAAACATGGCAGAAGGTTGAATTTTGTTTTGTAAACTGTTTTCTCTCCATATATCACAGTGCTGTTTACCTTACTAATACACATAATTAGCAGATAACTTCTGTTATGTTTTCTATCATTTTCCCCACTTTTTTTAAACTTGCTTAACGATTTTGCACCATAACTGATTTATTTACCTATTATTATGTTTTGCAATATCCATTCATATTTAATGTCATTCTAATAAATCTGATCTATTAAATAGGAATAGGTATTAAAACTATGAAGTATTTACAATATAAAGTAGCCTACAATACGTTTTGAGATTTATGAATGCAATAGGCATAACAGTTTTTAAAATGTCTAAATAAATGGGGAAATGGGAGGTTTTGCACACAGTTCTAGACGTTGAAACTGGCTGTAGAAAGTCACCCAACGGCTTTTAGGAGGGATGGCCGAAGTCTACAGTGTGTTTTAAAATTAATGAATGCAACCGTCATTGTTTAATTTTTAAAATGTCTATTTGCTCATGACAAACAACAGGTGAAATGGGAGTTTATATGGACAGTTGGGCACAGTTTTAGGTGTTAAAAATGGCTTTAGAAAGCCACCAAATGGCTTTGAAAATTCCAAATTTTTCCAGGGGAGAACCCCCAGACCCCCCTGTTTTATTGGGGGGTGCTCCACACCCCCCAGACCCCCACCTAGCAAGTGAAGTTGATAGCAATCATGGTGAAATCATGTAAATTTCCCTCAGTTTCTGAGATCATAGTTGTTTTATCCATCAGTCTCAAATCATTGTGCATTTTCTGCAGATGATTTCAATGACCTCAATAATATTGTGAAATTAATACTTCGACTTGATTTTCATAAGATTTCAAAAACACTAATATAAAATAAACAAACACAACTTCACTGCAAAGCGACACAACTGGAATAGACATTAGAGGGACAGTGACATTACATTTGCTATAAATAGACTAAAAAGTCAATATTGCAGACTGCCGGATCACCTGTCTCTCCAAGAAAGAAGTCTGGCCTTCTAACCACTAGTCTGCCCATAATGTAACATGCCTCCACTCATTTAGGTGTTAAGAAATTATAAAACAAAGAGAGGGCTAACAGATGCCTATTTTAGCCTTAATTGATTACATAAACTCTAGTCATACATCACACACTCGAAATACTGTAACAACACTTAGGCCTAGCAATCATCAAATACAAAAAGTTACAAATATAAATAGCCTAAAGTATGGCCATATTAATTAATATTCGATTAAAATATGCTTGAGTTTGTTATAACGCTAGAACAGTTTTTGTTACACAAAAAACCCTCATTAAGTGTGCTTTAAACAGATTTGATTCGATTATCATTTGAAACTCTTGTAAGATCCTTGAGTGGTCGGTTGGTTTTATACAAACTAATTTTTCCTTTTCTCTAAACAAAGAGTTTTGAATGGTATTTACAGAATCAGAATCGTCCTTTATTGTCCTTCAGCATTACATACATGCAATAGACAAAGTCATTTTTAACATGCAAAATTAATAAAAAATACATAACATACAATTTGTAATAGATAGGCTTATAACTATAATACTGATTATTAAAAACTAACAGAATGCTCTTTATAAAATTCTTCTAGGCTGTAAAAAGGATTTTGGCTCAGCCAGTCATACAACCTTTTTTTAAACACTTTAAGCTCCAGAAATTTACAGCTATCACTTAACTTATTAAATAATTTTAAACTAACTATATTAAAACTATCTTGACATTTACTTAACCTAGTATATGGCAGGTCTAGCATAGATTGGTTTCTTGTATTATGGCTATGTATATCTGATCTTAAAACTAATAAACCTAAATTAAAATCTTTTTTCACCTTCACCAAGCAAACAAATACATACAAATTTATCACGGTTTGAATTTTTACATTTTGTTAGCAAAGGGTTATGCCTAAGCTTTCCATTTTTTCAAGAGAAACCTTATTCAAAATCCGAAGTGCTTTTTTTTTTTGGATTAACAAAACTTGATCTATATGGGCACTATTTCCCCAAAGAATTAGGTCATAATTTATATCTGACTGGAAAAATGTGAAATAAGCTGTTCTAACATATGACTCAGGTACAATATCTATCAGTGATTTGAGCAAGAATGTGACTCTAGATAATTTACAACATACTAACTCAACATGTTTTTCCCAGTACTATCAATTACAGTAAGGGTTTGTTACGTAAATTTCAGGAGCGATGTAGTTAAGGCTGCATATAGTCTGAACTACGGCTAACAAATTGGCCTAGATGCAGACTGTATTGGATGTAAATGGGCAAGTCCCAGTATATTTATTTATTCATTTTACTCATTGTTTACACCCCATTAAAATTAATCACCTCACAGATTTGAGGAATTTTTATTCAATGATTTCAAAATAATTAGATTCAGGTAAAGTGCCTAAATTTCTCATGTTTCTATTGTACCTATTTGTCTTTACTTCTAGGAAGGTTCACACAACTTACCAAGAGGCAGGTGGGAAATTGTTTACTACTTCATCCACAATTGGTTGATAACAAGCATTGCGCTCTGATTTCCCTTCCTCACTCCAGTCTCTGACAAACTGTTTCAGTGTAGTTTGGACACGTTCTATATCCATCACTGAAGGCTTCGGGCCATTGGGCTGGAACATCGCAACACACTACAATAGATCCTATCAATGTTTAGATTTGGCAGTTCTTATGCTATGGTGGGTATATCATCGTTTTATAGCATTAATTTATTTCAGATCATGGTTGAAATTGATTTACAGCCGTGTAAGTATCGTAAAACCTTTACAACTGCTGGTGATCATGCTATCAAGATAAGACACATAAATATATGGATATTTGGAGTCTTTCACTCTCCATGTTAAGACCATGGAAAGACTCCAAATATCTAATGTGACTCTCCATGTTGAGAAAGGGGCCAGTGGCCTCGAAATATCCAGTGTTTATTTTGTGTTTTCTTCTGTGTTTTGTAGTGAAGTGGGATGCCTACATTTCTTAAGGTAAGCCTGCTTATCCTATCCTTTCTCTCCCCTATTTCATCATATATTTATGTGTCTTATCTTGATATCATTATCACCAGCAGTTGTAGAGGTTTTACGATACTTAAGCACGGTGTACTGCAGGGGTCAATTTTGGGTCCCATTTTATTTTTGATATTAATAAATTATGTCAGGTTTAATCTGAACTGTTTTTCTACTGTATATGCAGATGATACATCATTGTTCTCTTATCATAATAACCTTGATGTACTTGTTTTTAGTAATAAATAAATAAAAATGCCTTTATTTACGAGCGAGTTTCATGATACATGTTTTTCAAACTAGAGTTGTGTATTGGTTTAATGTCAATGGGCTCTTCATGAATGAAGAGAAAACTGAAAGCATGCTTGTGGCTAACAATTCAAATCAACAACTTGGAACTAGTGTAACAATGTTGGGCATTTCTATTGATTGTAAATTGTCAGTACGTGTTATGACAACTAAATACCCCGACCACAGCAAAGTGAATGAATGTTAGAGTGTTTGCAGATAATCAAGGTTGTGCAAATAATGACTTTATGGTAAACATGAAATCGTAGTACTCATGGTACTCTGATCACTTTATGTATCTCTTTGAATGTCGATGTGGTATCTAAAATACATATGTATCATTGTATCAATAGGCTACAAGCTATTAACTTACCTCATTTAAACCACTTGGATTTGTGTTCTCAAACATATATTCTACATCTTTTATTATGAAATCTAGAAGATTTTGATTATGCTCGACACATCTTCCAAGCTCAGAAAAACTTCCTTTATAGTTTCTTAAAAGATGTTGTTGGTGGTCAGGCAATGACTCAAGTAACTGCTTTGTAACAGTTATTTTCTGGGACAAATGTGACCTATGACAAATAAGTAGAGTAAAATTAACAAAAAAATTATAAAATAGGGATAAGTTGGAAAACAGTTATAAGTTTTACTAGTTAAAAACTGTACAAAGCAAGGAATACCCATCTTGGCTCGTCCGAGCTGTGCATTCTTCATCACAGAATGACTGTGTATAATAAATCATTTGTACTAACCGCCTCCTGCCTATGGAACTCAGTATGTTATCCCATTTAATCCATAGAAAACTGAGCCTGACTGATGGTGGTGCTGAAGGAATATTACTTTAACTGGATGGCCATGGCTTCAGTGTCAGATTTAGGGTACCTCCGGCCCTAGACAAAATTACTTGAGCAGCCCCATCCCAATGGGGGAAATTCTTGGCAATTGCAGAAAAGAAATCGTGAACATCCTCCATGGGCAATCACGGAGACATCATCATCGACACCCAGGACCGCGACAAAACACCTCCCGTGAGCCGAAATCACGGCTCATGATTGGCAACATGACCAACCTAAACAACATGTTTAACCTAAAACAATGTTATTAATAGGCCTATAAAGAGTTTTTGGTACTTTGGTATTATTCGGAGGCCACGTAGGCTATTTACAGTGTGCTGCGGCGCAACGGTTGTAACTGTATGTTAGGTTGGGTCATCATTAATACATTTCTAGGACTTTTCTTGTTTTGTTATGAATCGAAAGATACCAGACGAGTCATACTTTATATTTATAATATCCCAACCTAACATAAGTTAACCCAAAGCGCGCTGTATAGGGGTGACCTCTGTAAATACTAAAGTACCGAGTTTTTAAAGAATTCATGCCAATGAGCCAACCATAGGCCTATTATAACTAAATCACACTTAAGAGCAACCAAATAAGTCGATAAGCAAATAAAATGACAAACTTGTAACTTTCAAAGGCAGCAACAACTCTTTGGAAATGTTTAGTCTCCTCCTCATCGTCAAGTGGAACTTTGGTCCTGCTTGGAAGTGATTCCTTATTCATAGCAGGTGATGATGTTTTCTCGGTCATAGTTCCTGGTTTCTTTCTGGAATACGTTCTGTTCATTGTTCTACTAAAATAAAAACTCTGATCTATTCCAATAGCAGCTTGCCTTAAACAAAACTGAATCAAAATACTGCATTGATAGGCCTAGGCTTATAGTAATTGTTTACTCTGAAACCTTAACCTCAAACCTCACTCAAATACGATGTAACATCCCCATCCCAACAACAACAACATCAACATCACACAAACCGATCACATGGCCAACCTGACAACACGAAACACGAAACGCCGAAAACAAACTAGCAAAAACAGTGATGATAGTGACTCCAATTATACAGGGTAGCTGAAGAGTAACTTACACCCCCCCCCCTTAACTTTTCAACTATTTGAGATATTTGAAATCTGTTTGCGGCAACCTTCTTAGACATGAGGGGCTACAATAATTATGGTTAATTTTGAAAATTGTGCCCTTCGGTGTAGTGGGGGTAAGGGGTAGCTAAACATTTTCAAATTACAAGTATAGTCGAGTTTGGTATAATTTTACAGGTCTTGACATTTAAAAATGTACCCCCTACCGCACTACCCCTAAGGGCAAAATTTTCAAAATTGACCATAATCTTTGTAGTCACTCAAACCTAAGAAGGTTGCCACAAACAGATTTCAAAAATCTCAAATGGTTGAAAATTTAAGGATGGGTGTAAGTTATTTTTTTTTTTAGCCACCCTGTATATAAAGATATAATCTTATATCTCAATGATCTAACCAAAACCAAGTAAATATCGGAACAACCGATACCGATACGATACCAGCAGTATGGCAATAAAAGTATCGATACCTATTATCGATACTTACTTACAAGTAAGTACAAGTACAAGCTACAAGTAAGTAAGTATCGATAGTATCGCAACATCCCTGGCCTACAATGCTTTGCTTTTTTTTGCTGCATTAGTGGCATTAGTGCATTAGCATTGCATTCGCATCGCATTGCCTTGCCCTTGCTAATTTTATTGCCATTGCATTGACTGCATTTGCAATTTTCATTTTTTCTAGTTGTTACTGCGTTGAGCGTTTGTTTTGTTTACATTTTTATATTTTATTTGATCTTGATATTAAATTTTTATTTTATTTTTAACTGAATCCAATTAGGTGTAGGCTATTTGAAAACAAGTATATAAGTTAGTAACACAGGCTAAATGGTGAAAGTCGATTTAACTTCACAGCGTTTTACCTCACGTTTGCTGGATGCGTTGGTAAGTTAATACAGTAAGTTAAATTTTAAGGTAAATTTAAATTACGGACACATGGCATTTTTTAGTAATTTAAGGGTTAGGTTAGGTTATAACATAACCTAACCAAACCTTACCCAACCTAACCTGAACTTACCTAACATAACCTAACCTAATATAACCTAACCTAACCTAATCAAACCTAACCTAATATAATATAAACTAACCTAACCCAACCTTATTTTTGGTCATTTTGGAACCAACTCGATTTTCTGACGCTTTTCCGGCTGTATTTCCGTTAATATTCATCGGAAAATTCTTGCATATTCTTCTTCAGCTCACTCTACCGGTTAATTTGAGTACCCTCATGACCCATTTCCGCAAAAATGTTGTTTTTCCGCTTTTCCGGGGAAACGGTGCTTTTCCAGGGAAAATGACAATCATTTTTGAATTCAGGACGCTATTTAGCATAAGAGTAGTGAAAAAAATATAATTTTAGCAAGACGTCTGTAGTCGATATAATTACCAGTGTTTCAATTAGTCTAGTGTACATGCGTCGAAAAGTTTAAATATTTGAAGACTGAAAAAAATCTTTTCAGAATTTGTGAGCTGATCTTAAAGATAGTTTGAATTGCTCTCTTTTGAAGTCGAAATAGAAATCAGGTTTGATTGACTTTGACGGAAAAACTGAGCAGTTTTGTTGGGGTTACAGGGTGTCTACCAGTAGGCCTAGGGAATTCTGGAAAATTCGGGAAAAAGTCGGGCATTTTGAGAGGTTAGAAAAAGTTGTGAAAAAGCAATGCTTTTCGTCCTAAGGTCGGGGATTATCTAACCCCTCAAAATCACGGATGAACGGGTCCCAAAACTTAGGAATATTTTCGGGATCATTTATTCCCGATAATTGGGACGGGATTACATTTGATACAGGATTTTCTTGGCACTTGATTTGCTCTGATCGTTGGCGATTTCGCTGCGTCGCGAGTGACAATGTTGACGTTTCCGCAATCGCAAAAAATATCGTCTGTATTGCGGCTGACGATGATGATGTCTCCATGATTGTAGAGATGTTCATGATGATTGTGCGAACCCAGGAAACCATGATGATATCTCAATCATCGCGGGATCTTCACGCTTGCATCAAACATGGCGCCGCGAACGCGTTGTATGTTAACGATCGTGCAGGGAACGTGGGATATGTTAACTATCGCACCCCAAGTGTGGGACATGTTGACGATGGTGCCGTGACTGCGGGACATGTTGACAGGTGCTGTGACTGCGACATATGTTGACAATGGTACCGTGACCAGAAAAATTTGTAGGCCTAGTAACATTGAGAATGAACCAAGTTTTTGGTCGGGATTTAATAAAAAAATGGCAATGAAAAGTCGGGGATTCCATTTGAGAAATCTGGTAGACACCCTGGGATGAGATTATTTAAATTATAAATTGGAGTTAGCAATTTATTTTGATTTCAGTATTTTTTAAATAAAGCCTAGTATTTTACAGTGTCTTACCCAGTGTTTAATTGGACAAAATCAGTATGGAGATACAAATAAAAACTCTGTAGGCCTACATTATAATGTAAATTTTACCCTCTTAAACCAACCTAGTACTTAGGCCTAATGCATTTACGAATTCACATAAAGAACAACCTATGTAGGCCTGCCATCCTTAACTTAGGTCTACCTACTTAAATAAGGACTAAGTTAAGTGTAATTAGCCAGCCAGTCACTTTATATTCATGTAATGAGACAAAATTTCCTTTTAAAGGAAGCATGATTGACCAATGAATCCCTCTTTTCTATAACTTTAAAGGTAATCAGTGATAATTTCAACAAATTTTCACTTTATTTAAATTTTATATTATTTTATCAACGATTACTTCATTTTTAATCTTCTCATAATCTTTTAATCTTTCTCCACCTGACAGTGAAGTGACACCACTAGGCCTGTTGTCGATGACAATAAAAACGTATATTCAGCTAGTAATATTCATTTATGTTAAAAAGATGGATGCAGGAGGTAAATAAAATTATAATATATGCTATCAAAATTAAAAATTTGCTTGAAGGTACCGGTACCTACCTACTATTCAATAAATAGGTACCTCGTAGGCTAGTAGGCTTCTTCTTTAAGCCCAGCGCACACGGTGTGACTGTTTTACAACAACTATTGCAACCCAGTTGCGTCTGAAACCAGTTTGCAACTGAAACAAAGCTTCTGTCCGCACACAGTGTGACTGTTTTACAACTACAGTTGCGTCTATTGTGCAATTAGTGGAGTGTCAATTTAGTGCAGTTACGTTGTTTTAAGGCCTTAAGTGCGCTTAGTATGTCAGACTCAGAGGAAGAATACATTATTAGCTATTATCAATACCGAAGACAGCGAAGGGTACTGAGAGAGCATTGGGTTCACCCTTATTTGAGCAAGAATGTTAGTACTACGCTGTTTGTAGCAGCTAGAGCTAGTCGGATAGGAAATTATAAACACTAAAAACACTATACGGCCGTCAAAATACCACCAAACACCACAAAAACACCCCGTGGTCTCGTGCAACTGAAGTCTGCAACGCAACTGCAATGTCGGGCCCACGGTTGTATGTGACTGGTTTCAAACGTTTTTTTGAAATCACATACAACCAGTTGCGTCGTTTGCGCCTCCCCACTGCAATACATTGCCGAGATCACAAAACAGTTGCACGCGCAACTGGTTTGCAACGAAAGTTGTAAAACAGTCACACCGTGTGCGCTGGGCCTAAGGCTTCAGATAAATGTTCACACCATTGCACCAGAAACATAACGTTTTGCTAAATGAGCAAACATTCCCACCTGCATTTCTCACACTTCACCACATTGCTGAGAACGCACCATGTTCTACCACATTTTCATTTATAATTTGTGGGCCTAAAAAAATATCGAGACTCAACATGTACAAATTGCTTAACCCAATCACTTGCCCAGGCAGCTGGTGATGTTCTGGACACTGGATAAGATGAACATAGTCATGGCACTGAGCCGCTGTTCCTGTCATTCCCCCCTATCTGGGAGGTACTTTAACACGAGATGTTTAGTAATATTTTTTGTAAAAGATAAATAAAACATGTAGGCCTACAGTAAATGCAAAATATCTAATTTTTTATTGTAAGAAGAATATTTTTGTAAAAATTTAGGATATTGTTTAGTTAAAAATAATGAATGGGAGAACATTTGTGATGTGGAAAGCGAATAGGGACCTCTTGTCGGGAATTTTTGATTTTGAGTTATATATACAACTTATTTAAATTCCTTATTAAATTCCGAATCGATTGGTGCAAGTCCCACGCATATGATTTTTTTTTTTAAGTTAGCCTATAGGACTTTGAAATTTTGTAATGGAAAAGGGTCATTTTGAGAAAAACTGTTTTGAAAATTTCAAAAACGTATAAAAACAGTGTTTTTCGTATTTAAGAAACGATTTTGACCGGTATCAAAGGAAAGCTTATAATTTCTCTTTGAAAGAAATAGGTACAATTTTTCTTCTTAACTCACGGTAGTTTTCATTTAAATAATTGTTTTATTGAAGCATGTCGTAAAAACCGCATTTCAGAAACGGGACCTCTTGTCGGCCCTATGTTATTTCGCCATAAGATAAGAAAATTTACCTCTTGTCGGGACCACAACATTTTTGAGATATTTTGTTCTTCTCGTGAACTGAACTTTGTTGTAGTTCTCTAAATTTCCACTAGAATGCAGGACAATTCATTTTTTGGACTAAGATCTGTTTAAAAAGTGAATATTAGAAATGGGACCTCTTGTCGTTATGGCGAAATAACATTGAGCGACAAGAGGTACCTTTTCTCAGACCGTGCAGAGGCTAACAAAATGATTTATTTCGACCTTTTGCATCTTCAATTCGAGATTTTAACCGATACTGTCATGTTGTATGTTAAATGAGGTATAAATAATCGATAAAAACCCGAAATTCGATATTTTCAACCTTAATTACATATATCGGCCGTACTGAAAATTTTGCATATCTGACAAGAGGTCCCTTTTCGCTTTCCACATCACATTTAGTAGGCCTAATTGGAACAGTTATATTTAAGTTGGTCATAATCCATATCCTTAAGAGTGCACTTAGTATAATTCTATCTGCCATCTATCTGTCAAACATAGCAAATATAAACATGAATCTAGTAAAAAAAGTGAAAAAAAAACATATTATCCTTTTAGAGGGGGGGGGGGGATGACATATTGGTGACCTAAATGTAAATCTGCACAACCTCATAATATTTTAAAGGTGATATCTCATGTGTCCGTGGTATAGAAATGTACCAATTTCAATAAATAACACTGTAAGTTAACCATCTAATTGCTATCAATACCCCTGCCGCAGCAAACATGCAGACTAAGCGAATTTCCATTTGATATTAACTAAAACATTTCCTTAAAATTGTCAGATTTATTGCCTATTTAAAAACATCGGTTTTAACAGTAGCTAATTAGGTTTTCTTCTAAAGGGAAAACAAAGTGAGTTTTAGTGAAATATTAATACCTTATACATAATATTACTAGCATTTTATGGCTAAAAACCCGACCTTTAGCCGCAAATTTGTCCTAAACAACAACAACAAAATTAATCGCTAAAAGCCTAGATTCTACAGACCCAAATAACAAAATGGCATCAAAATAAAATATAAATGCAATGTTCACATTTTTTACGCACATAACCTTAACAAGTCTACCCTGTCTTGGCCGAGAATGGTGGGGAGTTGTAGATTGGAAAATAGTGACAATGATGTAGCAGTTGTTTCGAAATGGTTGGGTAGCTGAGTGGTTATGGTGCTCGCCTGGTATTCAAAAGGTCACCGGTTCGATCCTGAGAAAAGTCAGTAGCTTTTTCATGGTTCGAAGCTGGACCCAGCTGTTCCTGATCATTGGGCTTTAAATAAATGATCCTGACTAATGAAACCGTTGATCTTAGTCAGTAACAAAGCTACACAGGTCATCATACACCATTCTACATTCATCCTTCACCTCATATTTGGGTTAAAATATGCACCTAGGTGGCATCCCCATCTCAATGATTGATAATTGATTATGGCAAGATATAAATGTTAATTTATTTACAACCCTCCACCCACCTTTGTCCATGTTTTCTTTATGGTGTGTGGTACATGTCGGACACAAAGCTGGTTCCCCAGGGCACTGACAAATTTACTTGGTTTTTGTGTACTTGTGGCCATTTGCGTAGCACACCTTGCACCTTTTTGGTTCAAGATTACTCTTTGCATCCCTTTTGTGTGTTTTTAAGTCTTGAGCAAACAGTAGCGCCAACTTAAAAAAACCCCGCGAAAACCGGCCGTAACGTGGGATGCAGAAACGGCGGGAACAAGAATATTACTAAGACAATTTGGCAATGCTACACTATTTTATAACCTCTTCTGGCCAACGCTTGGCTCATACTGGCCTCGGAATATAAAACGGTATGTATGGTATGATTTCAGACCATGAGCATGCGGGGCCCGGAACGCGTGGCTCGAAATCACACCCTTAGCAGCGGATGTGTTAAGGTTAAAACAAGAAACCCCTTTTAAAATTCAAATTCATATCAATTTACTCAATCAACAAATCACAAAATACAATTTTTATAAATGTAAACCGTTAATTCAGGACTCATAAAAATTACAAGGTATTTTGTTACTAAACAATATTTCCAAACCCCTAAGCTTATGATTTGATTCAGAATACAATGATTATAATACTACTTTGTAAATACCTAAATTACAAAATATTTTGGACGTCCTTCCACTTTATAAGTCAGAAACCCTTTTTGTATGTTTTTGTTGATAAGTAAAAACATAATTTTTGTACACTACACCAATATAGAGCAAGTAAATAATCACTTAGGCTTAAAGCTATTATAATAACTGTGCAGTAGCACGACACAGTTCATAAGTTCGATGATCGGTTACTCAGCTGGAAGAAACTGTCCCAGAAAATCACAGGCACAAGAAAATCGGAAAAAAATAATTGTCTGACCTTTAGCATTGAAGCGCAGTCACCAAAAGTTATCAATATACCATAGGGTCCAGGTAGATTATTGTTGGTCTCAAATCTCAATCGGTAAAGTTACCTCAATTAATGATAATCTCAACAGGGTATACTCATAAAAAGCCTGAAAATGTAGTGTACCTAGTATTAAACAGTATCATACAAAGGTACAGTTCTGTGAATCCTGAAATATTCATTGACACAATGTGTATGAAACAAACACAATATAAATTGATCTTTGTAACTCATAAAACATTAACTTGTAACATCATTAATAATATTAGTTTTTGTTAGTAGAATCAATTAAAAGAGTTAATATGACAAATTAAAAAATTACCTTTGTTTCTGCAATCATATACTACTGTAGTAAAATAACTCAATTATTGTACTCACAAATCGACATTAATAATAATTATCTATGAAATAAAATGACATTTGCAAGGTTAAACAGTGAAATTCACATGATAACAATTGATTAAAGGCCTACACAAAAAAACTAAACAAATTGAACATGTAACCTGAGTTTCAGTAAATAATTGGCTTTACCGTTATTGCAACGGTAAACGATTGTGAATAAGAAATTATTTCTTTACTAAAAATACTGACATTTCAATATCTATATAGACAAAATAATGTGAAACAATTAATTTATCAAAACAATTATCAATTATAATGAGAGGACAAAATATTCAATATTAGTTATACATAAGACTTGCAAGTTTTGGTAGAACACATGTGAAATTCTAAGTTGATTGGCATTAGTTTCTGAATCAAAATTAATTATTTACAACACAATACCTTTTTACCAATATCTACAAGAGAATGGATTTTTTCGTCAGTTTTTACAGTAATAAAATTTGAAATGAAATTAAATGTAGGCAAATGTACTCACCCTACGGGCTTTTGAAGTCATGTTTTCACAGAACAAAATCCTTAAATACAGTAATCATAAATAGATAATTTAACAATTTCCTTATTTGCATTTATTTACAGTTAGTTATTACATTTTATTTTCACTTGAGACATTCATATGTATTCTTGAGTTTAGTATCCCAACAAAAGGCTTTAACATAAGTTTTTAACTCAACAGTGAATTCAACAAATCCTGCTTCAGCAGTAGTCAGTTCCCATGTGACTCTCTTGTAATGGTTAGTTCAGGTTATCAGTGGCAGGAAATTTTAGAAATTCAGGAATGGAATGTAATGTAGAGATAATGCAGGTCGAGTACATAGTCCAACTGCAGACAATAGATGCTTGGAAGTTCATTTCATTTTAAACTAAAATGTTAATTAGTTGAAATATAAAATCTTTAAAATAATTTTATAAAATATAAAATGGTCACACCTCATAGCTTTGAAGTCCAAGTGACTATCAGCATTGACTATCAATGCTATCAGGTGGCAACATGTCAGCATTGCTGGCTAACACAACAATCAGCATTGTTGGCTAGCACAACAATGATTTTATATTCTTGGGGTGATCAGTCACAGATCTGACTTAATAAAATGCCACTAAACTGTCACAAAACAATGACAGAAAACATGCATAGAGCACTTCGTTTTAAGATAGAGCAAGTTTGTACAGCTAATCAATAATAATTAAATTAATTGCCGTGAAATTATGAGTAGGCTTACCTTTTCTGGGCCACCCTGTAGTTTGCTAGTCTACATGGATAATTTGGCAATTTTGCTTTTTTCATACTATCTATCAACATTTCTGTAATATATCTTAAGAATATTAATATCCGTTGTAACTTTATGATTTCCTTGTACATCACGCCACTGTGAATCGTATGATTTTCAATAAATCTCATTGGCTACAAACATCACCTGATCCCCTCTCCACCTACATTACACCACCGTCCATGTCCGTCCGTCCCTACAACAGCCAGTCTATCTCCAAAACTCAAACCTTAACCATCCGTTTGTAGCCGTGTTTTAAACATGTAAACTATCGTATTTATTATTTCAGCAGTCCACTTCCTAAGTCCAATTCAACCCACGAACACAACAATTTCAATGAACAAAACACCTCATTAAGTTCCCTGTAGGAGCAAACCAATGTAAACTCATTAAAATTGATGTTATTTAAGTAAGAAATAAATCTGAAAATTTTAAGGGAATTTAGTGAAAATCTGGCCAGGTCAATGGAAATTCAGTTATTCTGCATGTTTGCTTCGTGGGGGCATTTTTTTCTTGCTATTGTTCTGATATTTTTATAAACTTTGAATAAACAATAGTAGCCTGCAGAAGATAGTTTTTGCATAGGTAGGTTATTTGTTTTCTAATGAACCGATTCTTCAACAGCTTTCATCCCCAGCAAAGGCCAGCACACAAACTAAAAAAGATGCTGATGACAACACAAGTTCCCTGGGACGCAATACCGGTACACCACAGATGATCCATGAAGTAAGTCTTAGTACTAGTGTGAACCATAAATTCCTGAGGTGCTAACAGCATTTTTAAACAAAAAAACTCAAACCTGTAAGCAGTGTATATTATTTGTAGTTGAGTTGAATTTTATTTCATTGAATTGTAGCCTCCTGATCACACTTAAATACTATAAATTTGGTAAATACCTGCATTTATGTGATGTTTGATGTTGAGACATGAACTAAAATGTTGATTAGTTGAAATATAAAATCTTTAAAATAATTTAAAAAAATATAAAATGGTCACACCTCATAGCTTTGAAATCCAAGTGACTATCAGCATTGACTATCAATGCTATCAGGTGGCAACATGTCAGCATTGCTGGCTAACACAACAATCAGCATTGTTGGCTAGCACAACAATGATTTTATATTCTTGGGGTGATCAGTCACAGATCTGACTTAATAAAATGCCACTAAACTGTCACAAAACAATTACAGAAAACATGCAGAGCACTTCGTTTTAAGATAGAGCAAGTTTGTACAGCTAATAAATAATAATTAAATTAATTGCCGTGAAATTAATTATGAGTAGGCTTACCTTTTCTGGACCACCCTGTAGTTTGCTAGTCTACATGGATAATTTGGCAATTTTGCTTTTTTCATACTAGCTATCAACATTTAAATGAAGAAAACACCTCATTACGTTCCCTGTAGGAGCAAACCTATGTAAACTCATTAAAATTGATGTTATTTAAGTAAGAAATAAATCTGAAAATTTTAAGGGAATTTAGTGAAAATCTGGCCAGGTCAATGGAAATTCAGTTATTCTGCATGTTTGCTTCAGCGAGGGCATTTTTTTCTTGCTATTGTTCTGATATTTTTATAAACTTTGAATAAACAATAGTAGCCTACAGAAGATAGTTTTTGCATAGGTAGGTTATTTGTTTTCTAATGAACCAGATTCTTCAACAGCTTTCATCTCCAGCAAAGGCCAGCACACAAACTAAAAAAGATGCTGATGACAACACAAGTTGCCTGGGACTCAATACACCACAGATGATCCATGAAGTAAGTCTTAGTACTAGTGTGAACCATAAATTCCTGAGGTGCTAACAGCATTTTTAGACAAAAAAACTCAAACCTGTAAGCAGTGTATATTATTTGTAGTTGAGTTGAATTTTATTTCATTGAATTGTAGCCTCCTGATCACACTTAAATACTATAAATTTGGTAAATACCTGCATTTATGTGATGTTTGATGTTGAGTCATGAAACAAGTTACGAATCAACACAGGATTCATCTTCACGCTAAGTACATATATTATCTTGTATCTTCATTAGAAGGACGTCAACATTAGTAAAACGCGCACATTGAGATAAAAAAAACAATAGTGACAAAAATGAGAAGATAGTATTGTTAGACACAATTACCACCAAACTACAGTTAACTACAGTTGTTAAGGTGTGTAGTGGGGGGGATCACGTTGTGTGCCACTTACCTACAGGCATTGACTTTATATCTCTACACTAGACATCTTATCGTGTACTAAAATCCGTCGCCAACGATTTCAGCCGAACTAGTAGAGTAAACCCTCCATGCAGTGTCGCTCCTAGCGGCCGTGGCTTGAAACTCGATCCGGCTCCACCTCCAGTGCGCGCGCACGCGTAGTGGCATGACGTAACCGACGTGCACGTGCGTATACCTCCCCCCACAACCCTTCCCCCACAACCACTGCCTCTCTTCTCCTCTCTCCGTACTGCCAGCCACAGACGGCCCGGCGAATGCGCTCTGCTTATCTTTGCAAAACGCCGCCGGTGTCTCCGAGCCCGAGCATTGTGGTCGCTCGATCGCATACATGCTAAACTTACCTCTTTAAGAATACAATTAATATTGGTTATAGTTTTACACTATGTAATTCCCAAGTAGTTTATATACATTATTATATAAACTAAGGAAGAACCGTTTTGATGTAAATAGAATAATGATAAAATCAAATTTATTTACAAATACAGTATAAGCTTGGTAACTGTATAAATAGAATAAATACTGAAATTAGTGTGTACTTTTAAAATGGAAAAACCTTTATAGGACATCTATATATTTAATACACAGTTGTAAGTCTGTTTTCTCAGTGACTACTGGACCGATATGCAAGATTTATATGTCAAATTAAAGGGAATAATGCGCAGATTTGCCGAATTTCCTTAGTGCAGTATATACGTTTTTCAAACGCCCTTCAAATGGCGAGTCATTACAATTCTTATTGAAGAATATGAAATTAGTTATAATTATAAACCATTTGTCAGATGTGAGATATTTGTTATTACTTTTATAACAGAACCATCGAATTAAAAAAGGTAAAGGACAGTGATGGTGTTAAATGTGCTCTGGGAGTACCTACAAAAACACTGACTTTTGAATTGCGATCGTTTAATTGGATTTGTCCTTTGTCAATAGGCCTAGTGAAAATCTATGAATTTCGAGACAGAACAGACTAACAGGGGCACAAATACATTGTCCTCATGTTGTCCCAAGGGAAGGTTAAATTAGCTCTTTATCAACATTCTGAGCTCTTGGAAAATCTTATCAACTACCTATATATTTAATACACAGTTGTAAGTCTGTTTTCTCTTTATGTATAAGCATGAGTATGAGATGTATGGCTACATCCAATGTAAAAGAAACAAACACAATTTCGATAAACTATTTGAATAATATAAGATCATACAAGTATATACAATTTGTAATGGTGAGTTCTGCTGAGTCTCAACCAGATAAATCAAAATCTGATTTTCTTCTTTTGGCTCTATCTTTTGATAATGGTTCAATAGTGACTCTTTCAGTCTTTCTAGTTTATAACAATCGAAACCCGCTATTAGCACACAGTTCGTAAAATACGAATAGTAAAAATAATACTGGAACAGTAATTAAAAACTGCCTTCAAGGACGACACTTGATGGCATAAAGAACACACAGGGATGTTTGTGTATTTATTGAATGTTGAAACATGTTCGCTAACATTAAACCTTTTATCAAGCCAAATATATTTTGTCGTTTCAAATCTTTAGAAGAATTGTTACCCCCAGCTGTGTCTAAATTCGTATCTATGCAGCTAAACCATGTCAGCTCTAAGAAAAAACAATGGTCAGAGGAAGAAAGAAAGAATCAGCTTTGATTGATGATTATCTTCAAACCGACTTACAATCCGAATATTCAGTTTAGAGTTACAATGAGTTAACGAGCCGGAGTTGGACTCACAGGTCAAGGCATATTCTGCATTGAGCATTGAGACCCCTATTCACGACCTTACCACTTTAGATTTTAAAATCATGTATAATTATATTAAGGTTTTTTGATCAAATACGTTGCCCACTAACGTTTGATCTACTGGAAATGCCATGCTTAAAATATTTATTGTGAAATTATTTCTATTTAATAAAACCTAAATTTTGTATTATGCCTACATAGTTTTTTATTAGGCTAAAAATTGCAAAGGACCAAGGACCGTCGTGCTGCTAAAAGGTTTTTATCTGTTAAAAAGTTTAGAAAAATAGAATGAATGTAATGAAACTATAATTTAAATTCATCCAAAAAGAATATTGTTTGAAAACCGTTAGTGTTTTTGTTTTTTAGTGGCAATAACATTTTGCCTCTGTTCCGACGACGTGTTGTGGCCACACAGCTGCATTCAGTACTCGCATCGGAGTCGGATCTAGTAACTAGTGGCATAGACTAAACACAAGGGAGTATGTTTTATCTATGCTAATGGGTAGTGCAAGTGCCAAGTGTGGTGTGAAGAACAAGATATGAATGAATGTCCATGCAGTGTACGGCGCCGGCGGGCGGCGGGCGGGCGCAGTGGCAGTGGCAGCGGCTGACGTCACGGGAAGGAAGTGAGAGCGTAGAGCGCGCTATCTTGTAGAGAAGAAGCGAACTAAGACCGAGTGCTGCGCTGTCTTTCGGAGGGTCAGACCAACTACTTGAACCACCGATTCTGGCTCAGATCCGCTCACTATGGCTGGGCCGTTTCAATAAGATGTCTAGTGTAGAGATATAAAGTCAATGCTACAGGTGTGAATATTATTTTCCCGGTTTTGTCTCTAAATGTTTGTGTTTTTATGTCCTTGTGTGTGTTATTACCAACTAATTTCATTGTAGATGTTAACTTCCAGATTGCCAAATAATGTCTAAACCGTTTAAATACCTACTAACGTTGAGGACTTGACAAGTTCACATCTGTACAAGCCTGAAGACGACTTCAGTGTTGAGTCAAAATTAGTTGCCATAACACAACATGAAAGTTCACATAAATGTAGGTATTCACATGGCAGGCATTCTAATACTGTAGTAGTTTATTATGATTGTACAATTGTGGGTGTAGGATAAGGATCATTTTTCAATTCTTCTTTACTAAACTCCGTTTCAGCCATTAATTAGGGTTTCTCCAAATAGTTACACATATCATTGACTATATATACCACACACGTATTTAAAAAGTTTTTTGAGTAAAGAATTTTTTAATGCTTGTCAAAATATTACTGTAAGCTATTTAGTTTTTTATTCTGTTTTAGAACAAAGCAAAGAGAAAAAGAATTACATTGGTCGATTCAACCCGTACAGCAACAACCCAAAAATTTTTCTCAATTATTTGATAAGTTATGGCTTCATAAATGATTTTTTTAAAATTCCTATCTAATACATTTTGTTTTATCAAAAAACTTGCATTTAACTGGTACCTATTACAATACCCATGCACAAAAAGCTCCTTTATAGCATAGATAATGAGTGGTAAAAGTTTTCTTATATAGCTAAGTTAAAAAGTTATAAGAAAATATGTAAAAAAAAGAAATTTTAAAGTTGCGGAAAACAGCGGACTAGTTATACTTAGTGTAGAAACATACAGACAGCGTAGCGTAGCCGAGCGCAGCGTAGTCCAATACACACAGAGTGGGGGTTAAATGATACAGAGTGACACAAAGGAACCAGACGTTTTTTAAATAAGTAGTACACAGTAGTTAAAAGGAATAAAATGGTTTTAATGCTGTACATAGTGAAGTAGACATTCGCCATTTGTTACCAAACAGTTATTTTTTGAATATTACGTCACGCATATGGCGGCCATGTACTTCTCTACAAATGTTCATTGTCGTCTGAATATCATGTGCAACTCGGGTCAGGAAGTCTTGATCAATGCCATTGATCTCTTCTGTGATTGCCAACTTCAAATCCTCTACAGTGAGTGCTTTTTGAGCATAAACACGCTCCTTAAGAAACCCCAAAAGGAAGTAATCACAGCTGGACAAGTCAGGTGACCTTGGCGGCCACGGTATGTCATCAAAGCGAGAAATCATCTTGTTAGGAAACATTTGCTTCAAGACTCTCAATAATTGGCCTGCAGTGTGGGCTGTAGCACAGTCCTGTTGAAAATAGCCCCTTCTTCGGTTTATTTGACGTCTGCAAAGTTCTTGACGGAGAAAGGTGTTCAACATGTGAACATAGCATTGAGCGTTCACTTTCACTGTTACACCATTTTCCTCAAAAAAATACGGCTCAATAACACAGGAATGAGAAACCGCACACCAAACTGTAACCTTGGGAGAGTGTAGAGGTTTTTCATGAATGTTACGAGGATTCTGACTGGACAGTAACAAAAGTTTTGTTTGTTTACCGAGCCATTAAGGTCGAAGTGGGCTTCGTCACTCATTAACAATATCATGTTCGGCTCATTGTTAAGCAATCTTTGCATTCGCGATGCGAAGTTTACTCGTTTATTTTAGTCAGTCACTTTAAGTTCCTGCACTACCTGTATTTTTTAAGGATGAAACTTAAGATCTTTCTGAAGAATTCTCCTTTCCGATTTGTGGTTCATGTTCAGCTCTTGAGCATGTTTTCGTGCAAACCTATATATGTGTGCTATTTTTTTCAAATCAAAGCAATATTGATTTGAGTTTGAACATTTATTATGATTGTACAATTGTAGGTGTAGCAAAAGGATCAATAATCAATTCTGCTTTACTAAACTCCGTTTCAGCCATTAATTAGGTCTTCTCCAAATTGTTACACGTATTTAAAAAGTATTTGAGTCAAGAATTTTTATGCTTGTCAAAATATTACTGTAAGCTATTTAGTTTTTTATTCTGTTTTAGAACAAAGCAAAGAGAAAAAGAATAACATGGGGCGATTCAACCAGTACAGCAAACACCCAAGACAATTCAGTAAGTAACCATATACAGTATATCTATTTATTATTTAAAATGTAGTATAGTATTAGTATTAGACTTTATGACAAATCACCTGTCAAGAGAATTGATGTAATGTGATGATGTTTAATAAATAAATAAAATAATTTCCCCGTAAAATCCCTGTCTGGCAAGCTTAGAAATCAACTTGTTGTCCTATCTTTCTCCCTCCAATTGGCAGTACAATTGGCTACATTCCAAGCAGTGCTGTGGGTGTTTTAGCAAACTACGTCGACTCGTCGTAACGCAGTACATGACCGCACGTTATTTCCTATTCTTTAGACCGAAATTTGAAAGCCCAAGCCCGGCAATCGGGTTCGTTCGACGCTGCACTGCACCATGGACCCAAAAAAGTGATTTTTGAAGTGATGTCTGTGTGTGTGTGTGTGTGTTTGTGTGTGCTCTTGCAAATGTGTCGAAACGAGATCCGCAGTTTGTTTACACAACGGCATAGTGAGATCCGTTGGCGCTTCGAGATCCGGGGTGGTGGATCTCGGAACGCCAAAGCCTCTGATTGGTCCTCCTGAGCTTGTCAGGATTATGGAAATACCCGAAGTTTGCCGAAAACAGGTGGATCTCATTTGGGCTGGTTTTTCTATAGTGTGCATGTGCATAACGTTCTGAAATTCGGCACCACGTCGTGCTAGCGTCGCCTACGCACACCGATCATATACACCCGGTCACAGTGAGATCCCCTAAACTGACCAATGAAAAAAGAGTAGTTCTGGTCTGATCCTAGTTGGACTGCGGAGTGAAGTGATTGAAGTGGTTGAATTTCCTGAATTACTGATGATGTATCTATATATATAAAGTTGTATTAGCTCGATCGCCAAGTGGCTCTGTAGTCTAGTAGTTAGCCTACTACCTCAAAAACCATTTAAGTTATTGAGGTCTTTACTTTACTAATCATTAAATCTTTTACCATGTGTCCTCATGACTACGTTATATTTTGTTATCAAAGACTTTTGCAAATGTTTTATTATATTGTTCAATTTGTAGTTATCACATTGTTGGAAATGTATGTTAATGAAGATCCAGTATAAACTTTACGGATACATAATATTCAATGCCGGGTGTCATCCTTTGATTATTATTCAGGATACTTTTATTATATGTTTTATTGTATTGTTCAATTTGTAGTAATCACATTGTTGTAAAAGTATACTAATGAAGATCCAGTATAGACTTTACGGATACATAATATCCAATGCTGGGTGTCATTCTTAGATTATTATTCAGAATACTTTTGTTTAGACTTTAGTTATCTTTGATATTACATTTTTCCTGTTAAAATGGTCATTATCATTAATAATAGTTTTACATATTTTTGATTATGTAAACCATATCTATGTTATCTTTATGTTTTGTGGTTACATTTGTTTTTTTAAGCATTTATTTCTGGTTCAATGATGACATTATTCACAGAAGTGTTAACGAAATAAACAAAAAATTAACAATAATAACATCATGGGTTCGCCCAGACCTGAGACACCCTGTAACATAATTAATTTAGAGAAATATATTTAATCTTCTTTAGGCTTCATTCATCCAATATATCTTGAGGAAGTCTTCGACGTAGCCTCCTGTTCTTAGTTGCTTCGCCAAGATGAAAAGTTAATGCACAAGGAACATTGTTTAAAGATTTCAGAAATTTTGAGGTGGTTTTTTCATTAAAGGCCGAGATAGACTCCACTCCTAGCTCTTCATGTATATACCTGTTTCTAACAAACCAGGGAGCATTCACCGCTATTCTTAGAATTTTGTTTTGAATCACTTGAATTTTGAAGAGTTTGTTTTTTGATATAGCTAATCCCCAGATAGGAGATGCATATGTAATCAAAGGCCGAATTATTGATTTGTAGATTAGAACTGTACAAACTGGCTTCAGAGTAGATTTCCTATTGATTAAAGGGAAAAGCTTTGCAAGGCGTGCATAGCCTTGGGACAGTTTTTTTATTGAGATTGTAGTTCCAATTAAGTTTTTTGTCCAGCCATACTCCAAGATATTTTATTGTTCATTGGTCATCAGGGTTTAAAGGTAGAAAGTTTAATTTTAAATTTTTTATTACTAGGTTATAAGTGAATTTGAATTACAATTTATAATAAACCGTTTCTTATCGTTGGTTTATTGTTCTATTCATATGCATATTTCATTGGCATAACAATATATGAGAAGTTTAATTGTAATAGTGTAAGAAAAAATACCTTTGAAGTAGCCTAGTTATGCTTTTCCTGGCCAGCTTGAAGTAAATTTGATAAAATTTTTGAAGTTGACTTTAGAAGTACCATTTCTTATCAAATATGTCAACATCAAAGATTAGTAAAGACAAGTACTGTCATTTAAAAAGTTAAGTAAATTTATTTGCACAGAATTATAATTATTTTGTTCATTAATTCAGAACTAACTAGGACTTGATATGCACCAGTCATTCGCTAATCGCTATGTACCATAATTCGAGAAAACTTGACCAGATTATGAGCCAAGCTCATGATCAGTTTTACATATTCAAGTTTCTAATTATGGGTAAGATAAATTTTTGGGGACGATATGTTATGTCATACTGAGAAATTATTTATGCAAACTTATTTAGAAACCTAAAATACTTTTCCTGTAAAGATAACCTCTCAAACGACTTGCAACTTGTTTTCATTTATGCTAAAGTAGCTGTTTACAATTTATGATACAACTGTGTCTAATAGTTGGTTTATTTTTATATTCCTATACTTATTTAGGTACTTTCCTGTTAAAGGGAACATTCATTATTATCGATGATTTTTTTCTCGATATATCGATATTAACAAATTGAAACATATCAGCTGACAATGACGAAAAATATTGTTCAGTATCAACAAACATTAATGAAATGAAACTGTTCCAAAATAAATAACCTAACATAACAAACCAAACTTGCTGTAACATTTAAAAATTCCGCGTTTAAAACTTTCCTTTTATATTCAACCCAAACGAAATTTTTAAATGGTACAGCAAGTATGGTTGGTTATGTTAGGTTAGCTTGGAACAGTTTCATTTCTTGTTGTCAATTTGTAATGGATCGGAAAACCAAAACATCGATATATCGAGAGAAAAATCATCGATAATAATGAATGTTCCCTTTAACAGGAAAGTACCCTTATTTATTCAGCATAATGAAATACTAGTGAACCTTGTGCACAAAATCGTGCGCAATCTAGACGTACGAGAAGAAGGATTTGTATTGATCTTTTTTATTTCGCGTTTTTCGGGTTTCTTGGTTAGGAGGAGATGGTAAAAGGCCTAATAGAGTTCACAGTTTACGTGTTGTTTTTGCAGTTTCTTTTTGTGAATGTCATTAAAAGATTCTCTTGTGATTAATCGACGATAACCTAAAGGATAGACCAAAGCCCCTTGGTCCCCACCACCACCTCTGGCTTAAATCTGGGACTTATTTGCCAGGCCGATTCCCCGTGAAAAATCTTCTTTCTTCTTATGCTTGTCCTACTTTCAATCCTTGTCTAGATATACTATGTGTGCAAATTAAATTTAATTGAATACTTGAATTGAATTATATTTAATTGAATTTAAATTCGCCTTGAAATTTCCATGTCCTGTGAGAATCTGCGTTCAATAATGGGCCATCTCCCAATCTTGCTTCAGTCCCCTTGCATTTGCCACTCATCTAATGTCTCCTCTCTTCTGACACTCTTGCTTTCCAATGTAGTTGTACCCACCTCCTTGTCTTCCAAAATCCTTTCTTCAATGAGCAGCATTTTTTTATATGCAAATTACATACTATTTTATGACAAAAAATGTAGTTGGGTGCGTGAAAACTAATTATTCATACTTTGTTAGCAATATAAAGTAAAACAATAGTAGATTTCATCACTAGGGCCGGAAGTGACTCTTTTCATCCCGATCTCGAGTTTCAGGGATATGAGCATGGGTTGAAAAAATCCTTTTTGCCTTTGTAACGAACTATATTTTTTGTCAATATTGCAGTATTAGGCTATTAAGCAAACTAGTTTAGATAGCAAAAATACTTTTCATGCAAAAATAATATCAAAACGACTTCCGTTTTTTTTTTATTTGATAATGTAGCTTTTGGGAAAAATTCAACAATAGGCTGCAACCAACAATTGATATTTACTTTCAATACTTGCGATTGCTTACAATCAAAGTTTTCGACAATGGAGACACTGTTTTTTTGTAGTTTTTTCTTTCCGACGTAGTCGTACTCACCTCCTTGTCTTCCAAAATCCTAATCCTTTCTTCAATGAGCAGGTCGAGTGGTATGGCTCCGATCGAACCCCTAATCATATCATGCGATACTGTGTTGTATGATTTCCCTTCTTTCAAAAAAACTCTTCTTTGCATACTCAAAAGTTCCCTGTTAAATCTTATCTTCCTAGCATCCTTACTCCGGAACTCACATCCATAAACATTACTGGCTCAACACCCTTTGTACAGCGTCATTAAATGCGTCAGAGTCATGCCTCTGTTGGCTCTGGCCTCTATTAGCTCTGGCCTCTATTGGCTATGGACTGTCCTGCTAATTTCACTAAGACTCCTTTCATTTTTTCGCACATTTCCTCCACATGTTTTTCAAAAATCATTCCATTACCTACAGCCACTCCTTAATCAATTCTGATAACATAACAAAATTCCTGTTGATCACAACAATAGCGTTTTCCAAAATTTTTGGGACCCGCCCATCCTACCTTGTGATATAAGCTAATATTCTTTTCTGGGATAATAAAACATGTTTAAAACGAATATAAACCACTTCTGATCATTATTCTTGTGCACCCACCATAAGTAATCATACAGAAGAATGCAGCCCATCCTTTACAATACATGAAATTAGATAAAAAATTATTGTTCCTTCGATATTAATACCATCCATTCTAAAACAAATTAATATTCTGTTATTTAGTTTCAGTAAAACAAAGATCTTGAAAATCACAAAAAATAGTGTAACTGCTTTACTGTAAGTGGACTTTTAAATTCATTGAACCTTTAAAAACGTGTTATGCAGTAAAACACCAATTATTTAATCACAACAACAGAGTACATTTTTATTGTTTAAAAAAATTAATAAATCCTTACAGCTCATGATGTTTCAATTAATTTCAAATTTAGTATATCCAACTGTTAAAAAATATTTGTGTAAATTTCAGAGTATTCATCTGTTCAAATGTAAACAAACATTTTCTCCCTAAGAATAACATGGGAACTTTGAAGGCCACTGGGTCTGAGCCCTGATGGAATTTCGAAGATTTCTTGTTTGATGGCGAATCTACTTACAGGCCACTGATTAGGACTGTATATGCAAAACTTCACATATGCACGGTGTTTTAGATATGCACCATGTCTTTAAAATAATTGGAGAAAACCTGCACAGGTTCTGAACCAAGCTCATATTAATCAGTTTTACATATCCACAAAATTCTCCAATTATTGGAGAGGATAATTTTTTATATGCAAATTACATACTATTTTATGACAAAAGTTGTAGTTGGGTGTGTGAAAAATAATTATTCATACTTTGTTAGCAATATTTATGAAGTAAAACAATAGTAGATTTCATCACTAGGGCAGGAAGTGACTCTTTTCAACCCGAGCTCGAGTTTCAGGGAAATGAGCATGGGTTGAAAACCCCCTTTTAGCGAATTTCCCATATAGGGAATAAGCTATTACCGTAGTACTCATGGTAAGACCTGGACGCGGGACCGATTTTTTTTTCATTTTGAGGTCCCTAGAGGCCAAAAACACCATCCGTTCAAATTCATATATATATATATATATTTATATATTTATATATATATATATATATGTCCGTTAGCACGATAACTCGAGCAAAAATGATCCGATTTTGATGAAATTTGGTACAAACGTGTAAACCTACGTTTATTCGAACGAGTTCGCGATCCAGCATGATCGGACCATGGGAACGGGGGTTTACGGGTGGTTTTATGGGGTAAAAATAGGTTTTTCCCATTTTTGACCCAAAAAACATAAAATTTAGCAATTTCTTTCCAAACCATTTTGTAGAGCTTAAAAAAACAAATAATTTAGTACTGTATATTGAAGCGTTATTATGCGCCTAATGGTTACGGAGAAAATTCCAAAAAATTGTAAATTTAAAATTCCCATGTTATTCTTATGGAGAATAAGTAAATTGTTGTAGTTTGCTTGTTTATGAACATATTTTGATCAAATTTGGAAAATGTTTTTATTTCTTACTAACTATTAACGTTTTACAAAAAAAAAAAAAAAAAAAAAAAAAACAGTTTTACTCTCCCTGATGCAGCAAACCTAAGTACTAGTTAAACTAATTCTATTTAAATAGAGAATAAATGTTATATTTTTAAGTAGACATTTCAGTGTAAATCCAATCAGTCTAATGGAAATTCGCTTTTGCTGCGGCGGGGGTATTTGTCTTTGTAATATTGGGAAAAATTGAACAATAGGCTGCAACCAACAATTGATATTTACTTTCGATAATTGCAACTGCTTACAATCAAAGTTTACGACAGCGGAGACACTGTTTTTTTGTTGTTTTTTACTAAGGAAGAAAACGAGCTCTTTTAGACACGCAACTTATGTATTAAAAATTAATGTTTCTGCTGCAGTAGCCCGACGAAAAAATAGTATATTTCGCTACGCCACTGTTAAGTCCTCTAGTTTCGTTATTTTTTGTTCTTTCATGTTTTTTATGTTGTTATGTCATGACAAAAGAATCACCTTTTGACAAATTATCTTTACATTGTTAAGGCTAATTAGAAGCGAAAAAAATGTTTACAATGCAAAAGAAATGTTAATCATCTTTTTGGATTTTACCAACATCCAAAATACAAACTTGTACAATCAATTTGAGTTTGAACTTTAAATAGAAGGCATAAAAATGAACAATTAAAAAACAATAGCATTCTTTAGGTTAGGCCTTCTATAAATTTCAAATTTACATTGATTTTACAGTTTTTGTCGTTACAAATTGAAACAGTTTATGATACAAGAACATAATGTTTGATTGTTTATAATGGCAAAATCCAAAAAGATAATAAACATTAGTGTTGCAAAGTAAACAAGGTAATGATGAATTTAGCAGTTTATAAACATAAACAAATAACAAAAACAGGTGTTTTCACAGCAGCAAAGAAAAAAAATCATTTTCTTCTGTAAATTTCTACCCATCACAACATGCTAGAATCTCGGATATGAACGTTGGCCTCCCTAAACAGATTGGTCTCCGGGCCGGAGCAATCATCGTTGCAGCTCTGGAGATGTGATCTCTAAGTGACCGTCTTTATATTGACAGTGAACACACAAACAAGTCTTGTAAGCAATGCCAATGTCAGCGAAATCATTCAGATTAGAAAAAGTGTCGGATCTCAGTTTGACCGTGACATTTTATGCGCGTGTATTAGAGCCAGTTTCAAGGCCAAAGCGGATCTCATATCGACTTACATACTGGATCTCACTGTAAATGCGAAAAATCAAATGCAGTTTCTTAGCATTATTTGAAATATGGCATGACAAACATGTATCAGACATTTTAATTAAATAGAGTATAACGTATTTTCTTTCAAAAAGCACCCCTTCTGCTGGATCTCCAACAGCTGGATTTTTACTCGGATCTCGTTCCGACACATTCGTAAATATGTGTGTGTCTGTGTGTCTGGATGTGTACAGAGCTAGGGACTACACCTGTGGTCCGATTTCGATGAAATTTGGTATGTAGGTTCTAATCCATGGTATCTCCAGTCATTGTTTTCATTTTTTTGAAATTTTGATTTTTAATGAGGATTTTCCCATAAAAACCCATAAAAAACCGGAAAAATTGGATTTTCTCAAAAATGGCCCGAACGATTTTGATAAATATTTAGTATGTTGTAGCCCATTCTGAACAAAATGGTACAAATTGCATTTCTGTAAAAATTACGGTTGAAAAGTTATTGTAAATTATGTTATTTTCCCATAAAAACCCCATAAAATAACGGAAAAATTGGATTTTCCCAAAAATGGCCTGAACGATTTTGATAACAATTTAGTATGTTAATATGTTATAGTCCTTTAAATTCTGAACAAAATTGTACAAATCCCATTTCCGTATATTTACTCTCACCGCTTACACATGATAAAGGTTGTTGACAAACTTATGGGAGAAAGTATGTGTCAGAATGCTGATACAGTTTATTTTATTCTGTTTTAGAACAAAGCAAAGAGAAAAAGAATTACATTGAGTGATTCAACCCGTACAGAAAAAACTCAAGACAATTCAGTAAGTAACCATATATACCTTTTACACCTTTTCTTAAATTGACACTCTTTTTGATCAATCATACGCAAAGTACTATAGTGGAACCTCAATTACAAATAGGCTTGTTAATGTAACGGGTCTATTTGGTTAAGGGGGTAATTTCAGAATCTCTGCTAAAACTAGTGATTTTTTAAAATATCTTTAAAAATTATCATATATACTTTTTTAGGTTTATTTTGTCTTAGAAAAAGGTTTCCTGCTGTTAAAGTAAAAAAAAATATTTTTTTAGGCTGTATACTTTTTGGAGTTTTTTGAGTTTTTTTCGGGGGAAAATATAATATGGGTGTTTAAAATCTCTTATTACTTTTAACTACTGAACCAATTTTATTGTTTGATATCTCATTTTAAAGAGCAAGAAAAGTAGCCTACTAACTTTCTGTGCATACTCATACCTTTTCTCAATTATTTTATGAGTTATGGCTTCATGAATGATTTTTTTTTTAAATTCCTATTTAATACTTTTTTTTTTTTAAACTTGCAAAATTATTTGGTACCTATTACAATACCCATGCACAAAAAGCTCCTTCATAGTATAGACAATGAGTGGTAGAAGTTTTTTTTTCATATAGCTAAGTTAAAAATTTATAGAAAGTAAGTAATAGAAACGTCTTATAACACTTAAAACATATATTTACGCTGATACTGTTACTCACAATACGGTAAATATACAAAAAAGATGGTAAGTGGTGATCGATGATGGTAGGCGAACGATCATTCGCCTATTGGGTCTGATGATAATGGGAGTGTCCAATCAAAATCGATCACCACTTACCATCTTTTTTTGTATATTTACCATCTTGTGAGTAACAGTATGAGCGTAAATATATGTTCTAATTGTTATAAGACGTTTCTATTATTTACTTTCCGTAAATTTAATAACACGTACAATGCTGATCAAGAAGTTATTTAAAAATGTATAAGAACTTATATGTAAAAAATAACAACATTTTAAAGTTGCGGAAAACAGCGGACTAGTTATACTTAGTGTAGAAACATACAGACAGCGTAGCGTAGCCGAGCGCAGCGTAGTCCAATACACACAGAGTGGGCAGCGCAGCGTAGCGTAGCGCATAGGTTGTAGACAGTCTTAATAAGGTACCGTCGTCGCGATATATCTTGAGCTTTGGTCTACGTTATTACTAGGAGGAGTCTGCTCGCCCGCTCAACGAATGGTAGGCGCGCGACGTTGTACTAGCCGTACGATAAACATAGCCCCACTCACACAGACACTACACCTTCCCCCCGCACCCTTCACCCGTGGTTGTGCGCACATCACGGCATTGGGCAGACACAACCACCTCTATAATAGACGCCGCTATGTCTGAAGGCTGTGACTGACGCAAGACTGATGAATGTGGTGGCATAATCACAGAAATTGTATTAAATTTTAACATATTTTAATATAAAGTATTGAAAGGAAAATAATATTACTGTTTTGAAGTAAAAAGTGACACTAGTCCTTTCTATAATTTTTTAATGTAAACAATTACAAATGAAATGCCGAAATTACTGTGGAAAAATACATTTTACCAATTCTCTTGGTTTAGTAAGGTAATTAATTAAAGGCACCGAATCATTTTCTTGAAGAATACAAAATTTGAGCGCGGATTTAAAATATTTAAATATATAACAAGTCATGTAAGTTTTATATAGGCTATATCTATTATTAGTATAATGGTTGGATTAAAAAATAAAATAAAACTTACATTCTACTTCAATCAGAATCACATTCCATGCCTTCGATTCCAGAGAGATCGGAGTCAGGTTCGTCAGGGTTGTCACTGTTGTATGCATCTTCGTCGTCCTCACTATCAGGTCCACCAATGCAATAATTATTGGGTCAATGCGTTCATCCATAATGTGATCGGATTCCCAGTAATCGGCCTCAGTTTTTAATACATGACGACAAAGTGGCAACCAGTCATTTTCTGTCATGGAACCAAATTTGTCTTCACACAGTTTTTTTACGTCGGCGATTTTGTATGTTGTGTTTCGACTGGCAACCCAACCCTTCACTATTGCCCAAATGTTCTCAATCGGGTTAAGGTCTGGGTGGTAGGGTGGTAGTCTCAAAACGGGTATAATTATGCTTAGACAATATTTCGTCAATTTCATACTTTTTATAAGCCGGTTTGTTTCGACATATCAGTACGTAAAGTGTTGGTTTCAACATGTCATTGGTATAAGCAATGTTCATTTTGTCCAGCCAATTTCTCATCTCCTGCTTTGTAGATCCACTATTTGGCGTTGTCAACAACTACCACGCTGTTCGCAGGTAGATTAGGGATTAACAGCTCTTCTAACCATTTTTTATAATTTCCTTTATTCATATTGTGATGATAATCACCAGTAGTTTTAGATGATTTCCACATCAACAAAGCATTTGGTATAAATCCCATTTCCCCTCCAGCATGAATGATTATTAATCTTTCTCCTTTAGATATTTGTTTCATATATCCTTGGCTGGAATTGTCGCTCCATGATTTATTTTGGACGTGTGACGAAAGAATGTAAGTTTCGTCCAAATATACTATAGGTCTTTTTTCTTCCCTGTACTTTTTAATTTTTTGTAAATATTCAATTCTTTTTTGGACAATGTCAGGTTTCTCAATCAAGATTTGTCTATTACTTTTGGTTTTTTGCCACTTAAATCCCAATTTCTTGATTATCTGCCATACACTAGTGTTTTTCCCTTGGAAATTTATACTTTCGACCAATTTTAAACGAATTCCATCTACAGTTGGACATCTTTTCTCGTCGATGTAGAAATTGTGTATGATTCTTCTCACTAGTGCTTGGTCAAAATCGTCTAGATCAGTAATATAGCCTAGCATTTTTGATTTCTTTTCTTATCAGGTGTCACAAACGACGTACTTGCACCAGAATCGACTACAGCTTTTTCCCGTTTAATTTGTGTACTTATTGATGTGCCAGTAGCCCTGGCTGTTCTTTCCTGACACTTTTGAAGAGGAATGGTTACTGAGCCGTTTTCCGCTTCAGATGACATGAAATTTAAAACATTGGCAATAACCTCTTTGGTCTGACTATGTATTTTTTTGTTCTTGACTTTAGACACAATGGGAGGCATTATTGTTACTTTCAGCACTCAAACACTGACATAAACTATAACACAACAAAGTACAACACTGAAAACTTTGAACAGCGCTAAGCATAGATGTTAAAACAGCAATGATTCGTTCAACCAAATGATTATAGGCATACAGTAGGTGGCTAACTGCAAGTGAGCGCCGGCTGCGCCGCCGAGCGGATGTTTTCAAGCCTGTGTAGTACAAGGTAGCACATGCGCTGAACAACCTCCCCACCCCGAGTCAGCGGCTGCTGTTCAAATTACAACCGTTGTCGCAGCTCAAGATATACCGCGACGACTGTACATCAGTATAGAGAATGGCTCTGTCGAAGACAGCTCATATTAGTATTGTCAAAAATACCTTAGGTGGCAGTTTTTGATCAGTAGGAGAAGTGTAGGGGTGCATGAAGGGTGTAAAGGCAGGGACAAACATGGTGAACATCACCACTTATTTGCAATCATTAGGAAACACAAGTCTCTGTTTATGGATTACATGAGATTGTCGACTTCAACGTTCGATTACATATTTAGTTTGGTAAAGGATGATTGGGAGAAGCTGACAAGTAATTGGATATATATAATATATAAATATAAATATAATACATTTAGTATATATTGTACAAGCTATATGGTACAATATAGCTATACAATATGGCTATGGTTGGCTGTGGCTATATGGTTTTATTGGTGGTGGTATATGTGTATATGGTTGTACAAGCTTAAATAATATGTATACAATTCTTAAATATAAAAAAAAAGCGGTGAGGCGTATATTGAAACTTCCACGAAAAACACATGTAAAAGAATATTTTATGTCACTTAAGATAATGACAGTCTATGGGATGTATATATATCAAACTATCATCCACTTCAAGGAAAGGGAACATATACTCTAAAACCATTAGGAAGTACTCATGAATATAATACTAGAAATAGGAACAATATTGCAATACCCATACATAATTTGGAACTATTTAAAAAGAAACCTTCTTATGCTGGAGCATTATTTTTTTCCAATGTCCAATGTGTGGAAATGTTCTCGTCGATATCCGCGATCGCGGCAAAAGCGTAGGCCTAATCATTCAATTTTGTGAGCGTGATCCTCACGGATTTAACACATTCACTGCTAATGATATGTAATACTTTTATAAATGGCTAAAAAACATAAACATTAACATGATCATGTTAATTGAGTGACAATATATCTTTAATTAAATAAATTTTATACTATAAATTGTGGATTAAAATATATTATGTAATTATATACATCATGTATTATATATCTGCTAATATACTTATGACGCACAAGTGCGTCATTAGCAGTGAACGTGTTAAAAGCTTTTACTTTTAATAATTGTGCATTATTGTATTGAATACTGGGAAAATCGGCTCGAGCTTGATTTTCTGACTTTGTGCTTGATCTCTCAAGCTTGTAGTCCAGGCTCTGCTCGGCTCAAAAATCGACATTATAGGCCTATTATAAAAATCACCCGTTTCCAAAGCAACCCGATCTTGAACGCACTAAAAATGTTACTAAGGGCCTCAGGCCAAATCAGATCGGTTCAAAACCGGGTTGTTTTGGAAACGGTTGTTTTTATAATAGGCCTATAATGTCGATTTTCGAGCCGAGCAGAGCCTGGACTACAAGCTTGAGAGATCAAGCACAAAGTCAGAAAATCAAGCTCGAGTCGATTTTCTCAGTATTCAATACAATAATGCACAATTAAAAGTAAAAGCTTTTATAACCGTGAGGATCACACTCACGAAATTGAAAGATTAGGCCTACGCTTTTGCCACGATCGCGGATATCGACGAGAACATTTCCCCGCGGGTGACGATGACGATGTCTTCGCGGCCGCAGATGTTCAATATTTTACCGCGATTGCGGAAGACGATAATGACGTTTCTTTTTTAGCGAGAGATGCAAAGTTTACTCGTTTATTTTAGTCAGTCACTTTAAGTTCCTGCACTATAGTTGTGGACAGGGTATCTCCGGACCAGGAAAAGGAGATCTACCTGCCTCGGCTATTGTGGAGTTGCCCGACCGACCGACCCTAATTAATGTCGCTTGGCTGCGCTTAACGAAAACAACAACTAGATACCCAATACCATAAACTTAAGTTAATTTATTTACAAAAATTATTAATATTGATTATCATATCATGTTTTGTTTTAAAATGTCGATTATATTGATACTAAATTTGATGTAAATCGGCTAATTTTGACCATTTGTGCCGCCAAACTATAATAGTTTTTCTTACAGTCTCACAGTGCATTGGATATTAAAATTACAATCACTTTGGTATTTGAAAAACAATTTTTTTTGATTATAAATATTCTTTCGACCGCTGTTTGAAATCATCAAACTTGACCGCTAGCATCCAAGGACTCTTAATTCGAAATGCACGTGCATTAAACCATAATTTTGTATATTTTGTGAATATTTTACAGTAAACTAAGTTACAGAGTAGGCCTACCCTATATATCAATAAGCAATATACGATCGACTATATACATTTTAATTACTAACAGTCGGCCTCGTGGTCAAAAACTCGACCAAAAGTATGTATTGTGCAAACTTCTCTGATTTCATCCTTCACTGTAAAATGTAATTGGAATTTCTTAAATTTATTTGTATTTTTCTGTTCATATTTCTATTATTTTTTTCTATGTTTCTATTATTTACTTTCCGTAAATTTAATAACACGTACAATGCTGATCAAGAAGTTATTTAAAAATTTATAAGAACTTATATGCAAAAAATAACATTTTAAAGTTCCGGAAAACAGTTAACTAGTTATACTTAGTGTAGAAACATACAGACACCGTAGCATAGCCAAAAGCAGCGTAGTCCAATACACACAGAGAGCGCAGCGTAGCGTAGCGCATAGGTTGTAGACAGTCTTAATAAGGTACATCAGTATAGAGAATGGCTCTGTCGAAGACGGCTCGTATTAGTCTTGTCGAAAATACCTTAGGTGGCAGTTATTGATCAGTAGGAGAAGTGTAGGGGTGCATGAAGGGGACAAACATGGTGAACATCACCACTTATTTCCAATCATTAGGAAACACAAGTCTCTGTTTATGGATTACATGAGATTGTCGACTTCAACGTTCGATTACATATTTATTTTGGTAAAGGATGATTGGGAGAAGCTGACAACTAATTGGATATATATAATATATAAACATAAATATAAATATAATACATTTAGTATATATAAATATAATATATACAGGGTGACACAACGGAACCAGACGTTTTTTTAATAAGTAGTACACAGTAGTAAAAAGGAATAAAATGGTTTTAATACTCTAAATAGTGAGGTAGACATTCGCCATTTGTTACCAAACAGTTATTTTTTGAATATGACGTCACGCATATGGCGGCCATGTACTTCTCTACAAATGTTCATTCTCGAGTGAAAATCATCTGCAACTCGGGTCAGGAGGTCTTGTTCAATGTTATTGATCTCTTCTGTGATTGCCAACTTCAAATCCTCTACAGTGAGTGGTTTTTGAGCATAAACACGCTTCTTGACAAACCCCAAAATGAAGTAATCACAGCTGGACAAGTCAGGTGACCTTGGCGGCCACGGTATGTCATCAAAGCGAGAAATCATCTTGTTAGGAAACATTTGCTTCAAGACTCTCAATAATTGGCCTGCAGTGTGGGCTGTAGCACAGTCCTGTTGAAAATAGCCCCTTCTTCGGTTTATTTGACATCTGCAAAGTTCTTGACAGAGAAAGGTGTTCAACATGTGAACATAGCATTGAGCGTTCACTTTCACTGTTACACCATTTTCCTCGAAAAAAATACGGCTCAATAACACAGGAATGAGAAACAGGAATGAGTGTAGAGGTTTTTCATGAATGTCACGAGGATTCAGACTGGACCAGTAACAAATGTTTTGTTTGTTTACCGAGCCATTAAGGTCGAAGTGGGCTTCGTCACTCATTAACAATATCATATTCAGCTCATTGTTAAGCAATCTTAGCATTGGCGATGCAAAGTTACTCGTTTATTTTAGTCAGTCACTTTAAGTTCCTGCACTACCTGTATTCTTTTAGGATGAAACTTGAGATCTTTCTGAAGAATTCTCCTTTCCGATTCGTGGTTCATGTTCAGCTCTTGAGCATGTTTTTGTGCAGACCTATATATGTGTGAGTGTGCTATTTTTTTCAAATCAAAGCAATATTGATTTAAGTTTGAACATGTATTATGATTGTACAATTGTAGGTGTAGCAAAAGGATCAATAATCAATTCTCCTTTACTAAACTCCGTTTCAGCCATTAATTAGGTCTTCTCCAAATTGTTACACGTATTTAAAACGTTTTTTGAGTCAAGAATTTTTAATGCTTATCAAAATATTACTTTAAGCTATTTAGTTTTTTATTCTGTTTTAGAACAAAGCAAAGAGAAAAAGAATTACATTGGATGATTTAACCCATACAGCAACAACCCAAGACAACTCAGTAAGTAACCATATATACCTTTAACACCTTTTCTTAAATCGACACTCTTTTTGATCCATCATACGCAAAGTACTATAGTGGAACCTCAATAACAAATAGGCTTGATAATGTAACGGGTCTATTTGGTTAAGGGGGTAATTTCAGAATCTCTACTAAAACTAGTGATTTTTTAAAATATCTTTAAAAATTATCATATATACTTTTTTAGGTTTATTTTGTCTTAGAAAAAGGTTTCCCGCTGTTAAAGTAAAAAAATATTGTTTTAGGCTGTATACCGTACTTTTTGGAGTTTTTTGAGTTTTTTTTTTTCGGGGGAAAATATAATATGGTTTTTTTTAAACCCCTATTACTTTTTAACTACTGAACCAATTTTATTGTTAGATATCTCATTTTAAAGAACAAGAAAAGTAGCCTACTAACTTTCTGTGCATACTCATACCTTTTCTCAATTATTTTATAAGTTATAGCTTCATAAATGATTTTTTTTAATTCCTATCTAATACTTTTTTTTTCAAAAAACTTGCATTTAACTGGTACCCATTACAATACCTATGCACAAAAGATTCCTTTATAGTATAGACAATGAGTGATAAAAGTTTTTTTTTTAATATAGCTAAGTTAAAAAAATGTATAGAAAGTAAATAATAGAAATATCTTATAATACTTAAAACATATACTTACGCTTATACTGTTACTCACAAGACGGTAAATATACACACAAAAATGGTAAGTGGTGATCGATGATGGTAGGCGAACGATCATTCGCCTATTGGGTCTGATGATGATTGGAGTGTCCAATCGAAATCGATCACCACTTACCATCTTTTTTGTATATTGACCGTTTTGTGAGTAACAGTATAACCGTAAATATATGTTCTAAGTGTTATAAGACGTTTCTATTATTTACTTTCCGTAAATTTAATAACACGTACAATGCTGATCAAGAAGTTATTTAAAAATTTATAAGAACTTATATGCAAAAAATAACATTTTAAAGTTCCGGAAAACAGCGGACTAGTTATACTTAGTGTGTAGAAACATACAGACACCGTAGCATAGCCGAACGCAGCGTAGTCCAATACACACAGAGAGCGCAGCGTAGCGTAGCGCATAGTTTGTAGACAGTCTTAATAAGGTACATCAGTATAGAGAATGGCTCTGTCGAAGACGGCTCGTATTAGTCTTGTCGAAAATACCTTAGGTGGCAGTTATTGATCAGTAGGAGAAGTGTAGGGGTGCATGAAGGGGACAAACATGGTGAACATCACCACTTATTTCCAATCATTAGGAAACACAAGTCTCTGTTTATGGATTACATGAGATTGTCGACTTCAACGTTCGATTACATATTTATTTTGGTAAAGGATGATTGGGAGAAGCTGACAACTAATTGGATATATATAATATATAAACATAAATATAAATATAATACATTTAGTATATATAAATATAATATATACAGGGTGACACAACGGAACCAGACGTTTTTTTAATAAGTAGTACACAGTAGTAAAAAGGAATAAAATGGATTTAATACTCTAAATAGTGAGGTAGACATTCGCCATTTGTTACCAAACAGTTATTTTTTGAATATGACGTCACGCATATGGCGGCCATGTACTTCTCTACAAATGTTCATTCTCGAGTGAAAATCATCTGCAACTCGGGTCAGGAGGTCTTGTTCAATGTTATTGATCTCTTCTGTGATTGCCAACTTCAAATCCTCTACAGTGAGTGGTTTTTGAGCATAAACACGCTTCTTAACAAACCCCAAAATGAAGTAATCACAGCTGGACAAGTCAGGTGACCTTGGCGGCCACGGTATGTCATCAAAGCGAGAAATCATCTTGTTAGGAAACATTTGCTTCAAGACTCTCAATAATTGGCCTGCAGTGTGGGCTGTAGCACAGTCCTGTTGAAAATAGCCCCTTCTTCGGTTTATTTGACATCTGCAAAGTTCTTGACAGAGAAAGGTGTTCAACATGTGAACATAGCATTGAGCGTTCACTTTCACTGTTACACCATTTTCCTCGAAAAAAATACGGCTCAATAACACAGGAATGAGAAACAGGAATGAGTGTAGAGGTTTTTCATGAATGTCACGAGGATTCAGACTGGACCAGTAACAAATGTTTTGTTTGTTTACCGAGCCATTAAGGTCGAAGTGGGCTTCGTCACTCATTAACAATATCATATTCAGCTCATTGTTAAGCAATCTTAGCATTGGCGATGCAAAGTTACTCGTTTATTTTAGTCAGTCACTTTAAGTTCCTGCACTACCTGTATTCTTTTAGGATGAAACTTGAGATCTTTCTGAAGAATTCTCCTTTCCGATTCGTGGTTCATGTTCAGCTCTTGAGCATGTTTTTGTGCAGACCTATATATGTGTGAGTGTGCTATTTTTTTCAAATCAAAGCAATATTGATTTAAGTTTGAACATGTATTATGATTGTACAATTGTAGGTGTAGCAAAAGGATCAATAATCAATTCTCCTTTACTAAACTCCGTTTCAGCCATTAATTAGGTCTTCTCCAAATTGTTACACGTATTTAAAACGTTTTTTGAGTCAAGAATTTTTAATGCTTATCAAAATATTACTTTAAGCTATTTAGTTTTTTATTCTGTTTTAGAACAAAGCAAAGAGAAAAAGAATTACATTGGATGATTTAACCCATACAGCAACAACCCAAGACAATTCAGTAAGTAACCATATATACCTTTAACACCTTTTCTTAAATCGACACTCTTTTTGATCCATCATACGCAAAGTACTATAGTGGAACCTCAATAACAAATAGGCTTGATAATGTAACGGGTCTATTTGGTTAAGGGGGTAATTTCAGAATCTCTACTAAAACTAGTGATTTTTTAAAATATCTTTAAAAATTATCATATATACTTTTTTAGGTTTATTTTGTCTTAGAAAAAGGTTTCCCGCTGTTAAAGTAAAAAAATATTTTTTTAGGCTGTATACCGTACTTTTTGGAGTTTTTTGAGTTTTTTTTTTCGGGGGAAAATATAATATGGTTTTTTTTAAACCCCTATTACTTTTTAACTACTGAACCAATTTTATTGTTAGATATCTCATTTTAAAGAACAAGAAAAGTAGCCTACTAACTTTCTGTGCATACTCATACCTTTTCTCAATTATTTTATAAGTTATAGCTTCATAAATGATTTTTTTTATTCCTATCTAATACATTTTTTTTTTTCAAAAAACTTGCATTTAACTGGTACCCATTACAATACCTATGCACAAAAGATTCCTTTATAGTATAGACAATGAGTGATAAAAGTTTTTTTTTCATATAGCTAAGTTAAAAAAATGTATAGAAAGTAAATAATAGAAATATCTTATAATACTTAAAACATATACTTACGCTTATACTGTTACTCACAAGACGGTAAATATACACACAAAAATGGTAAGTGGTGATCGATGATGGTAGGCGAACGATCATTCGCCTATTGGGTCTGATGATGATTGGAGTGTCCAATCGAAATCGATCACCACTTACCATCTTTTTTGTATATTGACCGTTTTGTGAGTAACAGTATAACCGTAAATATATGTTCTAAGTGTTATAAGACGTTTCTATTATTTACTTTCCGTAAATTTAATAACACGTACAATGCTGATCAAGAAGTTATTTAAAAATTTATAAGAACTTATATGCAAAAAATAACATTTTAAAGTTCCGGAAAACAGCGGACTAGTTATACTTAGTGTGTAGAAACATACAGACACCGTAGCATAGCCGAACGCAGCGTAGTCCAATACACACAGAGAGCGCAGCGTAGCGTAGCGCATAGTTTGTAGACAGTCTTAATAAGGTACATCAGTATAGAGAATGGCTCTGTCGAAGACGGCTCGTATTAGTCTTGTCGAAAATACCTTAGGTGGCAGTTATTGATCAGTAGGAGAAGTGTAGGGGTGCATGAAGGGGACAAACATGGTGAACATCACCACTTATTTCCAATCATTAGGAAACACAAGTCTCTGTTTATGGATTACATGAGATTGTCGACTTCAACGTTCGATTACATATTTATTTTGGTAAAGGATGATTGGGAGAAGCTGACAACTAATTGGATATATATAATATATAAACATAAATATAAATATAATACATTTAGTATATATAAATATAATATATACAGGGTGACACAACGGAACCAGACGTTTTTTTAATAAGTAGTACACAGTAGTAAAAAGGAATAAAATGGATTTAATACTCTAAATAGTGAGGTAGACATTCGCCATTTGTTACCAAACAGTTATTTTTTGAATATGACGTCACGCATATGGCGGCCATGTACTTCTCTACAAATGTTCATTCTCGAGTGAAAATCATCTGCAACTCGGGTCAGGAGGTCTTGTTCAATGTTATTGATCTCTTCTGTGATTGCCAACTTCAAATCCTCTACAGTGAGTGGTTTTTGAGCATAAACACGCTTCTTAACAAACCCCAAAATGAAGTAATCACAGCTGGACAAGTCAGGTGACCTTGGCGGCCACGGTATGTCATCAAAGCGAGAAATCATCTTGTTAGGAAACATTTGCTTCAAGACTCTCAATAATTGGCCTGCAGTGTGGGCTGTAGCACAGTCCTGTTGAAAATAGCCCCTTCTTCGGTTTATTTGACATCTGCAAAGTTCTTGACAGAGAAAGGTGTTCAACATGTGAACATAGCATTGAGCGTTCACTTTCACTGTTACACCATTTTCCTCGAAAAAAATACGGCTCAATAACACAGGAATGAGAAACAGGAATGAGTGTAGAGGTTTTTCATGAATGTCACGAGGATTCAGACTGGACCAGTAACAAATGTTTTGTTTGTTTACCGAGCCATTAAGGTCGAAGTGGGCTTCGTCACTCATTAACAATATCATATTCAGCTCATTGTTAAGCAATCTTAGCATTGGCGATGCAAAGTTACTCGTTTATTTTAGTCAGTCACTTTAAGTTCCTGCACTACCTGTATTCTTTTAGGATGAAACTTGAGATCTTTCTGAAGAATTCTCCTTTCCGATTCGTGGTTCATGTTCAGCTCTTGAGCATGTTTTTGTGCAGACCTATATATGTGTGAGTGTGCTATTTTTTTCAAATCAAAGCAATATTGATTTAAGTTTGAACATGTATTATGATTGTACAATTGTAGGTGTAGCAAAAGGATCAATAATCAATTCTCCTTTACTAAACTCCGTTTCAGCCATTAATTAGGTCTTCTCCAAATTGTTACACGTATTTAAAACGTTTTTTGAGTCAAGAATTTTTAATGCTTATCAAAATATTACTTTAAGCTATTTAGTTTTTTATTCTGTTTTAGAACAAAGCAAAGAGAAAAAGAATTACATTGGATGATTTAACCCATACAGCAACAACCCAAGACAATTCAGTAAGTAACCATATATACCTTTAACACCTTTTCTTAAATCGACACTCTTTTTGATCCATCATACGCAAAGTACTATAGTGGAACCTCAATAACAAATAGGCTTGATAATGTAACGGGTCTATTTGGTTAAGGGGGTAATTTCAGAATCTCTACTAAAACTAGTGATTTTTTAAAATATCTTTAAAAATTATCATATATACTTTTTTAGGTTTATTTTGTCTTAGAAAAAGGTTTCCCGCTGTTAAAGTAAAAAAATATTTTTTTAGGCTGTATACCGTACTTTTTGGAGTTTTTTGAGTTTTTTTTTTCGGGGGAAAATATAATATGGTTTTTTTTAAACCCCTATTACTTTTTAACTACTGAACCAATTTTATTGTTAGATATCTCATTTTAAAGAACAAGAAAAGTAGCCTACTAACTTTCTGTGCATACTCATACCTTTTCTCAATTATTTTATAAGTTATAGCTTCATAAATGATTTTTTTTATTCCTATCTAATACATTTTTTTTTTTCAAAAAACTTGCATTTAACTGGTACCCATTACAATACCTATGCACAAAAGATTCCTTTATAGTATAGACAATGAGTGATAAAAGTTTTTTTTTCATATAGCTAAGTTAAAAAAATGTATAGAAAGTAAATAATAGAAATATCTTATAATACTTAAAACATATACTTACGCTTATACTGTTACTCACAAGACGGTAAATATACACACAAAAATGGTAAGTGGTGATCGATGATGGTAGGCGAACGATCATTCGCCTATTGGGTCTGATGATGATTGGAGTGTCCAATCAAAATCGATCACCACTTACCATCTTTTTTGTATATTGACCGTTTTGTGAGTAACAGTATAACCGTAAATATATGTTCTAAGTGTTATAAGACGTTTCTATTATTTACTTTCCGTAAATTTAATAACACGTACAATGCTGATCAAGAAGTTATTTAAAAATTTATAAGAACTTATATGCAAAAAATAACATTTTAAAGTTCCGGAAAACAGCGGACTAGTTATACTTAGTGTGTAGAAACATACAGACACCGTAGCATAGCCGAACGCAGCGTAGTCCAATACACACAGAGAGCGCAGCGTAGCGTAGCGCATAGTTTGTAGACAGTCTTAATAAGGTACATCAGTATAGAGAATGGCTCTGTCGAAGACGGCTCGTATTAGTCTTGTCGAAAATACCTTAGGTGGCAGTTATTGATCAGTAGGAGAAGTGTAGGGGTGCATGAAGGGGACAAACATGGTGAACATCACCACTTATTTCCAATCATTAGGAAACACAAGTCTCTGTTTATGGATTACATGAGATTGTCGACTTCAACGTTCGATTACATATTTATTTTGGTAAAGGATGATTGGGAGAAGCTGACAACTAATTGGATATATATAATATATAAACATAAATATAAATATAATACATTTAGTATATATAAATATAATATATACAGGGTGACACAACGGAACCAGACGTTTTTTTAATAAGTAGTACACAGTAGTAAAAAGGAATAAAATGGTTTTAATACTCTAAATAGTGAGGTAGACATTCGCCATTTGTTACCAAACAGTTATTTTTTGAATATGACGTCACGCATATGGCGGCCATGTACTTCTCTACAAATGTTCATTCTCGAGTGAAAATCATCTGCAACTCGGGTCAGGAGGTCTTGTTCAATGTTATTGATCTCTTCTGTGATTGCCAACTTTAAATCCTCTACAGTGAGTGGTTTTTGAGCATAAACACGCTTCTTAACAAACCCCAAAACAAAGTAATTACAGCTGGACAAGTCAGGTGACCTTGGCGGCCACGGTATGTCATCAAAGCGAGAAATCATCTTGTTAGGAAACATTTGCTTCAAGACTCTCAATAATTGGCCTGCAGTGTGGGCTGTAGCACCGTCTGTGACAGTGAATTTCAAATTTCCCGCAAGATAAGTAAATCTCAGATCTGTCAGAAGGGTAAGTGTACCTCCAAAAATCGAAAGTTGCTAATTTTTAAAGATCTCAGATTTCAATCTCAAATTTTCAAGGTTTATCTTGATTTTAATTTCCCAGTATTGAGTTCATAAAATATCGAACGTTCTCACTCTCGGTTAGAGGCAACTCTCACCTCGAGACGCTAAATCCATTTCGAAAATTTACACCATATAATCGAGCGGAGGCATATGTCTCGCCGGTTCGATTATAAAAGGCCCTCTTAACTTCAAGTAATAAATAATTTTGGTTGAGTTTTTGTGAAGTGAGAAGTTAGTAGAATTTTATTTTGGAGTGTACTATTTTGTTGTTCTGTAGGTTAAGGGAGGATAAAGTATAATTTTATTTTCAGAGAGTGTTATTGTATTATGTATCCGTCAATTTGAAGTTCCCTTTAGAATTGCGATTCAATATTAGTGGTGTTCTAATAACTCACGAAGTGTGTAATTTATTAAGTTGTATGTTGCGTTCCGTGTCGGATAAATATCTCGCATGGCGACACATTTACAGAAAGTGTTATTTTATCGTTTATTCTTCAATTTAAAGTCTCTTTTTGAACTGTGATCTTATTATTGTATTTTAAAGTCCTACGAAGAGTGTAGATAAAGTGTTACGTTACGCATAATATTCCGTGTGGGGTATATATCTCGCATAGTGATATTACCGTACGTTTGGGCATAGCTGTCTGAGCAAAATTACCTTCATAGGCGTTTAGTCGTAGGTTCGAGCTAATTTTCCTCAATATTTTGGTTCGAAGTGAGGTGGTCTTTTGAATGTTTTTTTTTAATCTGTTAATCCGCATGAGGCACTTGTCTCGCACGTCGTTAATACATCCAATGTAATTATACCCACCCTCAGATTATTTCACGTATCAAGTCTTACGGGGCACTTGTCTCGTGTGACGCAATTTGTAAATATCATTTTATAGAATATTAGAAGGGGCATCTGTCTCTTCACGAAATCCAGTTTATCGTCCATCCTGTAAATGTATCGATTCATTATGTATCGGTTATCTTGAGATACCGCATTACATGTTATAAATTGCTACGATTCGCCCATGAGGTGTGAAGTGTGTAGTGTAGGTTTGGTGCGAGAAAGGAGCACGTTTCAACAAACTGTAAACCGTTCTGATTGAGTATCGTTTAAAACGCATTTCAATGTATGTAGGCCTATTGCCGCAGTTGTAATGTTCATGTAATAAATATTGATTAATTACTAAATGTGGGTAATATTTTCACCTTCTGAGATATCTCCTTGCCACCAGGCAAATTTTAGTCTTATTATAAGGGTCGAACCTCCTCTGTGGGTTTATCCGAGGCAAATATAATTTATTTTGTATTGTGGGAATATTTGACACATTAATAACTCTTACCATTACGATTTCCCCATTACACGTCCTGTTAAAAATAAACCCTTCTTCGGTCTATTTGACATCTGCAAAGTTCTTGACGGAGAAAGGTGTTCAACATGTGAACATAGCGTTGAGAGTTCACTGTCACTGTTACACCATTTTCCTAAAACAGAAATACGGCCTAATAACACAGGAATGAGAAACCGCACACCAAACTGTAACCTTGGGAGAGTGTAGAGGTTTTTCATGAATGTTACGAGGATTCTGACTGGACAGTAACAAATGTTTTGTTTGTTTACCGAGCCATTAAGGTCGAAGTGGGCTTCGTCACTCATTAACAATATCATATTCGGCTCATTGTTAAGCAATCTTAGCATTGGCGATGCAAAGTTACTCGTTTATTTTAGTCAGTCACTTTAAGTTCCTGCACTACCTGTATTCTTTTAGGATGAAACTTAAGATCTTTCTGAAGAATTCTCCTTTCCGATTCGTGGTTCATGTTCAGCTCTTGAGCATGTTTTTGTGCAGACCTATATATGTGTGCTATTTTTTCAAATCAAAGCAGTATTGATTTGAGTTTGAACATTTATTATGATTGTACAATTGTAGGTGTAGCAAAAGGATCAATGATCAATTCTCCTTTACTAAACTCCGTTTCAGCCATCAATTAGGTCTTCTCCAAATTGTTACCCGTATTTTAAAAGTATTTGAGTCAAGAATTTTTATGCTTGTCAAAATATTACTGTAAGCTTTTTAGTTTTAGTTTTTTATTCTGTTCTAGAACAAAGCAAAGAGAAAAAGAATAACATGGGGCGATTCAACCAGTACAGCAAACACCCAAGACAATTCAGTAAGTAACCATATACAGTATATCTTTTATACCTTTTCTTGAATTGACGCTCTTTTTGATCCATCATATGCAAAGTACTATAGTGGAACCTCAATAACAAATAAGGCTTGATAACAATTGTAATTTCAAAAAACCCTCAGTTTTTTTACTACCTTTAATCACATGTTTTTGCCTTGATTACAAGTTTTATTTAATGATCCCTCTATAAGAGACTTGTTATCAAGGTTCCAATGTATAAAGGCACAAAAATACACAAAAATAAATACTGTTCATTTTCAACAAACACGTTCCCTGCGGGTGACTCACTCTGCAGTGCACCAATCTGTTGCTCAGTGCGAGCCAAGTGTCGGTCGATGGCGGACCTATATCACGTTAGTGTGTAGTGTGTGACTTGCTTTTTGTTGTGGTGTAGGTTGGTAGTAAATTTCCCTGTAAAATCCCTGTCTGGCAAGCTTAGAAATCAACTTGTTGTCCTGTCTTTCTCCCTCCAATTGGCAGTACAATTGGCTACGTTCCAAGCACTGCTGTGGGTGTTTTAGCAAACTCGTAACGCCATACAATGAACGCACGTTATTTGCTATTCTTTAGACCGAAATTTGAAAGCCCAAGCCCGGCAATCGGGTTCGTTCAACGCTGTGCTGCACCAGGGATACGCCTGCATTGATGGGCCACAGTGAACGTGTTTAACAATTGTTAATTTTCTTTCTAATAACTAAAAAAAAGAACAAACAAACAGAACCATTAAAATTGTTCAGCAAGCTGCAATATTTGGTAGTGTAACACTTAAATGCTTGATAAAACCGAAGATTGTACACTTTCTCTGCAATATGCACATATAAAAAAAATTTGGTCTGTCTGTAGTTTACATTTTCTTACTCTTTGGAGCCATTCCTTAGTCCAACACAAAACTATTCTTAATATTTGATTTTCAGCTTTGTGAGAAATTTAAATTTCTTCAATGTCCCAACACAGAAACAATAAATTTCTATGCTGTTTAGGACACTACAACTAAAAATAGCTTATTCCCTATATGGGAAATTCGCTAAAATCGGATAGTGCTCTATTTTATATAGAGCAACCTTTTATATTTAGTTTTGAGTTCTTGTAGGATTATATTTTGACTTTATGAGGACTCTTGGGTGATAATTTCATAATATTGATTGTCTACACAATTTGTTCCTACAATATTTACTTTTTGTTTTTGCCTACCCTTGTTATTATTACTATAACTTTTATTAGAGTTGGAGCCAAAACCAGACAGAGGCAGAGGAAAGACTCCAACCAGAACTAAGAGGGTACCAATTGATAGGGGACAGCCAATTCTGCCGTTTCGGGCAGAAGTTGCTGGGTCTGCAGAGAGTCCCTATGCACAACTGTAAGTATTTAGGACACAATACTATACAGTGTAATTTTATCATTTTTATGGTTTCTTCATTCAGTGTTAGTGGTGGTTTTTCAAAATGAAAATAGAATATATCAAATATTTTTTGACTCGAACAATAAGTTAAACTGGATAGGAAAAAGGTATTGAATATAAATCGAGTGGTTTGAAAATCTGGAAACCCCTTAATATGTCACATAAAAGGACAATGGTGAAACTCATCATAATATCTGTTCTGCATGCATATAGGTTCATTTTAGCGAATTTCCCCTATAGGGAATAAGCTATTACCGTAGTACTCATGGTGAGACCTGGACCCGGGACCGATTTATTTTTTCGTTTTGAGGTCCCTAGAGGCCAAAAACACCATCCGTTCAAATTCATATATATATATGTATTTATATATATATACGGACACATATAAATATATATATATATATATATTTATATATGTGTCCGTTAGCGCGATAACTCAAGCAAAAATTATCCGATTTTGATGAAATTTGGTTCAAACGTGTAAACCTACGTTTATTTGAACGAGTTTGCAAACCAGCATGATCGGACTATGGGAACGGGGGTTTATGGGGGTTTTTATGGGGTAAAAATAGGTTTTTCCTATTTTTTACCCTAAAAACTTAAAATTTAGCAATTCCTTTTCAAACCATTTTGTAGAGCTTAAAAAAAACAACAAATAATTTAGTATATTGAAGCGTTATTATGCGCCTAATGGTTACGGAAAAAAATCCAAAAATCTGTAATTTTAAAAATCCCATGTTATTCTTATGGAGAATAAGTAAACTGTTGTAGTTTGCTTGTTTATGAACATATTTTGATCAAATTTAGAAAATGTATTCATTTCATACTAAACTATAAACATTTTACAAAAAACACTTTTTTACCCTCCCTGTTGCAGCAAACCTAAGTACTCGTTAAACTTATTCTATTTAAATAGGGAATAAATGTGATATTTTTAAGGAGGCATTTTAGTGTAAATCCAATCAGGCTAATAGAAATTCGCTTAGTCTGCAGGTTTGCTGCGGCGGGGGTATTTAGGTTAATTCTATCCCTTTCAAAACATTTGTATTACTTACTTACTTACTGCTGTGGCCACTGGTACCCTAGATGGTACTTGGCCTCCCCAACACACTGCCTCCATAGGTCTCTGCTTCTTGCATCTTCCTTCCTTCTCCCTAGCTTCCTCAGGTCTTTCTCCACTTGGTCGAACCATCTAAGTTTCGGTCTTCCAAGGGGTCTTTTACCTTCTGGGTTATTCCTCAAGATGTTCTTTGATAGGGAGTTGTCATCTTGTCTTAGAATATGCCCTGCCCATCTCAGTCTTCTGCTCCGTACCTCAGCGACAATATCCGGATCCTTAAATAATTCTCTAAGTTCCCAATTATGTCTCGATCTCCATTGTCCATCCTCAAAAATGGTCTGTACACTTTCCTCAAAATCTTGTTCTCAAATACAATAGCTTTCCTTTCTGATTTCTTGCTTAAGATCCAATTTTCTGAACCATACAGGAGAACTGGTCTTATGATTGTCTTATAAATCCTGAGTTTGGTGGTGTGGGATATTATTTTTGAAGTTAGTAACTTGTGACAGGCCGAAAAACTTTTTTGTGCTAGGTTTAATCTATTTTGTATTTCTAGCTCTTCATCATTATCACTGGTGAGGATGACTCCCAAATACTTGAAATTTGTTACTTTTTCAAATTTATACTCTTCAATTTCAATGTAGTTGTTATTTTAATATCTTGGTTGGTCATCATCTTGTTTTCTTCCACATGTCATAAACTTGGTTTTCTCTTCATTTATGTATAGCCCCATTTTTCTTGTATGTTCAATAAGCATTTTTGTTACATCTTTCATTTCTTCTATATTATTTGTAATTAATACTATGTCATCTGCAAAAGCTAGCAAGTTTATGTTTGTTCCTTTCTTAATCTCTACTTCTGTCTTCCTTATTTCCTGAAGGGCTGTTTCTATGGCTAAATTGAACAGCAATGGAGATATCCCGTCTCCCTGCCTCACACCCGTGTTCACCTCAAAGTCTTCCAATACGTCTCCATTTACTCTAACTTTGCACTTAGAACCTAAAACACTCAATTATGCTAGTTCTATAAGTTTTCTTGGTATACCTAGATGCTCCATATATGGAGGTATACCTAGGAGCCTTTGAAAAATCTATGAAGAGGCAGCAGAATGATTTGTTGAACTCATAATACCTTGCTATTGACTCTTTAAGAATGTAGATTTGATCCGTCGTTGATCTGCCTCTGCTGAATCCTGCTTGATGCTCTCCAACAATATCTGTTGTGTATTCCTCTAGTCTTCTCTGAACTATTTTGGAAAGTATTTTGTAGGTGACATTTAGGAGAGATATGCCTCTGTAGTTATTGCAGTCTTTTTTGTATCCTTTTTTGTGAATTGGTACAACTAGAGCTTCCTTCCATTCCTTGGGTATTGTTTCTTCTCTCCAAACCTTGAGTGGATTCTTTCTGCTAGACAAAAGCCACCTGCTTTTAAAATCTCTGCAGTTATACCATCCTCTCCTGGGGCTTTATTATTTTTTAAGCTCTTGATTGCTTCTTCTATTTCTTGTATGGGTGGTTCTGGAATCCAGGGGTGCGGTCTGATAGACTTCTTCCTGTTCTTCCTCTTCCTGCTGCAGATCGCCATTTAGTAGCTCTTTAAAATATTCTCGCCAAACACTCAGTCCGTCTTCCTTTTGGATTACAACTTGTCCCATTTTATTTTTTATCCCCACAGGTGAAGGTGTGTATCCTTTTTTGAAAAATCTTAATGCACGATAAAATTCTCTTGAGTTGTTTGCTGTTCGATCTTGTTCTGCTTTTTCCAGAATATTATTGATCCATTCTCGTTTTTTCTTTCTTAATAGTTTAACTGTTTCCTTGCTTTGCTCTTGATAGCTATCTTGATCTATATCTTGTTTGTTTCTTAACCAAATTCCCTTTGCTTTTCTTCTTTTCAAAACTGCCTCTTTGCATTCTTCATCAAACCAAGGTTTATTGTTTTTTCTTTCTTTTTTGCCACAAACTTCTTTGGTACATTCTCGTACGGTCTTCTTTATATTTTCCCATCTCTTTTCTATTGAGTCCTCCACTTCTGTCTCTTGTTCCACTGTGTCTAAGGCTTGGAAACGGCTTGACAATTTAAGCTTAAATTCGGTCCGGATTCCTTTATCTCTAAGTCTATCAATATCTATATTTTCTACTGATTGTACTCCTTTCCTCTTCTCTATTTGTATTCTTTGGTATAATTTGACTAGAACTAGGCTGTGGTCTGACCCACACTCTGATTTTCTTATGCTACGTACGTTTTGTACATGACTAGAATGTCTGCAGTCTATTAATATGTGATCTATTTGATTTTTTACCTGACCATTTGGTGAGATCCATGTAGTTTTGTGGATGTATTTTCTCGGGAAATATGTGCTCATAACTTTCAGGTTGCAAGCAGTAGCTAGGCTTAGTAGCCTTACTCCATTATCATTGCTGTCTGTGTGTAAACTATTTAGTAAACATTTGTATTATTGACATTTATTTTATTTTATTTCATTTTATTGTTTTCAAGACTCAAATCTAGTAATGTATTGATGAACCAAATAAATTAACTGAACATTCTGCAATGGTTTTCAATAAATTATAGTACACTTTGCTTTTCTCATTGTATTGGTTAAATGTATTTATTATATTTGGCTTTTTTTAAGTTTTTTTTTTAAACCGAATATTGGTTTCTATTATAAACAATTTTATTTCCTCCAGCCTATTTAAAGCTTCTGAATTGATGTAACAAATAAAGAAAATATTTTGTGATTGTGAACACACATGTTGTAAAGGCTGCCATGGTCAATAAATTTATTGTTTTCTAGGCCCTGGCAGAATTGGCCTATGCGTCAGTGGACAAACAATCACTGACCTCCATTCTCGTGTTAGGCATCATTTCTACCCTATCTCATCAAACATCATCGTTATGATCGGCACAAATGACTTTTTAAGAGTAAGTTTGCATGAAAAATACAGTAATTATCTAAATCTAGATTCTTAAAAGCAAGGACTTCATTGTTTTTAAATCCACTCAAACTGCCCACTTGAGTGAACAAAAATTCCTATAGGTGGCAAACACCGAAAATCTTCTCTTCGGATCGAGTAAATCCCTGTGTTCTGGTAGTCTCCGCAATACCGCTGCTGTATCCCACGACACGACAACACTCGTGAGCATATATTATTGCAATCTTGACGATACCATGAATGTATCCCGCAATTGCAGCAACACTTGAGCATATATTGTGGTCTCGGCGATACCGTAACCATCTCCTGCGATTGTGGCAACACTTGTGACCAGTGATCACGATTTTGAACACCGTCAATGAATGGAGATTCGGCCATAGGATAATAATGGAACCTTCAGCTCATAACAGATTCAAGTGCAATTCACTGTCTCTTTTCCGTTCAAAAAATTCATGTACAATTCACGGTCTTCATTCTCTCTTTCCTAACATGTTTAAATATGAGTATTATGACATTTTAAGTGGCAAATGCAATATTCTTGCAAAAAAATTATTGATCTTTTACGCTTTTCTATATTCTTATTGTGTATACAATAAAACGTTTGATTTAGTCAACTTTGTGGTAGATGGAAAAGATTTATGTTATCCTGTATTTCCATTAGGACTATTAATTTTAGTTAGCCGACAAGTAATATAGGCTATAGGGAATTATTTCACTACAAAATAAGCAACAAAGTCTCAAAAACGATTACTAATTACTAATTTTTTACTAATAACTAATTAGATAATGACTTTTTGCTTTATGGTTGGGGGGGGGGGGGGGTTGGTTAACTTTCTGGACTGGAACATGACTGGCCCTAACACATGGACACTTACAATGTGACGGTTGGAGGACCCTGAATTATGATATTACTCTGTTACGTCAAACAATTAAATTAATAGTTTACAGTTTTACAATTATCTGTATTTACATATTCTTAGAGAATAGTACAATGTATCAATGATAACATGTTTCAATTGGGTGTTAGGATATTTGTATTTGACCTACATACAGACTTGCTGTGTAGAGAGTTAAGTATCGTTGGTTATAACAAATAATTTTAAACTTAAAGGGAGTTAATGTACAATACACAAAGTAGTGTTCTGTCATTGACTATACACAGAATAGATTTCCCATGTGATAAAATTTTGAAGCCATGAAAATGGATGAAGTTCAGGACCATCTCACCGGAGGATACTAGTGTATTGGGTTGAATATTAATTCAGATCAATCCAGAATCATAGCAAACAGCCGATTGATTTATCGCCCAACTATAGTGATGGGTTGGTACCACTTTTTCAAAGTCTCTACCGATACCGATTCCTAGCAAAAATCGGTTCTCGGTTCCGGTACCATAGGTACCTTATTTTAAATTTTTAGGATAGGCTACTTAATTTTTTATTTTTAAAACAAAATATCCATATTTCAATTTTACAGTATTTTGCATTAGTATAGGTTGGTACAAAACTAAAGGATTAAGAAAATAAAACTTATTTCTAAAAAAAAACCCCAATTTAAATAACCAAACACAGTCAAATCAAAATAATATATAGGGTAATGTAGCAGAAGTGTTAAAAATATTTGATGATATTGGTGATGTGTCGATACAAAAATTGATCGATTCTCAATACCGATACCTAAAAAACAATTCTTAATACCAATACCATTTTTTAAATAGTTTTACAAAGTTTTCTGAATGGATTGGTCATACTACAACAACCCTTGTCTTTGTGTCTTGCTATTAGGCATTTTTGAGGTAGGATATAAGGGTGTTTTTCAAGTAGAAAAATGTATGCAGCAATGAAACATTCTAACTACCGGTGGTCAATTTCCAAGTGCAAACCCTTCTTATCACATAAAATAACTACCATAAGGTGTTTCATGGGAAGTCTATTCTGTGTATAGAGGCATGCTGTACTAGCCTGATATTTTCAGTCCGGCCAAACTCAAAGTAATGTCGTGATAATCGTCGTATTCTGAGATCACTGCAAAATCCGAAATATTTTTCTCAATTACTGAAACATCATCATTGTTTTACGCAATAGCGGCAAGATCATAAAAATTTCCCACGGCCGTGCAGACATCATCATGGATATCATGAACGTCACTCACGGTCGTGTAGACATAATTGTCTCCCACCGTCGAGGCAAAATCATCAACATCTCTTGCGGCAGTGTAGATATCATCATGAACTCCTACGGTCACAGAAACGTTTTCGTCATCGTCTGCGATGGTGGCAAAGTCATGAACATCGCTTGCGGCCATGTAGACGTCATCATTGTCTCCCGGTATCATGGTAACGTCGTCGTCGTCGTCCAGGATCGCAATCGCAGCAAAATCACCTTCGGCGGCCGTGTGAACATCATCATTGACTCCCGCAGACACGGAAACGTCATCGTGTAGACGTCATCATCGTCTCCCGCCATCTCAGGAAAATCATGAACTCCCTTCCTCTCGGTCACGGAAACGTCTTCATCGTCGTCCACAATCGCGGCAAAATCATGAACATCTCTTGTGGCCATGTTGACGTCATCATCGTCTCCCAGGATCCCGGTAACATCACCGTTGTTATCCACGATCGCGGCAAAATCATCTCCCGTGGACACGGAAACGTCATCTTCGTCTTGCACGATCACGGCAATATCGGTAATATTTTGGCATTATCGGTTCCTTTTGGTACAGACATTTCAACATCTATTCTCAGTTTTGGTTCTTTTGCCAAGAACCGGCGGAATCGACATTTAACGTGAAGTACCGACGCATCACTATGCTTAACACAAAATATTGTCATTTGGTAGACGATCTCAACACATTGCACTACATTTTTTTTGCTTCTAATTTTTACATTTCATGGGAAGTCAATTCCGTGTATAGTCAATGTTTATGATCAAGAATATTTCTTGAGACAATTGTTAGCAATGTCTTCAGTAGATGATTCATAATTTTAAAATGTGAAACTATAACAGTATTGAGGCAACATCCTGACTTATGTTACACACTCCATGTTTATGGTGCCAAAACTATACTTAACTCTTATATTAACTACTATAAATACCTTGGTCACCTTCAGTTCCAAGATGTTAATTTTGTGTTTTAGGCTATACGTTTTGGTATGTTAGCCATTATCAAAAATCTTTTGTTAGGAACATAACCATCCGCTACTACTTTTTCGATAACATGTAAACACAAACGATAACATTAAACTGTGATTGGCCAAGTTGTAACACAGACAAATATTTAGATGATAAAATGTGCACAGGTCTCACTTACTTAAGTTATTGAAAGGCTATTTATGAGTACTAAAATGTTTTACTTCATGATCAAATTGACATTGTGTTTTTTAACTTGACCTTCAGGACTAGACTAGTCCTAGGCCTACCATGCTTTCCACTATAAAAACATCACCTAGCTCTAAAATGTTGGATGTAACGGTTCACAATAGGCTTTAGACTAAATGTTTTTTTTTTTTGTATTATAGTGTTACTGTATAATTTACATTCATTTTTTTACCAGAATGTAAGTGTGAGCAAAATGTGCCAAGAGCTTTCTTCGCTTATCAAGACCTTACAAAAGAGTGCCAAAAGAATCATATTGTTGACTTTGCCGCCAATCCCAAAACTGGCAGAGGAGAGCTCCATCCACTATCAACTGTTAGAATGCTACAACGAGCATATAAGGAGCCTGGAAAATGGTGAGTTAAGTTGTGGACAAAGGAGATATAATAAATCTAGGTATTTTCGATAAGACACTTCCAGATGAGATGGAAGTCTGCTGGTATTTATTTAAAATGCTGTGGTACTGCATTATCATTCAAAGTGTTAATTTAATAAATAAAAATTTAATAATTTGGTGTAAATACCTTCTACATGGACAAATGGACATTCTATTTTAGTATTTAGATATTAGATCTTCTGTTGAAGACCGTCACATAAAAGAACATTTATTTGTGTATACTATATGCAGAGAATCAATATGGGAACTCAACTCTTAACCCTTTGCGGACGGATGTATCCGCCTAAGTCTTTGGCAATAAAGGACGGGTGACGGATATAACCGCTTATGGTTTTTGATGTTCCGGAAGGGAAGCGGTTATATCCGCCTTCTCTTCAGACAGACTGGCAGGTGCTTGAGCAGTAACCAGATGTTTCGCGGTACCAAGGCGGTACTTTCCTGCTCTCTCCATGGCTGCACTCACCCCCGCACTCACCCCACTCTCCCGCGCTAACCCCTCTTCTGCGCCTCCCGCCCTCCCGCGCACCTACCACCACCCCTACATTGCCCTCTCGACGTTTCGTGCTCAACATTACGTTGTCTTTATTTATTGTTTACATATTGTTCTTTATTTATTGCCTAACGTTGTCCTGGTCATATCTTCAAAGATGGGTGGCGGATATATCCGCTGCATTTGTACTCATCCGCGGACGGGTAGCGGATATATCCGCATAGTTAAAAACGAGTAAAAAATTATTTTGACAGTATGAAGTGTTCCATTGTGTTTATTTTATGTATACTTGTATAACAAAACACAAATAAGGAATATACATTTTTATTTTTTCCTCTGATTTTTTCCCGTCCTATGTCACGATTTCGCCCTTCCGGGAAAGGTTAAACATTTAAAAAAACAGTATCAGCAATCTGATATATACTTTCTCCCACAAGCTTGTCAACAACCTTTATCATTGGAAAGCGGTAGGAGTAACTATGATATTTTATAGGGAAAAATCACCAAAGTTGCAATAACTTTTGAACCGTAATTGTTACAGCATGAGGGTTTGCACTATTTTGTTAAGAATTAGGACCATAACACTTTAATTTTAATCAAAACCAGCTTTTTGTCTAAAATCCTATGTTTGTGTTTTTATTTTATGGGGTTCCGGTACCGTATTTTATCAGAAAAATAACATAAGCTACAATAACTTTTGAACTGTAATTTTACGGAAATGGGATTTGTACCATTTTGTTCAAAATTTGAAGGAACATTAACATACTAATTTTAATCGAAACAGGCTTTTTTCCAAAATCAATTTATTTTATTTTATGGAGTTTTAATGGGAAAATAACATAAATTACAATAACTATCGAACTGTAATTTTTACGGAAATAGGATTTGTACAATTTTGTTCAGAACTGGTGACACACATACGCACCAAAACTACATAAATACATAACAACATACTCAATTTTTATCAAAATCAATCATGCCATTTTTGATAAAATCCGATTTTTCCTTTATTTTAATGGTTTTTATGGGGAAATTACCATTAAAACCCTTGATCTGGCGCTGGTCCCGTAGGTTTCCCGGTGGCAGTGGTCCCTGAGGAACCAAGACTGCATGGGTCGGGTTTTCCTATTATTAAAATATAAAAACAGTTTTAAACCGCAATGAATCTTATACCATCAGAAGGATGAGATTCAGGGATATATTATCATATATATACAACATTATTAGGGAGTATTATGTAGTGGGAAACATAGTTTGAAAAACTAGAGAGTTGAAAATATATTTTGGCGGCGTAAAGTTTACATCACCAACAATCGATAATTGTGTACAATATTATTACATATTCTGAAACTACAATAAATTCCCTACAATTTATATACCTCCGAATCTGAGGTTAGTTGTACAAATTTTATGTAGTTTAAAAAATGTCATAAAAATTATGTTTTTGTAAAAAAAAATCAAAATTTGACAACTTGACGTCAACTACTCAGAAACTCTTTTATTCAACTGCATATAACTTTATGTTTTCAGAAAGATCTTTTATTTTTCTTTTATTCTGTATCATTTTTATTTACTGTTGATGCATTCAATTTATTTCTGATACGACAAAAAAATTTTTTTTTTTTTTTTTTAAAGTATGTAGAATTTTTTAAATAATTTTATTGTTATGAGTATTTAAAATATGTTGATATTTCTACGTAGGAAATCATATTTCACACAACTTTTACATTTAGATAAAATTTGGGAAACAATTATTTTGTAGTTTTCATTTGGGTTGCTTTTAAAATTTCTAATTTGCATAATCCAAATTTTGCAAACCTTTTGCTACTACGCCTAAACGCATTGCTAGAGAAAAATTATTTTTATATTATTATATTCTAAATTTATCTTTGAAACAGAAAATATACAGGGTGAATAAAAAGTCAAGACCCCCCCATCTAATATTTTTCCAAGTAAATATACAGAGATATCCTTTTGGAAGTCGTGCAATCTTTGCAGGAAGTTTCTTTTTATGATTTTGAAATTTTTGAGTGTCCCCCCAAAAGGGGGGATTTGGGGGGTAACTCAAATATTTTAAATGTAAACCCCCTTCAAGTGACACCTCATTTTAAAGTGTTTACAAAAACTTAAAGAATGGTGAAAACTAGAGGTAGCTATCTCTTCTCTGTCCAAAATGGTAGCCCGTCAAATGTTGTGAAAAATCAATGGTAAAATTGGTTAGTTATTGTAATATTGGCCTCCATTTTGGATAGAGAAGAGATAGCGAACTCTAGTTTTCACCATTCTTTAAGTTTTTGTAAACACTTCAAAATGAGGTGTCACTAAATGGCGGGTTATGTTTAAAATTTTTGAGTGTCCCCCCAAAAGGGGGCATTGGGGGCAACTAAAATCTTTTCAATGTAAAACCCCATCAAGTGACACCTCATTTTGAAGTGTTTACAAAAACTTAAAGAATGGTGAAAACTAGAGTTCGCTATCTCCTTTCTATCGAAAATGGTAGCCAATATTGCCATTACGAACCAATATTAACCATTGATTTTCCACAGCATTTGACAGGCTACCATTTTGGACAGAGAAGAGATAGCGACCTCTAGTTTTCACCATTCTTTAAGTTTTAGTAAACACTTTAAAATGAGGTGTCACTTGAAGGGGGTTTATATTTAAAATATTTGAGTTACCCCCCAAATCCCCCTTTTGGGGGGACACTCAAAAATTTCAAAATCATAAAATGAAACTTCCTGCTAAGATTGCACGACCCCCAAAAGGATATCTCTGTATATTTACTTGGAAAAATATTAGATGGGGGGGTCTTGACTTTTTATTCACCCTGTATGTGTTCTTATTTATATTCACAAATAACTATTTTGCGGCAAGAATTAGACAACAGGTGTGGTCTGTAGCTCTGTACACATCCTTTTACAGCTTGAAAATGACATAACTTCAGCACCAAAACTAGTGGCTACATTTAATTTAAGTTATTCAAATAAATTACACCATATTTAAAAAAATAGTTATCAGTAATTTGAAGTCAATACTACCATTGTCATTGTTCTACATTAGTACTCTTGGGTTATAAATGGGTGGGGGAGCTCTCTTTGAGTAATTTCCACTAGAACTATCATTCAATTCTGTCATAAATATATATAATTGTTGCAACATTTTATTCATTTAAGGTGATACTTTGAGGATCGCAGACGTCAGTCCCTTGTACATGTATTCTGCCCCAGATGAAAGATGCAGAATGCATCTCTTTGAACAGTAAGTATTTAAATAAACTCAACTGACAACTCCCAAAATACAAATAGTGACAGTAAAACAATGTCCAATTTTCTAGATGAGCTGAACTTTTCAAGCTAAATTTGAATAACTTCAGGATATTTTTGCAAAAAACTTGAAAATTTGCAAGAGATACCGGTAATAAAAGTTCCCACTGTAAAAATATCAAGTTTTGATTATTACAAATTTAATCAAAATGTAATAAACAAACTTACTTTGGACCATATTGCTATTGTTGAAGGTACAGTAGAACCTCTTTAATCCGAACTAATTGGGACCGGGGGTACAGTAGTCGCAGCTAGCCTGGGCGCGCGGCCGCGCTATGGCGGGGGGTGTAGAGGGGAGTGTTTATTGCTCATTTCCAAAAACATCTGGCCCACACGGCTCCCTGGGGTTGTTCAGTGCCTCAGCGCTGTCTTTTTGGCTTTGGCGTGGGGGACGGTTAGTACACAAGAGTCCGCGCGCCCAGACTAGCTGCGACTACTGTAGTTCGGACAATTGAATACTGTAGTTCGGATTAAAGAACATATTGTTGTTTTTCATAACAATAGCTAAAATGGATCGTAATTGTTACGGGAAAAGTGAAAAATACTTTTCAAAGTAAAATACAGTGTTTATTTAATACACTAGTAAACATAGTGAATAAACAGAACTGTATATTACAATATAAACAATTATGGTGTGTATATCAATAAATACAGTAAGTATACAATAAAGAACTACTGTACTGTGTATAGAGTTCAGCAATGAGGCGTTCGGATTAGTGGACGTTCGGATTACGGGGGTTCGTGTTAAAGAGGTTCTACTGTATAAGGGGATGCTACCATTTACATGTAAATGTAAGGATGTATTTTTCAATTAGGAAAGTGTTGGGTAATCCCCCCCCCCCCAAAAAAAAAAAAAAATTAGGCCTAATGTTAATTTAATTTCACAAGTGCTGTTTATACATATTAATCACTGTCCTCAAATAATATTTTCAACTACAGGAATAAATTGTACTAAAATCTTGGGTCTTGAGAATGTTATTTTTAATTTACATCTACATTGTATTTGTTCCAGGGTTTTCAAAGGTTCCAGCCCTGGATATGCAAAAAACAGACCCGATCTCATTCACCTGAATAAGTCAGGACTTGAAATAATCCAAAAATTTATCATTAAAAATTTTTTTTGAAAGGCCTTTACTCAAAAGTAGTAAAAAGTTACTATCGATAGTCACACTATCGATATTTTTTGATAGTTTTTTAAAAACTATCGATACTATCGATAGTACTATCGATAGTTACTCAAATGGAGTTTTAATGCATATAATATTGTATATCCTTCCTGCATGGGTTTAATAAATGGTTTCTATCTAGTCGAAGATAAAGCTGTATCAGATTATTAATTTTAACAATTTGTGAGTGACGTCCTGGTGCCTCCTTTATGATTTTTTCTTTTCCAAAATATTATAACATTGGTATAAAATAACAATAAGTTTTAGCATTGACTATATATACCTACAGAGTCAATGGTTTTAGACGAACAGCAGGGAAAATAAGGTTTAGTTAGTAAAAAATTAAAGGAAATGCCTAATTGTGTATTGAGGCAAAATACGTCATTACCGCTCGAGAACTGCGGCCATATTTCAAGAGTGGCAATTATGATTCTTCCTACCACCATAATTATTTCATAATAGCCTATCACACGGATTAACTTTCTGGAAGTATATAAAAATGTCATTTAGGTTGCATCTGCATTTCTAAGGTTATTTGATTTGCTTATCGATTGTTAACTAAGTTAACATATCAGATCCGCGACTGTGGTTGGTGCAGAAACGATAACTGTGAAATCAGCTGATTAGCGAGCGGGAATGGGCTATTTTGCGTACTGTTTACAGCTATGGAATGTGATCATTTTCATGCACCGGTAGTTTAGGAAAAAAATGTTAGTATAAATACCCCCGCCGCAGCAAACCTGCCGACTAAGCGAATTTCCATTTGTCTGAATTGATTTTCAGTTAAATATATTTTAATAACATTAGGTTTAACGAGTACCTAGGTTTGCTGCTACAAGGAAACTAATAAAGTGTGTTTTTGAGTAAAATATTGATAGCTTAGTACAAAATAAATAAATTTGCCAAGTTTGATCAAAATATATCCATAAACAAGCAAACTACAACATTTGACAATATTCTCCATAAGAATAACATGGGAATTTTAAATTTACAATTTTTTTAATTTTCTCCGTTACTAACAATCGAACAAAAATACTTTTACATACTAAATTATTTGTTTTTTTAAGCTCTTTAAAAAGGTCTAAAGAGAAATCGGGAAATTTTGTGTTTTGAGGGTCAAAAGTGAGAAAAACCAATTTTTACCCCATAAAACCCCTTGTAAAGCCCCGTTCCCATGGTCCGATCGTGCTGGTTCGCGAACTCATTCAAGTTTATCCCGCTTTACACCTTTAAACTAAATTTCATCAAAATCGGACAAAAATTACTCAAGTTATCGCGTTCACGGACGTATATATATATATATATATATATAAGTCTATATATATATAAAAATTTGAACGAATGGTGTTTTTGGCCTCTGGGGACATCAAAATGAAAAAGTAAATCGGTCCCGGGTCTAGGTCTTACCGTGCCACCTACGGTATAGCTACTTCCCTATAGGGAAATTCGCTAAAAAGTTGTTAAATTAATAATAAAAAGAAAATTACAAGAGAATTTTTTACCGTATACCGGTGTCTACTCTTTAATCCATGCTAAAATCCATTTAAGGCCGTACATTACAAAATCCATTTAATGTACCCATTAGTCCGGTAGTGAATTAGCAAATGCCCCCTCTTTCAAATGTTTAAGAAGGTACTTTTCTGTAAAGTTTTTCTACAGTTAACTTTGAAAAAAAACTTAGGCTATAATATTAACAATAGGTATGCATTAACAGACAAACAATGAAATGTGAGAGTAACAGAAAATGATTTTTTTACATAATTTAACGTAAACAAAAACTATCGATAGTCCAATACTATCGACCCACTATCGATATTTTTAAACTATCGATACTATCGATAGTACTATCGATAGTAAGTTTTCACTACTCAAAAGAATCAACATATCAAATCAAATGAAATCTAACTCATAATTAGTTTGTCACAAACTGATAAAACTACACCGTAACTCCCAAATCTGACAGGGCCCGACCCTGAACCCCAACGCTCAGCTCAGCTGAAGTATAATTCTTTTAAAAGTTAGTCTTGCTTGTCAACCATGCAGCCTCACAGTTGTGATAATACTTATTGAAGTGCCTGTTCTGACAAGAGAGGTATTATTAATTTTCTTAATTATTCATGCACAGATGATGCATTTCTTGCTAAGTTAAAATAGTGACTTAATACTGTAAATCATAAACGTTGTATAATGTATTTATTCATTTCATAACATATTTGACAATTCATTCTGACTCATAAAAAAATCAAGGAATATAAAATATAAAATATGTAAACTTAACTTCCCAACACCAGGAATAGGCCTGGTATAAAACTAGTAGGTCGTCTTCTTGTTCCCGAGTTTCATTAGTTCTCAAATGGTCAATATATACATACATGTCTTGTTCGGCTATCAACTATGACTAGGTATGTCATAGGGCTTACAACGTTTGTTACCACCCCAGATTGTCAAATATTTTTCTCTTGTCGCACATTTTTGACAAACACCTTGTTGTGTAACACGATTGATGTCGGTTTTCCCCGGTGTACATTGATAGAATTTTTCAGGTTATCCTGTTAAGTTTGCATTTCTTGAGCCAAATGAGGTTTTAGAAGTGATAGGTGAGTTTTATGTTTGAATTTCAAGAATAATTCAGATGGTGTCGATCCAGTTGTAGTATGAGGGGGATTCCGGTACACAAACAAGAAGAATCTATTCTGTGTTGCAGGGGTCTCTGGGTGTGTTGTTGTTCATCATGGAGCATTTGTTTTAAGAAAGCGTGTTTAACTGTTTGGTCAGTTTGCTCTGCCAGCCCGTTGGAAGCAGGATGATATGCCGGGGTTAGGGTATGACAAACTCCATTAGCCTCTAAAAATTGTTTGAATTCATCTGATCGAAATTGGGACCCGCCATCTGTCACCACAGTAGAGGCCAGTCCATAGGCTGCGAAGCAATGTCTTAGTTTGTCAAAATTGTCTGTTTTGATGTCGTACCGGGCATATGGAACACTTCTACCCACTTGGAGTAGCAAACTGCAATTATTAAAAATGCTTTCCCTTCAAAGTTAGGGAAGTCCAGATGAATTCTCATCCAGCTTTGTTGAGGCCATGACCAAGTTTGTAGGGGAGGAATTTATGAAACTTTTTGACGGCCACAACCAATGACAGGGCCTCTTTTTCAATTTGGGTGTATTTAGCCTCACTTTTGGTAAGTGTTCGTGAGGCAAATGCTATAGGCCTCTCTGAACCGTTCAGCATTTTATGGGCAATCACACACCCAACTCCATAGCTTGAGCTATCACAGGTTACAATCACATCTAGGCTTGGGTTAAAGGGAATCAAAAAATTGTTCATAACAAGTTTGTTTGTTCCATTCGTCACAATCAATAGTCCACGATCAATCTACCTCTTTACCGAGCAGATGGTACAAACCATAAAAATGAACTAGTCCTAAAAATTACCTGAGTTGTACAACATTTCTACTGGTTTTGGAGCATTCAAAATTGCTTTTGTTAAGGGTGTTTGGTCAAAAATTTGATGTCTTATTTTTTGTTATTGTTCAATTGTACTAAAAATTAGAGATACAAATATATAAGAAAAAATTATTTATTTTGAATATTAAGCGAGATATGGAGCATGAAAGTAGTAAATTTTTAATCTTTGGTACCAGTTCACAGGGAGAATGGGTAATGCGATTCTCACCAAAATTTGCATTCAGGTGTGGAAAAATAAGATAATAATCACTAGCTATTTAAAATTAAAAATTTTTTTTAAAAATTTATTTTTTATTTTTTATAATTTTTTTAAAAAATTAAAAAAAATTTTTTAATTTAAAAATAGCTGTTTGTTTTTGGGAAAAATGTATCTGTATGTTGGAATAAAAAAAAAGTGATATGTTAACTCGTTTGGGCTGTGAATTCGTACCTTTCATGCCTTGCGCTGTCGGAGCACTACTCGTTGAGAGTTTTTAAACTAACACCGGGGCTTTAGAATACAACGATAAACGTATTCTTTCAATGTTAAAGCATGTTAATAATTACGTGATGTTAAAGTATTCTAAAGCCCCGGTGTTAGTGTAGGCCTACACACTCTCAACGAGTAGTGCTCCGACAGCGCAAGGCATCAAAGGTACGAATTCACAGCCCAAACGAGTTAACATATCACATTTTTTTTATTCCAACATACAGATACATTTTTCCCAAAAACAAACAGCTATTTTTAAATTTTTTTTTAATTTTTTAAAAAATTTATAAAAAATAAAAAATAAAATCTTTTTAAAATTTTTTAATTTTAAATAGCTAGTGATTATTATCTTATTTTTCCACACCTGAATGCAAATTTTGGTGAGAATCGCATTACCCACTCTCCCTGTGAACTGGTACCAAAGATTAAAAATTTACTACTTTCAAGCTCCATATCTCGCTTAATATTCAAAATAAAAGATTTTTTCTTATATATTTGTATCTCTAATTTTTAGTACAATTAAACAATAACAAAAAATCAGACATGAAAATTTGCGACCAAACACCCTTAACTCCCCACTTTGATGAATACCGTTCTTGTCCAACTGGTATCCTAGAAAAACTAATCTTTCCTTAAAGAACCTTGAAGTTAAAATGATCAGTATTAAGAATCTATTTTTCAGGTTTCGGTGCGGGGTTTTTATAAATTTTGGTATCTATTATACCAGTACTTAATAAAACTATACTTAAGGCCGACAAGCACTATTGAATAATTACAACTACCGATTATCCAATACGTAAACATAATACTACTACAGGCGGAAATGATGTGTTATCATACCTGCGTTCTCTAGTCGACTGTCCGTCCTTTTGTCTCCAGAGTGGGGATGGGGGTTGAAGGGTCAAAGTCCAGACTATGCTATTATTGTAGGCTATTGTATTAATTAACTAAAATCTTCTGTTCTAAAATCTGTGTTGTGTTATCTTCTGTTGCTTTAAACTAAATAATCACTTTAATACAGTATCGACATATCACTATTTTTAACAAGTTATTGATAAATTGCAGGTTTAAGGATTATTTTATAATTTTCTGATTATTTAATCAGTAATATGTAAAAGTTGCATACTTGTGTCAGACAATATTACAGTTATCATACATTTTGTTTTGTTTAACTGAGAATGCCTTTTCCGATAACTAAAATAGTGAACTGTGTTAGCTCTAATACAGCATTGCGCTTTGGAAAGTTTAGTATGAAAAGTATGACCTGAACTACCTGGAATTACTCATGAATTTTTCTGGTTGACCTGGTGGACACCCTGATTGAGAAATCCCAATTTTAGCTCTTCCCCAAATTTATTTGATTCAACCTTGCCTATGTAAATTAGTTCCATTTTCAGATAAATATGAGCCCAACCAAGAAATTTACTCAGTTGAAAAGATGGCAGGATTCATTTTTTTTTTAGGAAAATGTGAAAGTCATAATTCAAAGTCCAGACAAGGGAAAAAACACAACCGTCCTATTGAACTCTGAGTTCCATCCAAAGCACATGGCACTTGATTAAAAAAACAAAATTTAAAGCTACCATTGGGACTAAACTACTTTATTAACCCAAATTGTTCTTTAAATAAAATATTGTTGCATTCTAAAAAAAATTGTACGAATGATTTTAAGCTAGTTTTTCTAAAACTTAAGAACATTAGGACAGAAGGGAAACTAGTTGATAGAATCATGACAACTGAAACTGGTTTCAGGATCATGCCTTTCTCTGTATAGTTAAACATTTAAGTTATTCTTTGTTCCTAGCACTTGTTAAAAGCTGTATTTTACATTAAATTTTTAGTTTTTTTTTATGTATTTTGTTAAATTTTATATATTTTTTATTTGAAGTAATAAACCATTGTGAATATGTTATCCTGGGTAATTATTGTGTTCATTTTCCTTTATTACCACTATTCAAAAAGTGATCTTGATTTTTAAAATGTCTTTCTTATTTTTATAAAATTTAATATTTGTCCACTTTTGAATGATAAGTTAGGTATACATTGCCTGGACAGATTTTGGACTTAGCCTACTTTGATTTAGTGACACTATTTGACTTATCGTAAGTACAATTTTATATTTATTCATTATTTATAACCAGAAATCTTTCAAATGAATGATCATGATAGTAGGTATTGTGTGGCATCACTAATCTGGAATATCTATTGTCGGTTATTTATTTGATGCATAAGTTAACCATAATTTAAGTGATGCAAAAAAAGACCAGGAATGGTGTTTATTTTTTCCCTACAGTCAACCGACAAAGTGGGCTTCCTTGCACAGATTATAGTACAGCAAGCCTTACTTTGGCGCACACCAGTTCTCCAACCAAACAACACAAAACAGAGTGCTTTAATTATGTATGTAATCCGTGTACGCTTGAAAATAAGTTGGCAACACCCAAAGTTATTACGACTACAATCAGCTGGTGCAGCGTTTCCAATTTCATTCAATGTTTGGATTTTATTTAACCTAACCTAAAAACGTGTTGTACATTGTTTGAAAGACTAATTAGTAATATGATTTATAGTATATGTAGGAAAAATATAATGTGTAACACGAGTGCAAACTGCCTTTGCTGCACTCGAGAAACTTTCCACACTTGCCTACGGCTCGTGCGTAAACATTTCTCTCGTGTGCAGCAAAGTGCCACTTCACCCACTAGTTACACAAATAACTATTGAACCACTGGAGACAATGTAACAAAGATTTAGATTTAACATCTAAAAATCTACTTTTCTAAGCAAATACAATTTGTTTTTCATTACGCTGGGGATATTCCACAAGGAGTCAAGGGAATCTTAAATGAGAGCATTAGGAAATTGGCCTAAAATTTAAGGGTGGGAAAAGATTTAGTTGTATTAGTTGGTACAAAAAGATGTTAGATAGTCTCTCTATAACTGTAGTTATATTAGGTAAAAATCAGCTCATCCATTATTTAATAGTTAAAAAGTAATTTAGAAAACCAAATGTAACAGAAAACACGTTTTTTGGATCTGTACTTGCATACACTGACACTGTTATAATTGAATGAAAAGGTAATTAAGTAATAAGGCCCTTATTACAGGAGGTAGCCTTGCCACATAGCCAGCTATGAAATTGGCTGCTCAGCCTGTCATGGGACATTGATTCTTATGGATGTTATTACATGAGGGTAGCCAGCGACGTAGCCATACTTTGGCAACCGACTGACTACTGAGCCCTGTTGCTACTGACTATAAACCCGGAAATATTCTGGCCACTGAACTGGCTACTAGGTTTGGTAGCCAGTGCGTCGCCAGTAATTGTTGCTGGCGACATCGCCAGGCCACCATAATAAGGCTCCAAGCTAACATGGACAAAAGGCACAATAGCTTTTTCCCATAGCTTTCTTTAGAACTTAGTTGCAGCTCTTCATTCACACCATCTTCTTAGCTGCAACTGATAAACCAAGTCCCTGATAGGCTTAATATTGTTAGTTTTTTTTATCACAAAAAGCAAAAAGCAAGCTGTTGCATTAAGATAAGCATTTGCACACACAAGTTTATCACTCGTTACTCGAATTTAAATTTGGGAATAATGATAATTTGTGTTGCAGCTTAAAAAAATCAACTTCACAAGTTGGAGTAGTAAGTATGTTTGTAATTTTATATTAAAGTAAAAAAAATCCTTAAATTTCCTTTTCTGCTTGGCTAGTTTCAAAATATATTAAGTCACTTAACCGAATCCATAACAGATTTGTTTCCTTTTACAAAATCATGACCATAAGGAGATTTGTTGAAGATTTTAGACAAAGCATTTCCTGTAAGAGGGATATTAGAATCATCAGTTTACAGACACGTGGATCAGTCACTCCCAAAAATGGTCCCACGCAAACTTCTAAGTACAAAGAAAGTGTAAAAAATCCAGGATTGATTGGCATAGGTCGTTTCTTATGAGTATTTGGTGTGTTTGATTTTTCACACTAGCCTATTATTATAATTTTATAATTTTGACATTATTAAACCTACATGAATAGGTTTTCAAGACCGTATTATTCACTCAAAACAATATTTGAGTAAATTTAATATTAAAACTGTTATTGAAACACTTGGTATGAATATATTTTTTCAGAGAGAATGTTGATAGCAAGTTTAGATATTATAAAAGTGGTAAAATTAAATAAAACTATTTAATATTTTAAAATTCTCTTTTATATCCCTTACAAAATGGAGACTACAGAAATTCTTTAGAATAAAACCTAGTACAAAATCTACAAAAAGAACAACAGTTGTGTTGTAATACAAGGATTGAGTTAACCAATGAAAACAGTTTTACAGCTGACAAGGATTATTAATCACTCGGTTTATAGTATTTTGTGATCCAAAAGTGTTTCATTACATCTGTGAGAGGCAATCTTAGATCAGGCTTATACTTCAACAATCTTGATACCAAGTCTTTAGCCCCTGAAGGAAATGTGAGCGGATACTTCACAGCAACAGCGACAATCTTCTTGAACGTTTCTTTACTATCACTACTTTCAAAGGGGGGGCTCCCGACCAAAAACTCATAGCATAGAACACCCAAGCACCAGTTGTCCACTTTTTCATCGTACTCTTTATTTTTCACCATTTCTGGGGGAAGATAGTCCAACGTTCCGCACATTGTTTTGCGGCGAGAGGAGGGTGCATGAACTGACCACCCGAAGTCAGCTAGTTTTATATCACCATCCAAAGTCATAAGGAGATTCTCAGGTTTGATGTCTCGGTGGATGACTTTGTTTAGGTGACAATAATGCAATGCATCTGCGACCTGATAAGTAAACTTGGCAGCTTTTGCTTCACTGAACTTTTGGTTTGGCTGTTTTTGAAGGTAGCGATAAAGTTCACCTCCAGCAGCAAACTCTAATACAAGGAAAATATGTTTATCATTTGTAAAGTACGTAAGTAACTGTAAAACATTCGGATGCTTCAAATGGCTTTGAATTTCTATTTCACGAATAACTTGGTGCTGCATTTGGCCTTTGATGAGTTCAGACTTAAATAACATTTTAAGAGCAACGACAGCATGTGTGGTTTTCTCTCTTGCAAGGTACACTCTGCCAAATTTTCCTCTTCCCATAGGTGCTCCAATTTCAAAGTCATTGATGGTCCAGTTATACGGTTTATTGTTTCTCTTAAGAATATGAGTTTCCATTTTAGTCACCATTTTCTGTACATCTTCCTTCAAGTCATCAGGGACATTATCGGCTAACTGCACTAATGAAGGATGTTTTCCTCCGTCATTGTGAGGTTCCATTCTAGAAAGAAAACAGTTATATTACAATAATATTTCAAGTAAAAAAATAAACTTAGTTCTTATTTTATAAACATTACAGACCAACTGAGCGGAAATATGGTTTACAGTTAGGATCCTGTAAGGTCTAATACATTTTCAATTTCATCTTTTTGATAATGTCTTCTTAGGTAGGCTTACCTTTTTGTATGTGTTTCTATTCCATTTTGTAAGATGTTAAAAGCTTAACAATAGGTTATACCCTCCTCATCTGCAAACCTGAAACTTAATCTAGGCTACTTGAAAATATATGCTTCTTGAAGTTCATCAATCAGCCTTAAATTGTTCTTGCTTTTTGCTTTTCAGTTGGTTAGTATCAAAAGCAGTGTCAATTTAATCCGTGTAATTTAGGCCGGCCACAAACAAAAGGGGAATGCAGCGCTTTGTAGAGAAACATTTTTTGATAAAAATGTATTTTTCACTTTCTAAGCTTAATAAATTTTAAAGATTGTGGGTGACGATGCCCCTGTGATCGCATACACTAAGTGATCTCCCAACAGTCCCAACTTATGGCGGGATCGCAGGAGGTGTTCACGATTGTACTAAAAAGTTCCACCTTCTAGGTTTTGCTTTGGTAATTTAGACTTAAATAGGTTTTGCTTTGGTAATTTAGACTTATAGGTTTTGCTTTGGTAATTTAGACTAAGCCTATGGCAGTGAGTACCCTTAAATCCGGCACTGGTAGCCCAGACTTCAGCAAAACGTATTCAGAGGCCAGAGGGTAACATTACAGTACTTTTTAGACAAATGAACAAAAACAAAAAGACCATATTTTAGCAAAGAGAGGCATATTAACACTTATATAACAGATGTAAGATTTCATTTAGGCCTATAATTGCAGGATGAAGATTAGATAAGAAACTATCCCAACCGATACGCCACAGCATACAGTAAAAGACTGGTAAGTGGCCCTCGTCTTCTATAGACCCATAGAATTAACAAAATATCAATATTTACACAGATTAAAATCATACCCGTGTCATGTAAAAGGAATAGTTCCTATACCACTGAGTCGACTACATATTCAAACTTCACACGCTTTCATATTCAAATCACAATCACATAACTTAGACTTAGTTTCAGAGTTGCTATAATATTAGCCTACATACATTCCAAAATGTCTAGGGGTGAATTAGGATTCCCCTAATACACAAAGAATCTTAACAAAATGGCATAAGCTGAGTAAGCTAGGTGAGTTAAGTGGCCAAGTCGCTGTTACCCTGGCATGCTTTCACACAACCCACTCGACTTGCCCAGGCATGTAACTTAGTTATATTTTATATTATGCATATTGAAATAACTTAACTAATGGATTGCCTACAGCTTTCCCTTCTGATAGACCCATAGGAAGTAAAGTAAAAGGCAAACGGGTACAGTTTCTTAACTGGGCTATGCTAATATCGATTGAAACTATCGAATTGAAAATATTGATTAATAACTGATATTTTTAAATATTTCTATTATAAAATTAAACTATCATAACCTAACCAACCAAACTTGCTGATGGTGAAAAAATCGCATGAAGGTTTACTAATCGAATCGATAGTTTCAATCAGTATTAATTAGCATAGCCCAGTTAAGAATCTGTACCCGCCATTTTTGTAAATTGACTTACTTCTTACTTCAATCTTTAATATTTTCTAAACCTTTACAAAAAATACCCTAAGGGTAAATATATAATTAATAAAACTATACAAAGGGAGGATATTTGAACATCGTTGGACAAACTAATGTCTAAAGCCGGGTTTACACTATGTAGCAAAACCTGCTATATAACTTTTGCTTTATAACATGGTTATATAACTTTTGCTATATAACATTGCTATTGCTATACAAAAAAGTTACAGACAATTTTAGTGATTCTGGTGCTCGTGCTATATGCTATATGCAGGGTGTCCACAAAAAAATTGTCATTAATTTCCATGACTTTCCATGACTATCCATGACCATTTACCATTGATTTCCATGACTCACGAACTTTACACGCAAATTATAATATAACATACACACACAAATATAACTGCCTGGACATGTTATTTTTCAGAAAATACTGAAATATGTAATAACAGATAACAATGGAGTACAATAGGTAGCCTACAACAATGAACTAAAACAAACCGAAAACGCATAAAATAATACAACTGTAATAAATTGAATTGTCGAACATTTGTGAAAAATCCTGAAAAATGCTCCAACAGTCCGGGTTACAGCTGACTAGAGCATTGAATGGTCCCCAAAAATCCATCCATAATTGGAAATTTCTATGACTCTCCATGACTTCTTGCCTATTTCCCTGACTTTCAATGACCAAAAGGGTACACTTCCATATCTGTTGGCACAAACAACCGAATGAGTAATATTGATTATTCGATAGTTTGATTCGATATATCGTTTGGTTAGTTAGGTTAAGTTAACCTTACCTAACTAACCAAACGATATATCGATCGATATTTTCATTCGGTTGTTTGTGCCAACAGATATGGAAGTGTACCCGTTTTTTCCATGACTATCCCTGACTTTCCAGAATGTGGACACTCTGTATATGTAGCACAACTTAATTCGTATTACGTATCGAAATGTTGCGCCGAAGAGACCTACTGCGCACGGTAGCTATCACGGTGATCTTAGGATTTTTAGGAAGTCAGAGGCGAAAGCGAAGGTTTTAGGTTCAACCTCCTCTTGCTTCGAGAAATAAGTACAGTGTAGCAGATTTATTACGGGATCTTAATGATGACGATCTTGCTGACGATCCATAATTAAAACACGAAATAAGGTGATGGTAGCTTCAAAAACGTTTTAGGTATGACCTAACGCCGGTTGTCCACGGAACAGTTCAAAGTTTATAATAGCATCCCGATCCCACGCACTGACACTTCCCAGTCCTTCAATTGTAAACAAAGATCGCTGATCAAAAACGTCCGCACCCAGGATACTACAACTGTGAACTGATGACACTAAATGCTACATATAGCAGGTGCTAGACAAAAAATATTTGTATAACATTGCTACATATAGCAATGTTAGATGTAGCACGTATTTCTTTTGATCTTTACCGACTCCCGATGGATAGCAAAATTTTTGCTATATATATAGCAGGATCTGCTACTTATGGCAGTGTTATATAGCACTTTTAAAAAGTAACTTTTTCTACTTCTAGAAAATGTTATATAACATTGCTAGATGTTACACAAATCTGCTGTAGCCTATAGCAGGTTTTGCTACATAGTGTAAACCCGGCATAAGTTAACTTACTTGTCTTAGCTGGCTTGTGATTGAACAGGTCCCTCAGATTAAATCTGTAAAACAGAAACTATTAATACATAAATCCACTAGTTGTGGAAGTAATTCATTAGTACCGGAGTATAATAAAGAGTTGTAAGTTGTTCAGTTATTGGAAAATGTCGACCGTTGGAATAAACAACAAAGCAAAAATAAATTGACTAACAGTTTTTGACAACTAATTTAAAGAATAATGAGCAGCAGCAGCAGACTTTGTTTGGGTTCGAGTCTCGCGATCGCGCTTTTATTACAGGCTGCCACTCTTACTAACGAAAATAAATAGTCGGTGTGATTAACTTAAAGTTACTTAAGTAAGATGTGCCATCGAGCACATACTATAAACTATTTATTTGTTTAGGTCCAAGTACATAGATAGTTATCTGACTGATTTCTCTTTTTAATTAGTTAGGTTTGCAATGAATCATGGTTGAGATAGGTTTTATAATAGTTTTAGTCTTTTGAACATGGTAAGCATCTACGTTTTGACACATGTCTTATCACATTGAATATAACAGCTCAGGACTGAGGAGTTAGAATGGAAATGAATTATAATTGTAAACTAACATAATATATGGCTGGCTCTTAGAAGTTTTCCAAAAAAATATATCATGTTCGCTCAAGTAAACTTGTAAAGTTATATATTTTAATTATTACACTGATATATGTCTTAAGAGATTAACTATTGGTTAAATTAATCTATGACTTTTTATTCTATGCTCCTGAACTATGCATTGATGCTTTTCTATGCTTTCCCAGGCTTTTAATCCACTTCAAAGTATTAACATAGATAAACATACTCCCTTGTTTAATAAAATCCCTCATTAAATCCCCATTAATAAAATATGTTTATTACAGTATGGTTTTTAAATAATTACTATAATATAATTGTACAATTACCTCGTCACAGCTCCGTAGTTTCCGTATATATTACGGCCGTTTCGGCATCAAAATGCCATCCTCAGATACATACATCCACCGGATTTGGCGTCGTCAAACTTGAAACACACACGCAACACGATAACAAACATTTAAAACATAAAAAACGAAAGACAGGCCTGTCGCGCACATGATGAGTACGTGTACGGAAGCTGACTGGACAACTGCTAGTTCGTTCCAGCCGTTGCGGTATTATCTCTAGGACTTTGATCCCTTGGCTTGCTTCGTTTGATGATGTTATTGAAAATTGTGTGAGATTTAAATTGTAGTTGGTCATTTAGTATGGATTCATTGTTGTTTTTTATTTTATGGGCTTTATAAATCTCATATTCCTCGAGGGTGTCTAGTCTATTACCATTAATACAGGCGTGCAGAATTTCTAATCCGTTGTCCAAATCAAGTAAGTCGTGATTATTGTCAACCAGGTGTTGTGCGAAAGTGGATTTTTGTTTGTCTGCTTTTCCGTTAGGGCGATGTTCTTTGTACCTAATGCTAAAGGAACGTCCTGTTTTTCCAATGTACGTACTCGGACAACTAGCGCATTTTATTTTATATACACCTGATTGGTCAGCTTTATTTTTATTAATCTTAGGTTTTAACTTATTTATAACTTTATTGCTGGTTCTGAAAGCTAGTTTGATTCCATGTTTTTTCAACTAATTCTTTAGGCAGTGTTGCAGGGGATGAGAATAATTTACGCAGACGAATTTCTTGTTTTGCTGGGTTAGATTCTGATTTGGAGTTTGTTTATTTTTGTACTTCTTTACTAAGCTATCGACCATTTTAATGCCATACCCATTAGATAGAGCGATTTGCTTGATGATTTTGAGTTCTCTATTGTAGTTCTGTTCTGTCATTGGGACATTTAATAGGCGATATACCATGCTATTGTAGGCGGCTTGTTTATGTGATACGGGGTGGTAAGAAGTGCTGTGGATGGTTTGGTTTGACGTGGTAGGCTTTCTATATATGCTAAAATCTAATCTGTTATCAATCTTTTCTATTGTGATGTCCAGGAAATTTATTTTACTTGATTGTTCAGTTTCCATAGTAAACTTCAAATTAGGCGCTATATTGTTGAGGAATTTGTGCAAAAGGTCGAGCTGTCTTGTGTTACCCTTGAAAATAAGGATGGTATCATCAACATAACGGTGATATGTTTTTTTTATGTTTTAAATGTTTGTTATCGTGTTGCGTGTGTGTTTCAAGTTTGACGACGCCAAATCCGGTGGATGTATGTATCTGAGGATGGCATTTTGATGCCGAAACGGCCGTAATATATACGGAAACTACGGAGCTGTGACGAGGTAATTGTACAATTATATTATAGTCATCAATTCAGCTCAGGGGCTAAACCATGTCTATTGATTTAAATAATTGATTATTCAATAGCTTAAGTCGTAATGTTAATGTTGACTATTTGTATAAACACTTCACTTACTTGTCGTTCGGGGTCGCCGGAATTTTATACCCCTGGAATTTAACCCCCTGGGCAAAGCTGATGACGTCACTATGACGTACTAGCCTTAGTGCTCAAAAGTTTGTTCGCGGGTGGAATTTTACCCCCGCCGATTTGGAAGTCTGATGAAAATAGACAGAGGATTATTAATTAGATTAGCAATAAAAACCGGGATTTTACCTCCTGTCCATATAACTAGCGTTTAGACAACTGAAGATGTACGGGCCGGATTCCCCCGGAATTTACCCCCCGGAATTTTACCCCCAGATTTTATCCCCCCGGAATTTTATCCCCTGGCCGGATATAAAATTATTTAGAATGATTGATTTTCTTATTTATATTTTTATTTAAATGTAAACATTTCATTATTAAGTAGCCTCTATCTTTATTTATTTATTATGTAATCTCAACTAAGTAAACAGAATTCGCTGTTTAATTTTAATCATATTAACTAACTGTTGGCTTCGATGATCGAATCCTGATACTCGAATCTCAAAATTAAAATTAAAAACCTGTTCGATTAGTTGATATTACAAATAAATTAAGATTAATAAATTAAGATTGATGCTACTTAACAATAAAATGTTTACTATTAAATTAAAACTGAATGAAGAGAATTAACCATTCTCACTAATTTTTATATCTAGCCAGGGGCTAAAATTCCGGGGGTAAAAATCCAGAGAGTAAAAATCCGGGGGTAAAAATCCGGGCTGTAGATTTTGAGCAGACCTCATGAAGGGGGTAAAGTCCGGGGATAAAATTCTGGCCCGTACACTCTAGGTTTTTATAATTTGATGTGTTCTGGTTGAATTCACAACCGTGAAATTATACGTTTAATTCCGCGTCTAATCCATCGAACTCAAAAGTTCGTGGCCGGAATTTTACCACCTGATTTGTAACGTCACGTTTGGCCAGGGGGTAAAATTCCAGGGGAATAAAAATCTGCTACCCCGTCATTCGTGTATACAAATGGATTGAAATGAAACATCGCTTACGGCTTGTTTTTGATTGTTTGTAGAGTAATGATAATTAATTGATAGAGTTATTATTAATGTGACTGTTTAAAGTAAGGTTAACGAATAAATAACTCATTGGCATTGATTATATTGAATGTTGAATTTAATGGGTTAGGCAGAAGTCTGGAACCCCCTAGTTAACTTTTTAACGCGTTGCAGTAGGAAAACCAAACTTGGCACATATTTACAACATAAGAAATTACACTTTTTCATCATAGTTTCAACTTTTCCCCAGCCCCCAAAATGGGGTATTTTGGGGGCTGCTCCAAATTTTCGAATGTAAACACCTGTCATGTGACCCCTTTGAAAGGGTTAATCAAGAGAAATTGAATGGCGCACACCAGAGGTCAATATCACACCCGTAATTGAAATGGCAGCCATTTTAATTTAAGATGAGCAAGCAAGATAAAGTCTGGACACCCCCAGTTAACTTTATAACGTGTGTCAGTGGGAAATCCAAACTCGGCACATGTTTACAACATTTAAAAATGCACTTTTTCATTTAATTTAGAACTTGTACCCGGTCCCCAAAATGGGGTATTTTGGGGGCAGCCCCAAATTTTCAAAATCACCTATCATGTGACCTTTCATGTTAAAGGGGTTCTCAAGATAAATTAAATGGCCGAAACTAGAGGTCAATATCGCACTCCTAATCAAAATGACAGTAATTTTTAAATATCCCCTATTAACTTTTTAACAGGTTACAGCAGGAAAACTAAACTCAGCATACCTTTATAAAAAAAGATAATTCACCTTTTAATCAGTATTAAAATATGAAATGTTTAAAGTTAACTGGGGGTGTCTAGACTTTATCTTGCTTGCTCATTTTAAATAATTAAAATGGCTGCCATTTTGATTAGGGGTGCGATATTGGCCTCTAGTTTGCGCCATTCATTTTCTATTGATAAGCCGTTTAAAATGAGGGGTCACATGATTGGTGTTTCCTTTGAACAATCTGGGGCAAATTTGAAACTTTGATTAAAAAGTGCAATTTCTTATGTTGTAAATATGTGCCAAGTTTGGTTTTCCTACTGCAACGTGTTAAAAAGTTGACTGGGGGGGGGTTCCAGACATTTGCCTAACCCTGTATATAAATTCAACATTCAATATAATCAATGCCTATGAGTTATTTATTCGTTAACCTTACTTTAAACAGTCATTGTCGTTTCCTTACTGCGGCTGCAGCTGTTAATAAATCAGCTGACCTAACCTTGTTGTTGAAAACAACGTGACGTCATGTAAAGTGTTGTCTTAATTTCTAATTGTTTACCACTTGTTTTATAGTTTGTAGATTGTTTTTATTTTATGTTTTTGTTGTTTGATGGAAACAATTTAAGTGAAAATGTAGATTTTCACAGCATTTCTTGATATGGATGGATTAGATATCCAAGATCTTCAAGCTGTTTTGGGTGAGTCCAAAAATTAACTATTATCCTAGGCTAGGTTGTAGATAACGGATCCTACATTATAGTAGGCGTGGTATATACCAATTTATGCCTTATAATATGTAATCAGATCACTGATTGACTAGAATTGAGATAAAATATGACAATCTAACGACTGTCAATCATTTTTGGGCTATTATTAATTAAAATAGTACTCAACCATAAATAACTTATTGAATGTCAACACAGGTCTGATTTTACAATTAGGCCCAGTGCACACGGTGTGACTGTTTTACAACAACTGTTGCAAACCAGTTGCATCTGAAACCAGTTGCATCTGAAACCAGTTTGCAACAGAAACAAAACTTCTGTCCGCGGTGTGACTGTTTTACAAATACAGTTGCGTCTATTGTGCAATCAGTGGAGTGTCATTTTAGTGCAGTTAATTGTTTTAAAGCCTTAAGTGCGCTTACTATGTCAGACTCAGACGAAGAAGACGTTATTAGCTATTATCAATACCGAAGACAGCAAAGGGTACTGAAAGAGCATTGGGTTTACCCTTATTTGAGCAAGAATGTTAGTCCTAGGCTGTTTGTAGCAGCTAGAGCTAGTCGGATAGGAAATTATGACACTAAAAACACTATACGGCCTTTAAAATACCACCAAAATACTACCAAACATCACAAAAACACCCTGTGGTCTCGTGCAACTGAAGTCTGCAACGTGGGGCCCACGGTTGTATGTGACTGGTTTCAAACGTTTTTAGAAATCGCATACAACCAGTTGCGTCGTGTGCGCCTCCCCACTGCAATACATTGCCGAGGTCACAAAACAGTTGCAAGCGCAACTGGTTTGCAACGAGAGTTGTAAAACAGTCACACCGTGTGCGCTGGGCCTTATTCTGGTTGTTTGGTAGTTGTTTTATAATTTTGACGCTATTTTTACTTTAAAGTTTTTAAGTTAACAATATCATATAGCATGCCACTCTTGACATAGCCTATGCTTACATCATTAGCCTACTAAAACCCATTTGGATTAGGCCTATTATCCCGGCCCATTGTAGGCTACTGAACTTAATAGACACAGCTTTTATAATTCACAGAGGATACACGTCCGGGATTAGGCGTCAGGCAGTTACTGTCATAACCTAACCTAACCAACCAAACTTGCTGATAATGAAAAAATGGAATGAAGGATAATTTCTGTTCATAAAATAAAATTATTAATTGTAAGAATTCGAATAAAAGATGTAAATTTAAGAAGAAATAGCATTCAAAGCAAAATCTTTGACAAAAAGTTAGAGTTACCGATGGGTTTCGAACCAGGGACCTCTTGCATATCCATATCAGCCCAGCGCTCTATACACTACACCACAAACACATGTCGTCTGGTTACCGGACGCGTATCCTCTGAGTTTATAATTTGTCTGATCATTAAGTTATGGTCTGATCCCTTTGTATTTTGGATGAATTTGGATAATTATAACATAATTGGTCGCCTCTAAAACCAAAATAGTGTAGGCCCTTAGACCTAACTAATTTTTCAATTGGGAGTGACCCACTGAAAAGTAGAAAAAAAACCAATATTTGACAACTCTGTCTACCGATGGTAGGGATTGAAGAGGTTTATTGATAAGTGAAATAATATCTTCTGGAAGGATATGGATAGTAATTAAGTTATAGCTAGCTCTTAAATTAGTGGTTTGAGAGTCTTAATGCAAACTTAAACCATCTACTCTAACCATCTTAACTGAGGTTATAAAACATTTTTACCTATGACTACTGAATTAAATAGGTAAGACTAACCAGTTTCATCTAACAAATCTAGAGAAACATAGACTTTTTGTGGTTCAACATCAGGTTCATACACCAAGGCTGCTTTAACACCATTTTACATTAAGTGCTAAATGTGGCTATCACTGTGTAGGCTATCTTATGTTTTCAATGAAATATTTCCTGGATCACAGAGAAGTTAGATACAGAGGAAACATTCAATGGCACACTTAAGTGGTGTCTAGTAATAGTCCCTGGTGTCTAGAGCAAAGTCCAACAATACCCCCTCACCCTCATGTAGGCTACTATCATAAATTAAACATACTCCCTTAGGGAGTATGTTTAATCTATGCTACTATTTACAACGCTCACTTTGGAGGAAGACCCTGTGCCCTGGCGATAGGAATTTCTATACAGTGCTCGCCACTCGGGCTCTTCCTTACTTCTTCAAACCCAGCGTTTAGGGCTATTGTAATTCTTGATGAATGCACAATAAAGAATATTGTATTATACTTTATCACACATATATTTCCTACACAACATACCAGAACTTATAGTCGTCCCATTTGCAAGTATCCTGTGTGCCTGGATCAAACTTGATTAATCACAATAGGCCTATACATGAGCTTCAGAATCATCTAACATGATTGTATTTTGATTTGAACGAGCAATACTTGGAAATTTAGATTCAAATATAAAAATGATCATATTAAACATGAAAAAGGGTCAATCCATCTGAAGTGATCCAATATAAGAATACTTGGTTGCTCGACCATTTTGTATTTTCATAATTTTTTTATATGTTATTACTCTTATAATTATGACCTCAAAACAGTTTTTAAAATATTTTTATCTAGTTCCGTTTAGAAGTTGCGGCCATTTTTTTCAGGCCGCGCACGGTGTTTTTGGGCTTTGCAGGCATCAGCGATAAATTAAATATCTTTTTACAGAATAGAGCTAGAACAATGAGACTTGTACCATTATTTTCAGTGAAGTCCCCTCTATATATAAGGTCCTTTAAACATTTTCTCTAAAACAATCACTAATGCCTTAAAATATTCATCTTATTTTGAAAATACTTTTCAACAAAGTGCTCTTTTTAAAGCCTATTTTTACAAAGAAGGTATAAAGTACCATAGCTAATGATTTTTATCCTGTAAGATATGGTAAAATACTTGCATATGTCAGAATATTAAGTCTGAATTCAGGCTCCTTAACTTTTTATAAGCTACTAAAAATTTAAATTTTCCAATTTTTCAAAAGTTTGAAGTGCAATATTTCTGGTAGGGCAAACTATAAAAATCCAATTTTTTACATAAGTGATGTGCTTATATAGTAGGAACATACAGCAAAAATCTCAATGTTGGTATTTGATCCAAAGCCGAGTTATACAATTTTGAATTTAAAGGAAATTTCAACTTTTGCACCAGCTTAATCACCAGATTTAAGTGGTATAGAAAATCTATACACAATATAGTAACAATGTAATAGTAAACTTGTTACATAATTAAAAGCTAGAATATGTCCAGAAAAAAATTATCAAGAACCAAAGTGGTTATAAATGGAAATAAAATATAAAAACAAAAGCGTTCGGTTATATCTTAAGGATTTACAGTCAACGGTTCTATGTAACTTAAATGGACGGTATTTTGTGTTTAAGAAGACTCATCCAGAGTGTCAGTGTTATACATATGTTACATTATTAAAACTTTGGCAGATCAAAATGTTGTGAGCTGCTGCCTAAGTGGTGCATTTTGGCTGGACCCTCAGGTACACATTCCGTGTGTATGTGTGTACCACCAATATGTAAAATAAATTATGATGGTGCCAAACTTAATGTTAACTACAAACAGTAACTGGAGTTAATAGCATTTGACACTTATGGGTAGGTGTGGCTGTATGGTGGAAACAGTGTCCAGGAACAGGAACTCTACTTGAAATGTTGATGGATTCATAGAAGGATCGACCAGATAGTATCGAGTTTAAGCAGTGAGTTACAACAGACCGAGGAGAAATGATCACAGTAATAAAAAGCCCATAACCATACAGTCATACTAATTAGTGGTCACATACTATTAACTCCAGTCTCCAGTTACTCTTTGTAGTGGCACCATCAATCATAAAATTTACATATTGGTGGTACACAAGCACATGCACAGAATGTGTACCTGAGGGTCCAGCCAAAATTCACCACTTAGGCCGCAGCTCACAAAATTTTGATCTGCCAAAGTTTTTGTAATGTATCATATGTAGGCTATGACACTGACATATGGACGAGTCTTCTTGAACGCTAAGTAAATCCAGTCCATTTAAGTTACATAGAACCGTTGACTGTAAATCCTTAAGATGGAACAAAACGCTTTTGTTTTTATATTTTATTTCCATTTATAACCACTTTGGTCCTTGATCTTTTTTCCTGTACATATTCTAGCTTTTAATTATGTAACAAGTTTACTATTGCATTGTTACTATATTGTGTATAGATTTTCTATACCACTTAATCTGGTGATTAAGCTGGCGCAAAAGTTGAAATTTCCTTTAAATTCAAAATTGTATAACTCGGCTTTGGATCAAATACCAACATTGAGATTTTTGCTGTATGTTCCTACTATATAGGCACATCACATATGTAAAATTTGGATTTTTATAGTTTGCCCCACCAGAAATATTGCACTCCAAACTTTTGAAAAATTGGAAAATTTAAATTTTTAGTAGCTTATAAAAAGTTATGGAGACTGAATTCAGACTTAATATTATGACATATGCAAGTATTTTACCATATCTTACAGGATAAAAATCATTAGCTATGGTACTTTATTCCTTCTTTGTAAAACTAGGCTTTATAAAGATCACTTTGTTGAAAAATATTTTCAAAATAAGATGAATATTTTAAGGCATTAGTGATTGTTTTAGAGAAAATGTTTAAAGGACCTTATATATAGAGGGGACTTCACTGAAAATAATGGTACAAGTCTCATTGTTCTAGCTCTATTCTGTAAAAAGATATTTAATTTATCGCTGATGCCTGCAAAGCCCAAAAATGCCGTGCGCGGCCTGACAAAAATGGCCGCAACTTCTAAACGGAACTAGATAAAAATATTTTTAAAACGGTTTTGAGGTCATAATTATAAGGGTAATAACATATAAAAAAATTATGAAAATACAAAATGGTCAAGCAACCTTCATTGGATCACTTCAGATGGATTGACCCAAAAGTCTTCATGTGAGGCAGTTTTTAGCAAATTTCTCATA